GTGAAGGGTTGAAGGACTTGGATACGGTGATGTCGCTTCTACAGGATTCGGCGGGGTTCTGATCGGCCAGCCACATGATGATAGTTTGACCCGCGGGTTTCCGTGGGATTCCGATTTGCTAGTTGCTACTGTAGTCACATGTTTCGACCCCGAAATTTCAGAAACTGACAGTCGAAAGCATGTATCGTGCTGATAAAGGTAGCGGTGGGGATAGTACGGCAGTAGTGGGGTCGTTGGGATGTCGAGGATATATGGCACGCGAAATGGTACAGGAAGGGCCCCTGAGGAGCGATTGAGAGTAGGACACACATCACTTGGCGATTTGACGTCTCATCGACCATGATCGATGTGGGGCTTCAAAATTACCACGTTCTCTAGAACACCCATAAATACCAGAGCGCTGGCTCCCGATCTCTATCTTCTTTCTACATCGATCTCTCGAAGAACTCAACTTCATCGCAACTACACAATTCAAAAACTGTAAATCCTCTCGCCCCCCCGTCCCCCTCCGCTCTCCACAACACATACACGACCCCGCACAGCAACCATCCTCGCATATACTTCATCTACAATTATTGTTTGCAAACCGCGCTCACAGTCAAATAGATGGTAGCACCATCTACTCCTTCTGCCCACGGGCACCTCCTCCGCGACCGCGCAACCATCAGAGCGCCGGTCAAGGTAAGCCAATTCCTCTTCCCTCACCACCAATCAATGCATCATCCACTCACCCGATCTACACACAGCTTTCCCCGAGCTTCGTCACGAGGAAGAAGGGCACACCCTCACGGCGACGTACCTGAAGTGAACAAGAAGCGGGATGACGGCCATTGCAGGTGGTACAACAGGCCTATCAAGCAGTCCCTCAAGCACCTACCTATTCAAAAACTGCTCACGGAGTTACGGTGGAGAAGGCAACAGAAACCCTTGTGGGCAAAGGTCGGGAAGGACTCGACGGAGAGAAGGAAAGAGAGGTGGTCGATAACTAGCGGAGTTGTTCGCCGACTCGCCGACTGGCTGTGCAGCGAGGCAATCCTAGAGTTTCTAGAAAAGCTCCACCAGACTTGGAGGAGGAGGATGGGGAGGATGCAAGTATCGCATCGGGGGCAGAGCAGGAGTGTCCAGCAGGGTACTGAATTTGCGGCCGGTGAGACGAAGTAGGAGATGAGGATGTGCGGTGATATTTTCTTGGTGCGATTTCATTTATTATTTGTTTGGCAGGCAGCGGGGCCACATCGTGCTAGCTGATAACGGGGCCCCAACACCCGGCCGGCCAGAGTGGGCAGGAAAGGAGTGCGACGGTTCGCCATAGTCAAGATAGCCTGCATGCGAGAAAAAAAAACAGGAAGATCTCTCTCTCTCTCTCTCGACAAGCGTCAAACAGACCCAGACCCCGGGGCATTGAAGCACAGAGGCCGAGGGGCCCTCCAGGCAACATTAAAAATAAAAAAATAAGTAAAAAGTCAACAACACCGCCCGAGCGAACAGGAACGATCAAAACAAAGCAAAAGTGTGCAGGCAAAACAAGCAAGGCTGAACAGAGTCGCAGACGGCCCACGGGTCCACACCTGTTCCTAATATCTTGGCATCAAGACAATCCAAAGTTCGCAGCCAAGGATCGAAAACCATCGAAAGGACAGCATCTTTTCAAAAATTTCCCTAAATGGAAAAGTCAGCAAAATAAACATTATGGTCAGAGACCCGAAAGAAGACAACAAGGGGCAAAGACCGCTTCCAAATGTGGATGAGGCGAGAGGAGGAGGAGGAGGCGAGAGGAGGAAGAGGATGCTGAGGTCGAGGAGCCGGGGTCACACCTGCTGTTCCTTTCCACACTTTCTTTCATGGCATCTCCTGTTGAAGAGGCAGCGGACGATGAGCGAACTGTTCTTTCGTAGCTTTATTTCTTTGGCGAGCTCAAATATTGTCGGGACAGGCTGCGGCGAGGGCAGAGAATGCTTCATCGGCCGCACAATGTAAGTCGCGTTGGACAGTGGCTTGGAATCGGGGGTCGATGATACTGCCATGATCTACATAGGTCGCATGCAATTAATGGGTAAACAAAAAAACAAAAAAAAACGCAAGTCTCACCTCTCAACGGCGATTCAGTTCCAAGCACCTCGTGCGGTTTGTCTTCCCTCCCCTCCCTTCCTTCTCTCTCGCTCCCTTCTCGCTCCTTCCTTCTCGCTCGCTCGCTTCCCTCTCCCTCGCTCGCTTCTCTCTCCCTCCCTTCTCGCTCCTTCCCTTCTCTCCGAGTCTCTCCCTCCGTTCTTTATAAGAAGAACCCTTTCCTCCCCCATCTTCTTCCTTCCCTTCTTCCTCCCCCATCTTCTTCCTTCCCTTCTTCCTCCCCCATCTTCTTCCCTCCCATCTTCCTCCTCCTTCTTCTTCCCCACCTTCTTCTTCCCCCTTCTTCTTCCCCCTTCTTCTTCTTCTTCTTCTTCTTCGGCGTCACCTTCCTCCGACACCATCAACTATACAATCCACTCACCGCTCATCGCTCCGCAAGTTAGAATCAATTCGAACCCCCCAACCACCATCCACCGAGCCACAGAAATCATGGGTTTTACGATTAACCCCCTCCCCACCTCCACCCCAAACGAGATTCGCGAGGAGGAAATTACCGACGAAGAAGCCAGCCGATGGAAATTGGGGAGGAGGGTAAGGACAATATGCACAAGGATGGGAAGGAAGATGTCGTCGAGGGTCGACTAGGAGGAGTTTTCAAGGCTGAGGGAGCTATGTTTCTTTTCTTTTTCTTTTTCGGTTTTATGGCGAATAGGGAAGATGGAGGAGGATAGAGATGGAGATGAGAAATGCGAGGATGGAGATGAGAAATCTCCGCATGAACGAAGAACGAGGGTGCGGACGAGGAGTAGTAGTCTTAATGCTGAGGGGGCTATTTTCTTTTTGTTTTTCAGTTTAATCGCGAATATGTTTTTCTTTTCTTTTCCAGTTTTATGGCGAACATGTTTTTCTTTTCTTTTCCAGTCTGATCGCGAAAATATAACTGCATTTCCAATGAGGATGGAGATGAGAACTATGAGGGACGCGGAGGAGGAGGAGTCTTAATGCTTCGCTCGCTATTTTTTGTTTTCATTTTCATTTGCCATTCAATTATATCACAAATAACTGCATCCAGACTCCCCAATGATTTTGAATCACTTCGAGCTCATCGCGACGCATCCCGGTCCCAGTTACGTAGAGTACCAGATGCCTACAAGTAGTAGTAGTACGTACCATGTCATGTCGTTTCCCCGTTACTCGCGGATAAATCATCAGAAGCCGCAGAATCGGGTGTGGGGGAGGATGATCATTACTGGTGGCGCAACAGGCCTACCAGACAATCCCGCGAGCACCTATTCAACACTGCTCACGGAGTTACGGTGGAGAAGGCAACAGAAAGCCTTGTGGGAAAAGGTCGGGGAGGAGACGGAGAGAAGAAGAGAGAGGTGGTCGATAACTAGCGGAGTTGTTCGCCGACTCGCTGACGAGCAGTGCAGCAATGCAATGCTGGAGTTTCTAGGAACAACGGACGTGGGGAGAAAAGCTCCACCAGACAGGCCTGGAGGAGGAGGAGGAGGAGGAGGAGGAGGAGGCAAGCATCACATCGGGGGCAAAGCAAGAGTGCCCAGTAGGGTGTTGCGTCTGCGGCCGGTGCGATGAAGTAGGAGATCCGGATTCCCAGTGATGATGTTTGGAGCGGAAGCGGAAGACGGGGGAGAGAGGCGAGGGGGCCGCAGGAGGAGCGGGCATGTAGGCCCATACCGGTTTTTACTGTCAATATACGTTTTGCTTGTGTCGGTCCGAGGCAAATGGGTAGGGGAAAACATCATGGACGATCACTCATCGTCCATTGTTTTGACTTGTCATGATTGGCTGGAATGGACTGGGTATCTTTGTCGATATCATACAACGGGCCAAACGGGCGTCACGACTCCCTTGGACTCGGGCTCTGGCTTGTAGGAGGGTTTGTCGGGGCACAGTACCAGTGTTCTACATAGACCAGACCGGTCGGCCGACCGGACGGGTCGGTCGGGATATAACCCGACCCGACCATGGCTTTGGCCGGTCGGGATATAACCCGACCGACTGGACCTGATTTTTTTCTGGTCGGGATATATCCCGACCGACCCGGCCTTGCTAGCCTCGGTCGGCCGATGTCGGGTTAACTGTTAATTCTACCAGCCGCAAATATTTTTGTTAGTTTCTGGCAGTCTCAGAGCATTTCCGACGTCAAATGTTATTTCTTAACCCGACTAAACCCGACCTATGTCTGGTCGGTCGGGATATATCCCGACCCGACTTGAAAATTTATGGTGGGGATAAAGCCGACCGACCAGACCAGCGGTTTTTTTTAGTCAGGATATATCCCGACCGACCCGACCATACCTAAATTTGGTCGGGACTGGTCTATGTAGAACACTGCACATTACTGAGTAAAGGATAGCTAAGTGGGCTTGGGCTATCGTTACGTAATGGAGCCCGAGCTTCACTATACAGAAACTTGTTCTTGAATCCACTGAAAGTCTGGAAGGTCTCTGTTTTAACTTTTCGCATGGTGACCGATCATCCATTCGTTGTCACGGCCGATGGTTCTGCCAGCCGGTTCCTCCTCGTCTTCCTCCGCTTCCGCTTCTTCTTCCCGTTGCTTCTCCTGCTGCTGCTGCTGCTGCTGCTGCTTCTTCTCTTAGGGCCTGTTCGGTTTCCAGCTGTATTTTCAAATTCGTGGTTTTGACCACTTGAATGTTACCAAAGCTGCAACTCCAAACTCTCAACTCCCCTGATGACCTGTTTGTCAAGCCAGATATTCAACGGCACGCCACGGCTTTTATGTGTATTGTGGCTCGCGGCTTAGTTGACATTATGTAGTTTCTCAAATTATTCACTTAGGGTGGTGTGCCGAACGGTCACCCAGCGCCTGGACACTGAGGGTTTCAAACTGTATCTCAATTTTGTGTGGTATATATTTTTCAAAAAGCAGCTAACAACCGAGAAGGCCCTTATTCCTCCTCCTCCACCTCCTGCATCTTCTCCTCGTCTTCTTCTTTCTGCTCCTCGTCTTCTTCGTTCTGATTCACGTCTTCTTCGTTCTGGTCCTCGTCTTCTTCGTTATCCTTCTCGTCTTCTTCGTTCTGGTCCTGCTCTTGATCCTGCTGTTCTTCCATCTCCTCGTCGTCTACTTCATTCTGCTCCTCATGGGTTTCTTCCATCTCCTCCTGCTCTTGATTCTGCTCTTAATCCTGCTCTTGATCCTACTCTTGATCCTGCTCCTGATCATCTTCATCCTTCTCCTGCTCATCGTCTTCCATTTCCTCGTCTTCTTCTTCCTTCCCGTCCTCCTGCTACTGCGCTTCCCCCCTGACCGCCTCCCAATCCATCTCCTCGAAGTCCAGCTCCACCGGCCACTGGGCGTCGACCCCAGCGGGCACGGTGGCGACCATGGACACCACGCCGCTTGGGGCACGCTTCTTGCCTCCAGGCTGAAGGTAGAAACGCGGACCCTGCACGAGCGTGGTGTGAACGTCAAACTCCATGTCCGCGAGCCGCGCCATGGCGCTGGGCTTCAGTACATAGACGTACTTCTTGGAGGTGGACTTGGAGAGGCCGCTGGCGGCTTTGGGGATCTGCAAGAGCTGTGTTAGATGCAGTGCAGTGCGATAGGAGTGCGGGTCGTGCTTACCTTGGGTGCCTTGCGGCCAGGCTTGACGGCAGAAGCAGCGGGCTTCGTGGCGCGCTTGCGAAGGTCGTATCTTTTCGGAGACATCTCTGGTAGATATCGTGTTGGCATTCATTCTTGCGACTGAGTTTGTGTGATATGACGGACCTACTTACTGAAAGTTTGGTTTTCGAATGGCGTTGGGGTTGGTTCAGAGAGTTGTGTCAACTTGCGATGTGTGATGAAGAGAAGAAGAGAAGAAGAAGAGAGGTGGGTGGGCGTGGGGTTTTGTAGGTGTGGTGGTGAAGCTTCAACACCTGAGGCTGGCGAGACACAATCGCAGATGGTGAGGGTAGGTCTAGTAGTAGCCTCGCGGGGCTATTGAACCTCACCGACCGGCGATACCGCTTGCGCCGTCCGGATCTCTGATCAGATCTCACGCTTTGGCCGCATGCCCGCACGCTTGCTTCGCCGCTCATCATACGTGTTCACTGCCCTGGCATGTTCGTTCCCTTAGTTCTGAAGTTCTCTTGATTATAACCCTTTCCCTCAGCATGCACAGCAATGCCGGAAAGATACATGTACTACCTACTTGAAGTACAATCAAAACAGTAAAAACAAATCATATAAAACACTAGACCAGGATAGTCACCAACTTCTCCCAGAAGAAGCCACAGTCGCTAGATGACCACAGAAGCATCCGGCTCCGTCTCCTACCACGACACACTGCTGAGCAAACCGCCTATCAAAGCCGAAATTCCTCAGGCACACAAAGATGTCCCGTCCCTGGAACCGAGAAGGCGGACGGGACGAATGGGCCAAACTGGCAGCCCACAACCCTATGTACCACTCGCGGAGTGGAAGGGACCCGGCGACCCGCTACCTACATGCACCAGTATGGCACCAGACCTCTGCCACTCCCATCGCTTGCCTATCCGAAGCGTGCCATCTCGGAAGCCAAGTGGAAGGTTCAAGGAAGTGAAGGCAAGGCCGGACAGCAAAGTCACTCACAAGCAGTATATCTGCACAGCCGGAAATCTGGCCAGAGCAGGCCTGGGAATAGTCTGTCCGGACGGAAGACTATTGGGGCCCGGCGGTGTCGTCCCGTCTGGGGCGAGGATCTGGCCGGACGAGTCGGGCTGCGTCCCAGGTCCAAAAAGCCCGGGCCCGGAAGTTTTTAGTGCGGAAGCGGCTGGCCACTAAGAAAAGTTTGGCCGGTGAACGTTTTGCATCCGATCGGATACGGGATTGAACAGCGAGCAACGGACATGCACATAGTGTAATATTTGCCAGCAGAGGCGTCTCCTTAGCCGTCTACTCCTCGCCGTGCTGCCAACTCCTTGGCGTCATTCGGAATTCCTGCCTGCTGCGCCACTGCGCCACTGTCCAAGGCTAGTACTAGCGCCACAATTTCCAGGCCCGAATGGGGCCCCAGTCGTCCTCCCGCTTGCCCGGAGCCCTGTAGTCCTTGAGATTCCGGGCCCGACAAATTCCGTCTCGTCCGGGGCATAGCCTCGGACGTACGGGACGGACGATTTCCAGGCCTGGGCCAGAGACCTGACGCGACCCAATTTCCAACTCCCGAGATGGCCCCAAGTTCCAAAGGTCTCAAGCGGCTGGCCTTAAAGATCAACATTCTACCAACTGAAGACAGGACACAGTCTCACCGGCCAGTATCTCCAATGCACGCAGAAACGCCCCCAATGCCCGAGGCTATGGCTGGTGCCGGTACCGGTACAAAACTCAGACCCGGGAATTTGAATACCTCTTCGAAGCAAACACTGCCCTGAATGGAAAAGTCAGCAAGCTGCAAAAGACACTGGTTATGGGCATTGGGCAGAAGTTAATAAGCAGACAAGGAGGGGCAAACTTCCAAGAACGCTTCAAAGACCGCTTCAAAACCCGGGCCCTCTTTGAAGTTTGCAGACGAGCGGTGCAGACGAGCGGTGCTGCGAAGCCATCCTCAACTCGAATTCATTTCCTCCACTGCAGTATGCTGTGGGAAGGCGGATCCCACAGACTTATGGGGAAGGTGCAGCAAGTGAGCCTTGAGGTGTCGGAGTGCGAGCTGAGGGAGCGGGAAGAGAGTGCGGAGAGAGCGGAGCTGAGGCGACTCGTGTAGGGAGAGGGGGATGGGGAGGACGGTGCTGAATTTGAGGAGTCGGGCGATGTAGAATAGCGGACCGGGACGTGTGGCGGAGGTGGGAAGACTCGAGGGCTTGGAGGGCGCGAGGGGTCGCGGGTGCGGGTGCGGGGCGAACAGTGGAGATGGACGTGGCGAGTAGGAACAATTGTTGCCTGTTCCTGTTCGTGGCTCTGACTCTGCTTTGTGAGCTCATTTACGTTCTGGAAAGGCCAGGGCGGAGAGGGCAGGGAAAGACACATCGATGATCTGGTCGCGCAATGAAAGCTGGGCAAGACAGTAACGGGGAAAGGGGGGAGGGGGGGTAAACGGGATGAAGAGGTGATATTGCCATGATCTAGATAGGTCCTATGCAATTACTGATGAAACAAAAAACAAACAAAGCGGATAGTGCGTGAGGCAGTGCATGAGACGATGATGTTGCTGTCGGTGATGAGTACTGTGCCAGGGACGGTAACGGTGACGGGTACATACGATGTGTGAAACCGGTGAACAAGAGAAGGTGGTGATCGGTGAGAGCGGATACGATGGCGTGAGGGGATGGTGGTCATCGCGGGTTCCTATGTAGATGGTCGTCGAAGAGGCGAAGAGTAGAGTACAACTTTGGTAGAGCCGCTGATTGTCGACGATCTTGAAATTGCTTGCGCGATGAGGTGATGTCTAGCTTTGAGCGAGGTGGCTTCACGTGGATACGGTTAAACACCGGCTGTCACTCGGCCTCTAGCCCTTGGCTTGGAAACAACGCCGCCTCGAGCAGCTGATGACCTTAAGCGATAAACACCGCTTCACCTCTCCTTCAGCCTCTCCTCTTCCTCTCTTCACATCATCTCTCTTCCCATGCACCACAACCTCCCAACTCCTGCTTCCACCACCACACATCTTCTGAAACCACCACACATCTTTCTCACCACTGCACGCTTCAGTTACTGGTAGCTAGCCACGACGAACGATGGATAAAGCACGCAGCATGGAGATGAGTAAATGCGGTGCAGACAGCGGAAACACCAGCGAGAAACAACCGAAAGCTGCTACGCGTTCCCCACTCGCGTCAGTAACTAACAACGTCGTCCCACTGAAGACCAAGCCCACTGCCATTCCCTTGCCGAGATATGGTATGGGATCTGGGTCGGGATCTGACACCCTTCGGTTGAAGAAACGGAGACGCGGTACCGTCGACGCGAAGAACATAGTAGACACAAACTTGAACACTCCATCTCCTGAAGGACCGAGTAGTCGTAGGGTGCGATTGACGAACGATGCCCCAGACATTCCTGCCCCAGCCACCGAGAAGCAGTTCAGGGATTCGAACCAGACCAAGGAGTCCAAGGAGTCCAATGAATCGAAGGAGGCGAGGGACTCCAAGGAGTCGAATGATTTGAACGAGAAGAAGGAGTCCAACGAGACGGAGGATTCGACCGAGAAGAAGGAGTCCAACGAGAAGACGTCGACCGAGACGACGGACCTAAAGGAGCTCAAGGAGAGGATATCACGGCTATCGGGGAAGCTCATGGCACGCGGGCGCAGCCCTAGCACGGGTGCACAGGGTTTCAACATGCCGATTGAAACACAGAGGCGGCGCTGGTCCGGGGGGATGGTGGGACCCGAACGGAACCGTGACATAGACAGTTTTAAGACGAGTCTCGGTGCATTCAGGGAGAGGCTCGATGACAGGTTTGATAAGAAGGGATGGCGGAAATCCGAGAAGGTGAATGATGCCCCACTTGGTAGTCCATCCACAGCCACTGATCTGAATATCGCTACAAAGTCGAAGGAGACGGAGAAGAGCGAGCCGGAGGAAGTGAAGGCCGGGAGGGAGTCGATAGCACGGTTATCCGAGAAGCTTCTGGTACGTGAACGCAACCCTGGCACGGATGTATTTCAGCTGACATTCGATAAGAATATTGAAACTCAGAGACGGCGCCGCTCGGAGGATCTGGTGGTAGTTGCACGCAGGCATAGCATGGATTCATATAAGACGGGACTCAATGATTTCAGGGCCAGACTCAACGAGAAGGTTGAGCAGCAGAAGAAGCGAACCGAGGAGCTGTTGCGAGCTCAACGTAGGCGGAGCTTAGACTCCTATAAGACGAGACTCAATGTTTTTCGGAAGAGACTGAATTCGAAGGTTGAGGGTATGAGGCGGCAGCGATTCGAGAGGAGGAAGGATGTTGCAACGAAGAACGCCGAGGGAAAATCGGAATGGCTGATAACGAAGGACAGGGAAGGAAGATTGGGCCTAGAGAGGAAGACGGTGTTGTCTTCCAGCACGAGACAGAGCTTGAGCTCGCAGGCCACATTCGTGGATGCAGCGGAGACCGAAACCGTCGACGACTGCAGAAGAGGAAAGAGAGTTACACCTTCACCGCCAGCGCTAGCAACCAATCCAGTCCTCGCATTGAGAGCAACGCCCGCTATCCTCCCACCGAGATTTGGCTTGGGGTCCGCCGACTTCAGTCTGTCGAGGAAACGCCGACGGAGCAGCTCCGACTCCACAGGCTCTCTAGTGGAGCCGGATAATCGACGAGTACGATTTCCGAACGATGACGACGCACCCGCACCCGCTCGGCGTCCGAAGCCCTCACCCTCGTACACGCGGATGCTGACCTCGCGCACCTACGTCCCGCCGCCCGCGCACACCCAGCCAGCGAAAGGTCGCCTCCGGGCCCCGGCGGTTTTCGACTCTGCGCCGGACACCCGCACCTCTCCGAACCGGTTTCAGCGTTCGGATGCGAAATCCCCGCTTCTTACCCTCACGAGGGAGGACAGGCGCAGAATCAGCAAGCTGCAGGAGTTGAAGGCGGAGTTTGACTTGGCTAGGGCTATATCTAGGTCGATCGTCCATCAGGCGGAGGTGATTATGGAGGATTTCTCCCCTAGGTTGAGGGAGGAGGTCGAGAGCATGGGGGTCGGCCCGGATCCGACGCAGGGGCTGGGCTTCGACGAGGACGAAAATGATAACGAGGAGTATTAATAGCCAGGAAGAGAGTAGTAATAATGCATAGCTATTGTGGGGAGCTTATATTTTACGGGGACGTTGATCCAGTTATTTTTTTGTATGGACAAGGTTGATCCACATTATTACGCGCAGCAGTATCAATAAGAATACAAGAGAGAGAACATCATTAATTGATTGTCGTTTGCAGCATTATTAGACTATACAACGTAAGACTTCCGCGGAGAGTAACAGTGCCTACCTCATGTATGCTCCTTTCTGCACGTAGAGGCATAATGGCCTATGCCTATGCATGTTGAGCAGCGGGGTGAGGCACGATCTGGGATATCTATTTCATCAGGCGGCCCGATGCGGCTTTCCCTGCTCCCCCTATGTTGAAGCTACTGTCGACGCACATGCACATGGTCTCACTCACCTATCGAGTGATGCAGCGTGACGAGACACATGTGACACATGAGGCTGTGGGGGAGAGAGGCGAGGGGGCCGCAGGAGGAGCGGGCATGTAGGCCCATACCGGTCTATACTGTCAATTTACGTTTTGCTTTCTACTTGCGTCGATCCGAGGCGAATGGGCAGGGGAGGTGGGTCACCGCATCGGACTGGTCGGTGCTGGGGCTTTCACCTCGACTCGCTATGGGGGGCAGGAAAAGGAGTTCGTTGGTTCGCCATAGTCTAGATAGGCTGCATGCGGGAAAAAAAACAGGAAGATCTCTCTCTCTCTCTCCCGAGGAAGAAGCACCTTCGCCCCAAGAAGGCCAGCCCCAAGAAGGCCAACCCCTCGGCCAATTGGGGCGAAGGCTACCAAGACCCCGCTCGCCAAGGTACGTAACATCTATTCATGCTGCTCCATCTTTGTATCTATATCTCTAACCATCCCCAGAGAGCCACCGCCACCGCCACCGGGGCCGCCGTCAAGGAACCGTCCAAGGCGATCACGTAGAGAGGCACCTCTAGTAGCAAGCTAGCAGCCCGCGACTGACGGCCCTTGGGATCGAACTTTTATCCGCCATTCCACTCCACTATCATACACACCGTACAGCCTAGAGTCCAGCTGCACTGCGGCGAAGAATGTTGAGAGAGTGGCGGTCGGCGAGTAGAAGAGAGAAACATGGATCATACATCGGGAGTATGGGTTAGGGATGGACCTGCTGATGGAATACAAGGATAGCGTTTGGAGAGGAGAGCAAGAGGCTCGTCTTGCAGACATCACCGATTTTGTAAAGAAATGGGTGTCACGGGGTATCACGACTGACAAAAATTGCAACTAAAAAGACAGAAACAGGTAGACAGGCCCATTGCCACGGGAAAGATTGTGAAGAGACGGGAACAAGAAGAAATATATGAAAAAACAAAGGACGAAAGAAGAAAAAACACACAAATGCCACCACCCATTGCCTCAACTCATCGGAACCTTGCGCTATAACATCGCCACGGGAAAGATGGTGGAGAGATGGGTAAAACAAATAACATGAAGAAACAAAGGACGAAACAAAAAAAACAAAAACACACAAACGCCACCCCTCATTCCCTCAACTCATCAGAACCTAGCGCGAAACCTCTCGTAAAGACAGGAAAACAAGAGATAGTGACTTTAACTGCCAACAGGTCCGCACTCTCCGATGTATTGTAGTGTAGATCCATCAAGCGCGAGCCTTCTGAATCTGTTCGACAAACTCCCGAAGGGCGCGCTTACCAAGCTTTGACTCAAGCTGGACCCTTAATAAGCCCTCCGACTTCTGGTTGATCTTGTAAAGCAAGCCACGCGTTGGGCGGGACCAGTCGTAAGCCTTCCAAGGCGATTCGGCGAATTCTCCCTGCTCTCTCATCTTTTCCCCCTGAAGAACCTGCACTCTCGACTTGAAGACCTCAAGGAAAAGGCCGTTCTCGTTTTGGAGATCCCAACCCCACCTGAAGTAGTGCACGTCCCTGATGCTCATGGAAAGCTGACCGAGGTTCGGGATGTAGAGGCAAAGCAGGTTATCCTCGGTAAGCCTGATAGTGAGTGGCAGGAGGAACTCCTGCTGGTAGGGTTGAGGACTGTCAATCACCGTAACTTCTCCATCGTCGTAGAGGATCGCTTTGCGAAGTTTGAGAACGAGAGGGTTCGTATTGACGTTGTTGATCGGCTCCGGTGGAGACACTGACGGGAAGCGACAAAGCGTCGCAGGTGACATCCTGTCGGGGTCCATCTGCTCGGCCGTTACACTTCTGCTCATAGGGTGGTCAGCGTGAGGAGAAGGCTTGCGTCGACCGCCTTCGTCATAAACATTCCGGGCTCGCTTGTTGACGGTCGCGCCCGTATCGTGAGCGTTGCCTTCGGTGGGAGCATGCCGCTTCACTCCAATGTTGCTGGTATTGATCTCCTGACCCGGCTTCTCTTGCTTTTCCCTCAGCTCGGCATCCTGGCCATGAGCTCCAACTTGGAACGGGTTCCCCATGCGAGGCCTAATCACGACGTCAGGGTAGGGTGGAATACCGATTGGTTGTGGTGCGGGACGTGCGGGCAGTGGGTGTTTTCCCTGCGCGTCTGGTTGAGTTCTCGACTGCAAAGAAGCAGCTTGGACTGCCGGTCTCTGAGGTAGCGGCATTGCATCGAGCGGCGAAGGTAAAACTGGCGTTGAGCTCGGACCCGGCACCAACTGCTGGGCCTTCCTTCTGCAGAACTTGAAAAGTGTCAGTATTGGACGTCATTCTGAATTTGCAAACACATGATTATTTTAAGGACATACCTCTTTGTGGAAGGAGCTCCACTTCTCCCACATGTCATCTGCTCTCCGCAGCTGACAAATAGCCTTCATAGAATGACGAACAACCCACTCACCCAACCGTCCGGATTTGGGCTTCATCACGGCAGACGAAATTCTACCTACACCAGGGCTTATAACGAACTCAATTTTCCCATATTTCTCATTGATCGTGACGTCCTTCAGCCCGTTAACCGCATACACAACCATTCGGGCCGTGCGTGATGGTCGGCCGGCGTAGATATAGTCGCCGAAAAAGGCGATGCTGATAAAGTCAGCGCCCTGGATGTTCGTCATTTCCAGCACGGGCTGGCTGAGCTGGAAAGTTCCTTCGGGGTGGAACTGAGCAGCTTCCGCTGCCCTAGGACCGTGGATGCTCTCGAATTCGAAACTGTACGACACGGGTACAGCCGAGCCCAGAGAAGATGCCGGGCCTCCAGATGGCCACGAGGGCAAACTATCCCTGGGCTGCTGAAGGTCAGAGACGTCCTCCAATGAGAAATGGTTTAGGTGGCGAGGATGGATGATGGAACAGGCTTACCTCGCTTTGCTGTTCCGGAACCGAGGAGACCATTTTGTCTCCCTTCTCTTCGAGATCCTGTGCTGATAGAGGCGAGCGGTTGCAGCGTGGCGCTGTAATCATCTTGGTAGATGGTTGAAGTGGCACGGCCGTAGGAAGGATCACTTTCCGCAAGTGATGAGGAGAAGGGGCAGCAGACTCGTCAAGCAGGAGTGCTTTCGGAAGGATGAGTGCAGTGGGGCATTGGGAGGATTGGACGGGGGCGGGGCGGGACTGACGAAGGATTATGGGGGAGACCAAGTACCAGGCAGATGTCAGTGAAAGCGAGTGTGAATGGCAGAGAGTCGTAGGTGGGGGAGGGGGGGGAGGGGCAGACTTTATAGCAGAGGGGGTGATGGGAAGACTGCAGTGACAAGGATCAATTGTTTGTGGACAGTCGTAGCTTGGTGGGCTGTTGCCTTCTGTTCCGTTCGAACGAGCCAGCTTGAACGTCACGCAATGCGGCCTTTTCTACGGGCTTGCAGGGAGAAGAAGGTGGTGATGGTTGTGTTCGCTCGCAAACATCGACAGCACGGAACATGCAGGGGGGGGAAAGCTACATGTACCTGGTGTGTATACTGATTATGGTCATCGGACAGACCGATCAAGTCCTCTCTGCTCCTCAAGTGCGTGCTCGTCACCGGTACTGGCGGTACGATCGAAGCAGCGTTCCTCCGATTTTTTGTCCAGGTCGCATATGGTCGCATCGGGTGCGGGCTTGATGGTAATTCCCAGGTGCGTCTAGCCTTTGTCTACATCTGAGAGACTCTCCAAGAGTGTTTGACGAGCCTTGTCGGCTTGGTCGACCCGGCATCGAGGGCGAATCGACCTCTGTACGCAGCTGAAAATATAAAAAAATAAAACTGGCTCAGAGGATTTCTAGGAAATAAGGATAGAGCAGACGAAGACGCTGGGAGGCTCTCCTGCAGCTACACGTCATCATGGACAAGGTGCGTCGAGAATGATGATAGGCCTGCTGGTCGACGATCACGACGACGATGAAGAAGCTCACATCCACTGCAGGCAAGGGATGCGGTACGAAAACAAACCGGATCAGTGCAGCTACCTACCCTCATGACGGGATCGAAGTTTGCTGGGCCACCTGTGTTGTAACATCACCGAAAGAATGTTCCTGAAGGCGGCCCAGTGGATACAGACCCGCATGAGAAAGCACCTGGCCCATGGTTGGGACTGCTTGCGAGTGCAGGCAGATCGTGTTTACATGATTGTTTGCAGAATGTAGTGGGCGGAAACAGATGGGTACAATGATCGGAAAAATAAAAGAAGGAAATCATTTATTGGCGCTGATGAAATTTCGAAAAAGAAACATCTCATACACCAAGGCCCGCAACTCCCAAGATCCCAACGACACCTCATCTCACCCCTCCATCGTGGCCACTTCCCGTCTTCAGTCCATGTCGGCATCATCCTCAAACAACGCAAACACCGTAGCTAGCCACATGCCACCAGCCCCCACGCCGAGGCACCCAAGACCGAAGACGTTCACCCAGAAGTCGTCCATAGCAGTGCGCTTCGGATTGGTGTGGACGTGCGAGAGCAGCTCGACCAGGAGCTTCGTAAGGCTGGGAAGTAGGTAGTAGCCACCGACGACCAGGCTCGAGAAGAAGACGAGCGGCTCGAGCTGGTTCCTGTCTGGCATGGCTAGATGGAATGTTAGTAGAGGAGGTGACGGAGGAGTGACGATTGCTGTAGGTGGAGAAGGAGGCGTACCGATCGGTTGTTTGGAGACTTGGGTGCGCAGTGGGTAGAGAATACGATGTGTAGGTCGTAGTATGTGGCGGGCGATGTACGGTGTACGGTGTGTATGTCGTATGCAATGAGCATTGTATTTATAGTGCAGGAGGTTTGTTTTGCTCTCGGTGTGTGCAGTTGTAGAAGACAGAGTGGTGCTATGGCGACAGACTCGTCCGCATTCGGCCGATTCGCGTCACCGTCCAGTTTTCGATGGGTTGCGTGCTTATATGAGTATTCCGACGGTCCGCCTTGGACGGGCTGCGTACTAGCATGAGTACGAAATACTCATGGCTGTATCCGAGGAAGTGTTTCGCAGGCCTCTGACAATTGGATGGCCCGGTCTTTACACTACTCTACTCGTACCTGCTGATTTTTTCACGCCCACAAAGCTCTTCGTAGATGAAAACGAATCACCTACTCCCGTACAGAGATGAAGGGTGCTGATCGATCTATAATAGAGCAAGAATAGATCTATTTCTGTTCGAATCTTCAGTGTCGTATCGTGGGAATGGAAGACATGACGTTGATAACCCCTAACCCCAGACGAGAGTGAGAACTTATGACAGTGTTATTACGCACACGTGACTACGACCAGGTATCATGTCCTATCTCGGATGTTCGATTACCATCTCTATCTCCTAGATCGAATACGGATGAGTTACATGAAGTGATCCACTCTTCGCATCCCCACCACCACGCCTCCACCACCACGCCTCCACTTTTCCCATCCCCACCACGCCCTCACCAATAGGCGCACCCGCCCGTCCACCATCATGCCCAGCTTCCTGCACCTCCCCATCGAGCTTATCATCCAAATCACGACCTACATATCCAGTTTCAAGACTCTCGCGGCGCTTATATGTACGCACAGCTACTTCTCCACCCACCTCACCGAGCGGCTCTACCTCCTCGCGTTATCCGAAATCCGCGCGATCATTCCCACTTACCGTCGCCCGATCCGGCTGCAGACACTTTCGCACCTCCCGCAATCGCCCATCTTCCTAATACCCGGTAATGGGCGCGCCTCGATCCCTGGTTGGGCGATCCTCTACGGGCCTGACACACTCATGCGGCGACTTCTCAGGACCGAGGGTGGACTCTCGCCGAGAGCGCTATTCACCCACTGGTGGGCTGGCATGCACCACGTCCCGATCCTCAGCGTCGCGGTGATACATTTGCGTCTCGAGGTGGCAGCCGTGCTGCTGGAGGCGGGAGCCCGGCCGAGTATGCGTGAATCGGTCATGTGGGCTCCGCTTAGGTATGCTAGTACGGAGGTGGAGCATGTCAAGTGGAACAGGATAGTAGTGTTGGAGAATCAAATAAGAAACTGGACTGAAGAGGAGGTGGAGATGGGGAGGTTGTTGGTTACTTACAATGCGATCGGGAGGTAGGATTGTTGAACAGTGTCATGGGTACCGGAGAGACGGATTAGCCGGCTGTGGAGGCTAGGTATATGCTGTACAGTGACGAGTTTGAGTTGGAGATGATAACTCAAGCGATCGTGTTGTGTGTATGAGCACGTAATTATCAATTCAATGTACGACAAACCGTCCTGAGGAACCGTGACGCGCCCGAGATACGTATGATACTTGTCTTCACACTAGATTGGATGATACATAGGCGTCCCCAACCATATATCCGAGATCTAGTGGCGCACCTTATTCCACCGTCACTCAAATACCTGTCTTCTGGTTCGCCGCTCATCGTGTTTTACAAGCCTACTTTGCACATGGATATACTGCCACGCCCGACTCAAGACAAAGTGTGGAGTGAAAAGGTGGTCCCTGTAACTAACAGTCGGAAGGGCCCTTAAGGAGCACCGGTGACGTCACGTGAGTATTACGTCACAATATCCGAAACAGACTGGTCGGTGGGTAGGTCTCATCCTCCGAATCCTAAGTTCCTAACAATAGCCTCTCTCGTGTCTCCCACATGTCCCTCACGTTTGCGTCATGTGCCCCTCACGTGCCTGTCGTGTGCCTTTCATGTGAATATCCCGTACCCATCCCGTGCCCATCATGAGCCGGTCATATGGCCTTCACGTGACGACTCTTCTCCTAGGTTCCCTCTCTCGTAACGGCACGCAATACACCTACACGCAACCACCTCCCACACCACGTGAGTCCCATCGCAACACTCCACCTCCCTCAACATAGTCAATCAACCCAACTATTATGATTCGCATCTTTCCCTAGACGTACCTTATTCCATCCGATCCGACCCTCCGACAGCGCGCAAAGTACCTGCAGCCTTCTCGGCTTATTTGCAACCTTCCTCGAGCGTCGACCGACTATTAAATCCGGCTGGATCTTGCCCCGAGGGGATATAGATCCTTTAGAATACTGGAGGCTGGTATCAGTGCGCCGGTGACGGACCACGGTAGTTGCCATACTGCAGCAGAAATCCAGACTGCGCACGAGGCTCCTCCTGCTGTGTACTTCCGCGTGGATCCGCGCGATGGCTAATGAGCTCCAGGCTGGATGCGAAGAAGACCGTGACTACCGTCCACCACGTGCTTGAGTACGCTGAACCGGGGAACAAACCAGCACGAACACCGGCGTGCAAGCTGCGGTTCCTGCCCACGAACGACGAATTCACGGCCAGCTCCTGCCACTCGCGATTCTCATTGCCCTCACTTACAACGGAGATCTCTCGACGTTGGGTTCTTCGACATTCCTAACGCTGATTTAGGTAGTAAAGCGCACTCCTCCTGCCGGAGTATCGGGCCTTGATTGAGGAAGGAGAAGGTGGCACCGTCGCTGCCATCCACGGCACGGGACATCAAGAGAGATCGCCTCTTACAGGAACATTAAATTGCCCGTACTGCTTGCCACAGTCTGGTACTAGAGTACGTCCTACCTGTGGTTCTGTCCTACTCGCTGTGCTATAAGTGTAATTAACGTCCAAATGGCTGAGCAGTAGATCGAACCACCTACTTGACATTTCCCTTCACCGAGCTGCTTTCTGTGATACTCATACCTGTCCGATCGGTATAAGACGAGCGCACCAAGGAAATACACTAGGAAAATACATCTTACGTTTCCTCTCCTTCCTCCGCCTCGCCTCCTGCCTTTTCAACGAGAAATGCCACGAAGGAGGGTGCGGGACGGAACACCGGAAGTGATCCTGGCTCCCCAACCTCAGTACCCTCTTCTCCTCTCGCCACAGCCCCGCTTCCCTTTCTGCCAGCTCCCTGAGTTCCAACTCGGACACCTCACTTGCTACATCTTCCTCAGCGGCTTCTAGGATTCGTTTGCCCAGATCATCGGTGTAGGATAGGAAGTCTACGATAGCCTGGCGGCATCACTCGTCGGCTGATAGGACGCGGATATCAAGACGATCTTTTCCTTCCCCGTCTCCTTCCGAACCTCTGCCGACAGTGTTTTCTACTGACTTTTACATCTCGACAGGACTTGAGCAGGTGCTCGCGGGTCGCGGTTTTGTACCTGCACCATCTGTAGCGGTCGTCTGGGCAGCTCTTCGCCCACTGGAGGTACTGGCCAGTGGCGCAGTGCCCTGTCTTCAGCTGGTAGAACCTTGCGGCTAGGCGCTTGGGGGCAATGGCTAGGATCGGGATTCGGGTCCGGTTGCTGGCCAGATTTTCGGCTATAGCCTATACCGGTACTTCTTGTTTGTGACTTCGGCGTCAGTCCATGCGTTGGCTTCTTTCCACCTGGATTCTGTGATCCCGTGCATCCGGTAGGCAAGCGATGGAGGTGGTAGTGTCCGGGTGCCGTACTCGTTCAGCTAGCGAGGGGCCTCCAGTCCGCGAGCAGTGGGGTCGTGGGCAGCCAGCTTGATGAGATAGCAAAGAACCACCGCCGACCTGGGGGGCGCGGCTACATCCGAGCCTGGATACCGTAGATGGAGCGGGTAGGCGTTAGAGCTTGGGATATGGCCCTGCCATTGGAAGGAATTGCACCCCTGATCCTTCCCGTCTATGTAACTGAGTAAGTACGTGCCCGCTGGTTGATCCATCCGTATATCGTTTGCGATTCATCACCGTGTAAATAGAAACCGCCTTTCAAAGATGCTGAGAATGATAGGAGGATTGGTAGGAAGATAGAACTGTTTTGTTGCTAGCTTCTTCTCCTCTGGGTCGGTGCCCTTCTATAGATAAAGAATATGTCGGCTGTGGGAGACAGACCCGCCGGCGTGACCAGACACCAGAACACATCTCCCCCTCCGGATATAGTTCACATGAACGAGTCCTTGACTCACTCCGGATACAGTTCGTATGACCGAGCCCTTGGCTCCTTCAAAAACAGTGCTTCTTGGAACTTCGCCATCACCCCACAGCAGCGATGAGGAGAGATCTTTCATGTACTCCGAGCGCCGTCATCTGACATGTATGTACTAGCTACTGTCACCTAGTTGTTCAGCGTGTGCGAGGACGCGGAGATGGGTCTCAGCTCCGGCTGCACCCGCAACCCCCGCTGGACCAGGCCGCACCAGCCGCGCCCTGCTTTCTTATAAAAGACTCTTCTCTCTCTCATCTCCGCTCTCTCTCCTCTCTCTCTCCTCAACACAGGCATCAACATCGACATCAACGCCCGACAAACCCCTCGGTAGGTGTCCACCTACAACCATCCTCTCCCCACGAGGGCAGTTATACGCAGCCGCAGCCGCGGCACGACACGATGATATTTGCCGGCAACACGCCGGGCATCGTACCCAGCACAGCGGGAGGAATAATTTCCCCCCGCGCCGTCGAACACTTCCCCGATATCAACCATGTCGAACCCCCCACTTCCCTCGACCCCAGCCGCACCCTTGACCGAGCCATCCCAAGAACCCACGACATCTGCCAGCTCGTCTACCGCACTCCCCTCGATATCCACATGGAACTTCAGCCCACTGCTGTCCATCAGTGCCTTCGCCGCACCAGCCCCAGTTCCAATCTGGCCCGACGCCCCACGACGTTCGACATCACCCGCGCGCTTCACCACACCGCCGCCGAAACCAACCCTGACGCTCCTGGCGTTCGCCAATGAGATACTCTACAATATCCTCGAGTTTCTCGTCCCAGTCGACGTCAAAAACATCCGCTCGCATCCATTCGTAGCTCTCTCCAGCTCGTGCCGGCTCCTATACCACTTAATAGAGACTCGCTGTTTCCGCGTCCTCAGGAATGCAGCCGAAGATCCCAGGGTCCGTAACTCTCCCTTATAACCATTCAGGACGGCTCGAGACAACTGTTTCCGGAATGTACTTATCCGCTGGCTCGTAAGGCGGTGCAGATACTGCCTCATCCCGTAGTCGCGGCTTGCGGCGATGGACGAGAGCGTCTGCTGCTGCCGCCCCTGCGACAAGAGGCTGCACAAGCTGTACGACATGACTGACGTTCGCTCGGCCGAAGAGATGTGGGGGGTGCGAGAGAGCGAGCTGCTCGAAAATCTCCCCCATGGGCCATGGCCCTCACGGTGATCTGAGGAGATCCCTAGTGCAGGCCTACATCGAGCGAAAGTTCGGGTTCGACGCCGATCTCATCTGTGCGGCTAGAAGGGCCCAGATACTGGCCAGGCCGGTCGTTGCCATGGACGCGAAAAATTCGGCGCAGAGCCGCGAGCAGGCGGCCAGGACGTTCTGGGCCGACATGCGCCAGGACTGGGATGTGGTGTACGCTCAAACGGGGTTGGTGCTTAAGCGGCCCACCGACGAGCTGCTGGACCTGACCGAGGCGAGCCTCTAGAAGGCCTTTCACGCCAAGGAGGCGAAAAGAAAGTGGTGCAGAATGCAGCGCGAGAATGTCGCCGCCATCGACGTCATACTGGAGATCGAGGAGAACGCGGATATGAGGTGCAAGTGGTACAATGAGGTCGCGGGGAATAATCCCGCTGTCATGCTTGGCAAGGTCAAGCATGAAGACGAGGTCCGGAAGTTGACGGACAAGTACGAGGAACGCCAGGCACGCAAGGGTGTTTGATTTTCTCGGGTTTTTTTCACGGGGGTTTTAATTCCTTCAGAGTGCTCATGTCTTTGCCGTTATGTGGCCTGCCATCTTTTTGTTTGCGTTTAAAATCTATATCTTTTTCATGTTCACTTAAACCTGTTTTTTTGTTTTTGCTGGCTCATGAAGTGAGCCGCATCTGTTTTGTCGTGGTCGAAGCTGATGCAGTTCTTGGCCGCCCATTCTAGAGATGCCTGCGCTACTTCCTCGAATTTCTCAGACTGTCTTCTTTGTCCTTACCTTCCGCCCACTATCTAGGCCAGTTTGTCTAGCAAGGAAGGGGCTTTGATTCCGCGACACTTCTTCTCCACTTCCTCAAAGATACCTGAAAGCTATATGAAGAAGAGCATTGATGTCTCGGGTGAGCCTTGGCGAACTCTGGTATCCACGTGGTGAGAAAGCACTTCTTCTTCGTTCAAAACCAGCTTGCTCTCCATAGAACAGCGTACCAAAAATTGCCGTGTTGCGATTCTCATTCTGGTCTCGTTCTCGATGAAAAGCCATCGTCGTCACTCGTCCAATATATTGCACATTTGTCAGATTGGTCTTTTGCGCCTTTTGCGCCATCTCGAATGCGCCTCGAATGCGCCTCGACAATCTTGTTTACTCTCATACTTGCTTCTGTCTGGTATGTCTGGCTGATCATCCGCTGCTTCTGCGAATGAATCAAGCAACCGAATAATATCAATCTCACTTGTATTCTCAACATGCCGTCGACATCGAAGGGCGAGTGAGATCCTGTGACACCTCCCCTGCGAAAGTTCGAGTGAGAGCCCTAGACCCCTCACTCGCAAAACCGTGAGTGCGGGCATTGTTGAATATTGCCCTATCATCTTGCAAGTAGCGTCCCCCGCACGGACCAATTGAACTGTGAGTAGCTAGTGTATTTTCAAAATAAAACCTCCGGATCGCGAGCGTCGAACTTTGCTTCACCGTGAATCCGAGATACCTTCCTCACCTTTACGACCCAAAGTCGATGGACTCCAGTAAGTACACCCCACTAGCCCATCCGATAGCTGGTAATCACCAAGTTAATCTCGTCCTCTAGTGGATTACCAACTCGCCCCGCCGATGAGTGGTATCACCAACCAGCTAGGTCACATCCCTCAGCCAAACCCTTGTCTCCAGCCGCAGGTAGTAGCTGGTCAAGATCGCGCTCGCCGCAACTCTACTCCCGCTCCGGAGAGCTGGCGCAAGCGCCGGTTCGACGATTTGTATGACGCCGAGGAAGACGAGTCCTCTTCCCCGTACGTCCGATCCAAGCCTATAGAGTACATCGAGAACGAAGTCCGCCGCGGCTACATCTTCACCAAGCGTACGGCTGCGCTTTTCAAACATGTGCGTAACCCCATGGCGCATTCACCCATGCGAGTGATAACTGCTGACTGTCTCCCGAGGCAAACGAAATGTCAGTCCTCACCGGCTGTCAGTACATGCTGTGTGTTGTGATGGGCACGCGGATCTACCGTCACACGTCGCCCAAGCTCACGCCCATGCTGTTTGGAAAAAAGGCAGAGTGGAATCTCCTGGTAAGTTGAGCCACGATACTCGAGGAATGAGGCTGACCCACCGCCGCTGCAAAGGACACCATTGGCGCAGCAGACGGGATCTACCTGGATCTAACGAACGAACACGAGGAGGTTGCACCGGGAGCCAAAACCGAGCCCCCGAACGACAGTCTTCTCGCTGATAATCCGCCTTTCCCCCCTGGCTATGAAGACCGCGCTGTTGGGGCTCCTGGTGCCGGAGCCTCTGGTTTTAGAGCTTCTTGCCCTGATGCCTATGGCCCTGGTATCTATGGCCCTGGTATCTATGGTCCTGGTACATATGGCCCTGGTGCGTCTGGTCCTGGTGCCTATGGTCCTGGTACCTATGCTACCCCTGCCCATGGTCCTGCTGCCTATGGTCCTGGTGCGACTTGCCCTGGTCATTATGGTCCTGCCCCCCATGGTCCTGGTACCTATGGTCCTGCCAGTAACTATGGTCCTGGTGCTTCTGGTACTGCTGCACATGGTCCTGGTGCGACTGGCCCTGGTGGCACTGGCCCTGGTGCCTATGGTCCTGGTGCTTATGATTCTCGTGCCTCTGGCCCTGGTGCGTCTGGTCCTGCTGCCTATGGTCCTGGTACCTATGTTCCTGGTGCCTCTGGTACTTTTGCCCCTGGTTGGTCTGGTCCTGGTACCTATGGTCCTGGTGCTTCTGGTACTGCTGCCCATGGTACTGCTGCCCATGGTCGTGTTGCCTCTGTCCCTGGTGCGACTGGGCCTGGCGCTGCTGTTCCTGATGCGTCTGCTCCTCGTGCCAGAGCCCCTCGTGCTCCTAGAGCCCCGTCTGTTAAAGCCACTGGTGCCTCTGGCCCTGGTGCCTCTGGCCCTGGTGCGATTGGCGCTGGTGCGACTGCTCCTCGTACCAGAGCCCCTCGTGCTCCTAAAGCCACCGGTTCTAAAGCCACTGGTTCCAAAGCTACTCGTGCCAGAGCCCCTCGTGCTCCTAAAGCCACTGGCTCCAAAGCCTCTGGCGTTGGACGCGCCGGTAGTACTGGAGTCTCTGACTCCGACTTTGGACCCGCTGGCAGTGGACCTGCTGGCAGTAGACCCGCTGTCAGTGGACCCTCCTGGCTCGGACCCATTCAGTCTGGAGGCTCTGACTTTAGCCCCGCTGGTACTGCTGGAGCCCGTGACTTTGGACCCGCTGATAGTGGACCCTCTTGGCTTGGAACCCTTCCGACTGGACGCTCGGGCGTTGCACCCCCTGGTACTGGAGGCTGGATCCCAAATCCGAGTGATAAAGGCTCTGAGGGTGGACTCTAGCTACATAGCTTCTGAGATCAAAATGCGATGATCCGTCACTTTCTGTCGCCTAAAAATAAATGTGCATTCAAATTACGACTTGGGCGGACTATTCTTGTGCTGTCCTCCATTTCATAGTTGTGACTCAGAAAGTACCAACACTGCTCAGTTCAAGGTACCTCACGACAAGATATAGCAGGACTTGGTTGAAAAAAGTGACGCCGTTCAGTCTGTAACCGCGTGATATCGCATGATTTGTGTAGCACGTGATACTAACATCTGGCATCCGAATGCGGCCGAGTCAAGTCAGTTCCGCAAACGGTTGATCCGCTCTAATATGTTTTGGAGCCTGTGGGATAGCTTACAAATACAGCAGTTGCTCGCAGATGTTCCGTTCGGCCGAAGCTGGCAAGGCATTTGTAAGTAAGTACACTTAAAACGTCTCGGGATTAAGTCGGCGATAGCGGAGCTCGAGTCGGCCTCAGCGTGGGTTCAGTGGAGCGCTTCGGGCGAGCAACGCCGGGCGAGTAGATATAAACTCTACTGCTTTTCTACTGAGAAAGAGAAGATCACCTCGATCCCTACATCCACACGCACTCCGATCCAGCCCGCTGCCCAACCCATCACACCCACGCACCACCCCACACTTCAACTCCACCTACCCAAACCCCCACCACAATGGTGCACATCGCCATCGCCGGTGCCTCCAGCGGCCTGGGCGACTCCATATCCCGCGCCGTCCTCTCCAATCCCGACAACAAGCTCACAGTTCTCACTCGGGGCCGGCAACCCCAGCTCACCTCCCTCGGCGCCAACGTCATGGTGGTCGACTACACCTCGATGCCCTCGCTGACCGCGGCGCTCAGCGGCGTGCACACGCTGATCTCGTGCGTGTGGGCTCCGGGCAGCAACCTCGCTGTCACACAGTCGCTGCTTGCGGCCTGCAAAGCCGCCGGCGTAAAGCGCTACGCGCCCAGCGAGTTCGCGACGGCCGGGCTGGCTAATAAGAGCATCGCCTTGTATGCGCAGAAGGATGATGTGTGGAAGCTGGTCCGGGAGAGTGGCCTCGAGTACACCGCGTTCCGCCTGGGTGTGTTCATGAACTACCTCAGTGCTGGCGCACCGGGGGCGGAGCAGCAGGCGCTGAAGTTGTTTCCCGTCGTGGTGGATGTGAAGGCGCGCACGGCGACGATTCCGGGGACCGGAGAGGATAGGGTCAGTTTCACGGCTATCGAGGATGTGGGACGGTTTGTGGAGGCGGCGTGTCAGCTGGAGAAGTGGGGGGTGGAGAGTACTATGTTCGGTGAGACGTGGAGTTATAAGGAGGTTGTGAAGCTGGCTGAGGAGGTCACTGGGGAGACGTTTGATGTGAAGTATCTATCTAGGGAGGAGATCAGCGGCAGGATTGAGGAGAAGAAGGATGACGTGATGGGGAAGTTCTACGAGGAGGTGCTGGTGGCTATTGTGGATGGTCTTGGTGAGGTCAAGGGGGAGCTGAATGAGCTCACCGATGTCAAGCCGATTGGTGTCAAGGCTTTCTTGGAGAAGTGGTGGGGCAAGAAGTAGGGACTGAAAGTCTGGATATATGAACATGTAGGCAGGTCTTCCGCTGGACAATATCATCTACTGTGAATAAGTTAAATTCAAGGACTGGGATCATCGCTGTGAGTCACTGAGTCTGCGAGATTGGAGTAGGGAAAGTATAATAGCAAGGCTAGGTTCTGGTCGAATCTCCTCACATGAAGTTCTATCTCCTGATGACAAGGCGGCCTTCCCAGTGACGGCGTATCGCACGTGTCTTCCACCACCACGTACACTGTATCATGAAAGTAGGGGCATACTCGCGAATCTATACCTCGTTAAGTCACAAGTATGCTTGGATAATAAAGCTTACATACAAATACCAGTATTAAGCTCTCGTAGCTCAGGGGTTAGAGCGGTCGATTGCAGATCGACAGGTCCCTCGTTCAAATCGGGGTGAGAGCTTAAATTTTTGGATTTTCCAGTGATCACATCTGGACAACGGAAACCGAAATTTCTTACATGCGTGATTATGGCTTTACAAGTCATCATGCTTCGCTCATTCTTTTACAGTAATATTAAGGCCTCTTCTCTACTTGAAGTCAGGCATCCGTCCCAATCCTCCGATGTCTGCCTTTGACGCCTCCCTTCCCTTCCTGACTTCCACATGATTCCTGATCATCTTCAAAACCCCACTATCCCTCCATCTCCTCGGCGGAGGCCTATACGGCTCCCTATTCCTCCCTATTGTCTGTGCCCACTCGCCCGGCGCCTGCCCGCCAAACTCCGTAACACCAGCCTCCTTCTTTTCAATTTCGCCTGCCTTCCCACTCTTCTCATCCTTCACAGTAGGACTGGCATCATCTGGCCCGGCGCCCCTCACACCTGCATCCGCGCCGCCCCCAAGCGGCGAGCTGCCCCCCTCCGCGTACTCCACACTCGTCGGCGGCGCCTGCTGGGTAGCCCAGTAGTAGATATCCCAATCATTCTCGTCGAGGAAGCGATCATACTGATCTAGCATGATCCTGTCCATGCCGTTCAGATGTTCGTTCGCGAACGTGCTCAGCAGCAGGTCGGTCTCAAGGATCCCGCGCTTGCGCGACTGGTACACGAGACGCGCGCGCATCGTTTTGAGGTCTTCGCCTACGCGACGTAAGGGCTCGACCCGGAATTGTCCCGACAGGATCTCGCCAACGTCGAGTTCGTGCGCGGTGTCGCCGAAGGAGCCGGCGAGGCCGGGGTGGGTTGGGGCGGAGGAGATGGGGTCGCGAGGGGCATTGGGGGTGACGGCGGAGGAGGCAGGCGTGGATGGCTTGGAGTTGGAGGCGTAGGTACGGAGCGGGGTTAGCACCCGCGGGCGGAGGAGGTGGGAGAGTGGGCGGAGCATTGTTGTTTTGCCGATGGTAGGGAGGATGGAGGTGGGGTGGAAAGGGCAGTTCGAGATGCCGTCGTGTTCTCGGGAGTCGGCTCGGCTATCGCGGACTGTGCTAACTATCGCTGGGCCGAGAATGGTGGGCCAAGATCGCTAAATCACGTGCTCCGGGTTTCGCCTCCCTTCAACGTGCTTCGGCACTGCTCTTCTGGAAGGTACGGATGCGAGGATTCATATCCGTTTGCTGTGTAATTTGAATGCGACCCAACTGGATCATCGCGATACGGAAGGTTCATAAACACTCCATTTCATATATATGCGATGCCTATTTTAGACGCCGTGCCGTTTCAGCTTCGCGTGATATCCCATGTCTCGGAACCAGCTTCCCTGCACAGCCACAATAGTTCGCCGCCAGTAGGCCACCCCTGCCACACTCATCCATTCAGCTCACCGCCATGCCAGCACTGCATGAAGAACCATGCTAAGGCGTTCTACAGATACCCACTCAGACATCGAACAGCACACTGCACACGTACTCTTGCTCCCTCTCCCCTTCTGCCCACTCACTCCAACGAAACAACTCCTCCACCAACTCATTCGGTTCGCTCGTCCCGTCCCCGCGAATCACCTCCCGTCGCTTGAACCCACCCGACCCCCGTTTCAGCAAGCCAGCCAGCCACCGTCGCCTCCTCCTCCCTTGCGCTCTCGGCTGCGTGGAAACCCGGCGGCATTCACTCGCAGATAGACTCGCTGCAGAGATTGGTGCGACACAGCAGAGTACAAAACTCTGTCGCTTCCCCGCCCACCGCAAGGCATAGCTCTCTCCACCTCACACCTACCTTTCCCCACGAACGAACGACGAAAAGAAACCATGTCGTTCAACCAAGTAGCTTACCAGAACCGCGCGATCCGCTCCATCCAAAATGTACAGCAGTGAAGAAGCGGCCCCCTCCGATCGCCTCGGTCGCAGTCGCTAACATCTCATTCCAGGAGCTCGATTTCCTCGTCGAAACCGGCGTCCTCACCTCCTCGCAGATGTCGCAGATCCTCAACATCCTCCCGAACCCATCCGGCGTAACCGCTACCTTGCGCGCACAGACTCCCGCCACGATGGCGCCGGCCCAGTCCGCCACACCCGCCGTCCCGCATATGGGTTTCACACCGCCCATGTCGCCTCCTGCGTCGACCAAAACGCCAGCCCACGAGAAAGCGATGCAGCCCATCTCCGGCCCCACGCCGCCGCAGCCGCCGCCACCGAGCTACACCGCATCAGCGGGGATCCTGTCGCGCGCCGAGGCGATGTGGGCGTTCAACGGCTCCGAAGCCGGCGATCTGTCGTTCCAGGCGGGCGAGACGATCGAGGTCATCGAGAAGATCAAGGACGACTGGTGGCGCGGACGGGTCATGGGGCAGATTGAGATTGGACTCTTCCCGAGCTCGTATGTGAAGGAGACGCAGGTGCTGGGGAACGGCGCGGGGAAATTGCCGGGTCTGCCGCCGAGGAAGGAGACGGGATACTCGGCGTACGGACCCGGTGGGAACATGATGACTGATGTCACCCATGGATCTGGGAGTGGGGAGTACCAGAATGAGGAGAAGAAGGGTGCGCTGGGAAAGAACGGGGAGAAGTTTGGGAAGAAGCTGGGAAATGGTTTGTCATCACCCCCTGAGTTATGCCGCTTAGCGGTCGGCTATCGGTTACTAACGCCACCCTTTCAGCTGCGATCTTCGGTGCCGGTGCAACAATCGGCGGCAAGATTGTTAACGGCATTTTCTAAGCGATTGGCGAGAGACGTTGCTTCTGTATTGGTTTGTGCGGCTCTTCGGGTTTCTTAGCTTCTTTCTGTGTGCGCTATGCGTTCCTCATGTTTGTATTTTCCAGTCTTTTCTACGATAACGTACGACAGTGTGCTGGTTTGCGGTTGCTTATGACGATTGATGTCTTTTTTTTGCGTTCTGAAGACTTTGATATTGATGTGTATATTTCTTACTGTAGAAGTGCCGACTGCTAAATCGAGCTTCCATGTGCTTTCGTTTCCATAGCGCTCGTAGCTGCAATGGAGCATGCGCGAAGTCATTTCGAGTGGCACTATGGCAAGGCTTGTGTGATACAGACCAGCCATATGGACCTGCTGCTCCCCTCCCGCTCCCTCCCCGCTCCACGATACAACGCACCTCACTGCCAGAGTACTCGGATTTTTTGTTTACTACCACCACAGCACACACGAGTTTTCTTTTCCGTTCCGTTCCTGATTCACGATGAAACCTCTCCCGTCTCTCGTCCTCGTGCATGCACTTTTCTGGTGCGTCTGTGCACTTCCGGCCAGTCATAGCAACGTTGAGAGAGACCCTGGAGCACCTCTGGGATCGGGCCTAAACGGCGAACTCGTCCAGCAGGATGCGGACGGATTGTTGTTCATGAGGGCTGTGGGAAGTGCGCTTGCCAGTGCCCCGTTGGTGAATAGGCGGCAGATGGAGGGTGGGGATGTGGTTGAGATGGACCCGGCGGTAGGGGCTGTGGCTCAGGGTGATGGGGCAGTACAGACTGTTGTTGAGTCCACTGTCGACGATGGAAACGGAAACGATGAGGACGGAGATGCAAACAGAGATGAGGACGGCAAGTCTGACGAAGAAAATTCCGACCTACAACCTCCCGCCCAGGCCACCCCAAGCCTGTCTGACAAAGAAAATGCCGACCTGCCACCTCCCTTAAGCGTTGAACTCGTCGAGCAGGATGCGGAGGGTGGGGGCGTGGCTGAGATGGACCGGGTGGTAGAGGTGGGGGTTCAGGGAGATGGAGCAGTACAGGCAGTTGTTGAGTCTACTATCGACGATGGGAACGGGAACGATGAGGACTGGAACTATGAGGTCTGGAACGATGAGGACTGGAACAATGAGGACTGGAACGATGAGGACTGGAATTATGAGGTCTGGAACGATGAGGACCGGAACGATGAGGACTGGAACGATGAGGGCGGAGATGCAAACAGCGATCCGGACGACAAGTCTGACGAAGACGACTCCGACCTGCCACCTCCCTCCCAGCCCACTCCAAACGAGCTTCCTCTCTGGACACCCGATGTAATCGCCACGACTCTGATCCTGATCCCCGTAGTTCTCGCCATCACCATAATCATCATCCTCTTCTTGTTTCTGCTTCTGCACTGTTGTACCCCTCGCAAGATCGCCCACGTCACGCACAGCACCTACACTCGGCAATACCTAGGTCGACAACCTGGCGGCAACGATGCACCAATGGATCCCGAAGGAATGCTTGCAGCGGCGAATGTGCCCGAGATCACTCCTCCGCCGCCCAGCGCAGCCGCACCCTCCTCCTCCTCCGCCCAACCGGAAACTACCAGACCCGGCGGCAGCAGCCCCAGTAGCGCCCTCTACATCCCGCACTATCCGCGGCGCCACTTCGACCCGACGGATCTCGACGGCACCGTTGCCCCAACAAAGTGGCACCACGGGCTCCTCGACCTTGGCGGCGGCGTGTCACCACGCCCAGGCAGCTTCTTTCGCACCTTCATTCCCTCCTCCCTCCGTAGTGATGCCGAGAGCCCCCCGGGGAACAAGGACCCAACAGCACATAACCTCCGTGAGGCGACGAGGAGACTCGAAGACGCCGCCACTGTGCACCTCGAGGGTCCATCGGCTTCCCTTGCCACAGGATTGCAGGACTCCTCCTATGGTCGTGAAACGCTACGGGATCGCAGAAAGGGCATGAGGGACAGCTGGCTGGACAGCATCTTTACCGACCGAGCCCCGGGCACCGAGAACCTCGCTATCCTGAAACAACGCGACGGCGTGTTGTGCGGGGCGTCCATAGGCGGTGCTATCGACCCAAACACGATCGTTATCGATTCCACCTCTACTTCCACATCCACATCCACTTCCTCCGCACCAAGGAAGCCCATCGCTGCAATCCACACAGCCACGGACAACATCAAGTCCGAAAAACAACCGCTGCGGACATACCGCGTGGCCGAGTATAGCTCTACGGGTTCGTCGACGGGGTACGAGGCCAGTCAGTCGGATCTCTCAGATGGCAGGGAAAAGGAAAATGTCTCCCCGCCGCCCCCGCCGCCGCCGGTTAAGATACAGTTCCAGGCTGTTCCGTCGGGTCAGGTGGTTGGATTATTCGCGGTGAAGGGTGATGTGGATGGAGAGCAACAGGAGCCGGAGCAGGGGTTGGCAGTGGCTAGTCTGGATGGGCCTGCTGATGTTCATGAGCGGCTGAAGGAGAGGGATGTAAAGGAGGAGGATGGAATGGAAGGCGAGGAGCCAGAGTCAGAGTCAGAGTTGGCAATGGCTAGCTTGGATGGCGCTGCTGACGTTTACGAGCCGCAGATGGGGGAGGGGGGTGTAAAGGAGGTGGAGGGGGAGGAGACGAAGTTGAAAGAAGAGGAGAGTGATGTGGAGGCGGAGGAGAAGGATGTGGAGGTCGAGGAGAAGAAAGTGAAGGCGAAGGAGGAGGAGCGGGAGTCGTTGTGGGAGGAGAGCGAACAGGGAGGAGTTTTGCTTTGTGATGACGTTCAACTATGAACGGATGAAGAGTAAGAGGTGGCTGTATTATAAGACTGACGGGCGGATTATTACTCGACTTTGCTTACACTAGGTATCATCCATTATAGCTATGGGGTTGGGTGGGGTTGGATGGTATTGTATTGTAGGTTTCAGATTGTACTTCTAGTTGTTGATGGATGGGGGGATTGATGAAATGGATTATGGGAGAGAATTCGGTTGTGGCCTCTGTTTTTCGAAGTGAAACTACGGTCTGCTTTGCCAGAAAGTCTACTGAGGAGCTATTGAGAGTAGATCACACATCAGTTGGCGATCTGAGTCTGACGTCTCATTGACCGTGACGTGGCTTCAAAAGTACCAAGTTCTCTAGAACTACGAACACCCATGAATATCAGCTCCATGGCTGCCACTCTCTCCCACCTTTCTACATCCATCTCCCGAAGAACTCAACTTCATCGCAACTACACAATTCAACAATTGTAAGTCCCCCCCATCTCCCCTCCGCTCTCCACAACATACACACACACGACCAGACACACAACCCGTCACTCGCATATACTCCATCCAGCTGTATTCGTTGTTCACGAACTGCGCTCACAGTAGAATAGATGGTTGCACCATCTACTCCCACCGCGCACGGACACCTCCTTCGCGACCGCGCGACTATCAAGGCCGCAGGCGCCGGTGAAGGTAAGCTGATCCCTCTTCTCTCGCGAGTCGCCACCAATTAATGCATCACTCACTCGATTTGTACAGCTTTCGCCGGGCTTCGACTCGCGGAAGCGGACTCGGACCCTTCGCCGCAAGAAGGCCAGCCCCCAGCCAACTTGGGCTGGGGCGAAGGCTACCAAGATGCGGCGGAGCAGGGTACGTTTGTTAATTCATGCTGCCCTATATTTGTATCTATGTCTCTAACATTACAATACACAGAGAGCCGCCACCATCACCACCACCACCAGCACCGCCACCAGCACCACTGCCGTTACAAAGAGTCGTCCCAAGGCGATCAAGTACCGAAGGGACCTCTATCGCGCTGGCCGCTGACGGGAGGACGAGAATCGTCCAGGTCGCCGAGGATGCGGAGGTGCGGAGGTGTCTGCGGACGCGGTCTCGGTCGAGATCGTGGTCTCGGCTAAGCAACGGTTCTTGGACTGGATGGTGGTCGCGAGACTGGAAGGGGAGGGGGAGGGCGAAGGGAAGGGGCAGGGCGAAGGGGAGGATGAGGATGCGGAATAGCGGGCTATTCCTCGGAAATAAAAGTACATTTTTGCAAGTCAGACTTCTCGTGAACCGTCCAGACGGACGGACTATTCCCAGCCCTGCTTAGGTAAGTCCTATGTGCATACACGGATCAGCAAGTAGGTCGTAAAAACGAGGGTTCAACTCGCGGGGTGCTGAGCTAAATGATGCTTTTGTGTCTTGTGGCTTTTTTGGCTTTTATTTCTTACCCGAGTGCGATATTGTGACTGTTTTTATCTTCTTTTTCTGGCCTTTGCCACGGCTGAGGATTACGCTGTGCTCATGTGTCCATGGTAGCTCACTCGTTTTTTTCGTGCCGGATCTGCTTGGTCGGCCAGCCACGTGACTGGTACACTCTTGCCGAATACCTATCGCGGTAGTCTAACTACGGTACATACATTGATTGTTGTTACTTACAAAAAACAAAAACCCCCGCCAATCGAATAAAAGCCCGCCGGGAACTTTCTGGCTACATACCTGCCTGGCTACTACCGGGTATGCTACATACGCACGAGGACGGGGTCACACTAATTCCCCAGTACCGGATGATATTGCATGATGGCCGCGTCCGTTCATCTATGGTGTCTCGGGTGTAATGGCGTGTTCGTATTATACTAGATCGGCCATCTGCGAAATCTTAAATCTGTTTCGGTCGGTCGGGCGGATGGAGGGAAGGATGGCATGCAGGCTCGGATGTCAACGTTACTCGGTATTCGCCACGTTTTTAACCTTGATACCGAAGGCTGAAGCGAGGTGTTTATAGATTTCACGGGGAACATCGAACACGTGATTGTTTAACATTGTCACGGCACTTTACAAAGGCAACATCTCGAGATCTGATCCGAGCGCAAAGATTCAATTCGTTTCAATTCCTCAATCCACCACCTCCGTTTTCCTCCAACCAAAAAGTACATCGCCCGGCCCGCAGGCCACTATTTCCCCCCAACTGTTGCTTTTTCGTCCCCCAAGGCCTGGGCGGTAGTAACGCGCTCGACCATCTCGAGCTCCGCCTCACCCGCCTCGAGCTGTTTCGTCTTCTCGTCAGTCCCAGCGTCTCCGGCGGCCTTGGCCAGCTCAAAGTGCGATCCCCTCTGCTCATTTCCGCAGGCAGTCCAGATGAGCAGGAGGACAAAAATGACGCTCATCATAGCGGCCTGGGTGATGCCGTAGTTGGGCCTGTGCTCGCCGTCGACAACGATGACCAGGCTCTCGGAGATGGCGGAGGTAAGTTGCGCCGCCGGCGCGGAAATCATGTTGCCGAGCTGGTAGCAGATACCCGGGAATGACGAGCGGAATTGCGGTGGCGACAGCTCGTTCAGGTGGATTGGCACGACGCCCCAGGCTCCCTGCACCATGAATTGGATCAGGAACGCGCCGGCGGTGAGAGTGCCCCAGGAGGTCGGAAGGACCCAGAGCGGGATCAGAGCGGCACCGAAGGCGCACGCGACGATGATGGTGGCGCGGCGACCGAAGAATTGACTGTAATACCCGCAGAAGGTGCCGCCCACGACGGCGCCGGTCTTGGCAATCATGGTGGCTTTGGAGGACATTTGGCTCGAGAAGCCTTTGGTCTGTTGCATGTAGGTAGGGTACATGTCCTGACTTGTGTGCGACATCTGTAGGGGACAGGTTAGTCAGCTGAGGTATGATGTCGTCGGGCTGGGGGGGATGGTTACGTAGTTGAACAGCGCCATCAAGATGATGGCGTAGACCATCCGCTTCCAGTACTCCCTGAGGATTTTCTTCGCGTCGGTCATGAACAAGCGGATCTTTACTTTCCCGGTGACCTCGCTGTTCTTCTTAGCATCGATGAACTGCTGAGACTCGGCAAAGAAGAGACGCGCGACGGCCACGGCGGCGGTGAGTCCTGCTCCGAGCCAGTAAAGCATCTTGAAGCTGTGTTTCGACGCGGGAACGATGCTCATGTTGAAACCGGCCGCGATGAGGTAGCCGAGGGCGTATCCTTGCTGCAGGATTCCCGAGAACAGACCACGGGCTTCCATAGGCATGTCTAATGTGGCGTCAGTTACTGTGGCGTCCGTGATCGAAGAGCACTTGGTTCTCCTTACTCTCAAGTGCCATGGATGCGGACAGTCCCCAGATTCCGCCCATTCCGATACCGAAAAGCGCCCGCACACCAAGGAACGTCTCGAAAGTCTCGCAGTACGCGGTCGCCAGTTGCAGAACGGCGATAATGAGCAGATTGACGATCTAGCCCTCCCACGTCGGTAGTTAGCACATGGTGTCAAACGGTCCCGCAGACTGTGTTTCTACATACCATCGGCCATTTTCTGCCGTACAAATCTCCCGCAAGACCAAAGATGACTGCACCGACGGAACGGAAGAGAAGCGTCAAGGTGATGGAAATACTGATGCTCTCCCGCTCTGTTTCGTGTGTCGTTCGTTAGAAAGGCTGGGGTCACACCATCGACAGCGGTGGAGACAAACCATGTTCGTAGTATGTCGCTAATTTCGATATGGAGAGCGATACGGAGTGGAAATCGTATCCTGTTTCGGTTAGCGAATATACCGCCGGAACGGGGGAGCCTTTGAAACAAACCATCCATAGTCCAGGCCATCCATCCAACCATGAAATAAACATAGTCTATGATTATTAGCTCTGCGCGCTCAAAGGAATACAGGAGGATCCGGAAGACGCACTCATCAAGGTAGGCCGGCGGATGGTCGTGAGCGGATTCTCCACCTTGACACGAGGCAACTTTCCGTAGACGGTTTCTCCATGCTCGTTGATGTAGTAACCCTGGCCGGTAGTGAAGATCTCCTTGAGATGGATACCGATTCTCTGGAGGCGACCCATGATTGGCGATGTCTCTGATCGGTAAATGCGGGGGTGGGTGAAGTAACAAGGGAAGTTGATGGAATGTCCGGACTCAAAGATGAGCGGACAGGGTGAACTTTAAGTAGTGATGCCGTGTGCGCGCCAGATATTAGGTGCCGAGGGCGAGGGCCTGCACCGAGTTGGAGACAATCGGATGGATGGAGGTTGTGTATGTCGGAAGGCGAGACAAGAAGCGCGTGAGCATCGTGTGCTTGCCTTGCCACCATTAGGCCTGTAGGTGCGGTTGGTTTCACCATACTGACCACCAGAAGAGTTGCAGCTGGATTCCTACCGGGTGCGGGGAAGAAGCGGAAGTACCGTGGATTGGCAAGTTGGAGTCGATAGCAGAGTGTCGATACCGAGTACACCACGTTTGGGTATAGTGCATAGTTCGTAACTGGACGTTGCGGAATCGGCCGTCGTTCTGACGATGTTTTTTTGCTTTTGCTTTTAGTTTCCGGCGCTACCCAGGCACCATCGACATGCGGCCGAAAGAGGAGGGCGGCGCTGCTGCGCATCGAGGGTTCTCCAGTGGCATCGAATTGTATGCCGAGATTTCAAGATGTTGCCGTAAGACGAGGACCAAAAAGCTGCTCACGCTGACACTTGCATCATGCGGAATGGGGAAGTTGGTACCATGCCGTCACGACTGCCCGCGTACGGGTCTCCACCAGAAGTCGGTCGTCCGGTTGTTCCCACGTTGGACCGTTGACTGATTAGTGTTCGTTTTGCACGGCAGGTGTGTGTAGAGAAGAGATGACAGCCGGTACGCGATAAAGTCGACATGTCGATTAGGGGGCTGGAAAGCAGACTTGAAAATAGAGTGCAATCGATATGCACGGTCCAGCGCCTATTCAGGATGTTTCTCCGGACACGGGTCGAGGCTACAGATGTACCCCGCCCCGGCATTCTCCATGAACCTAATCCTCCAGGCTCCAGATGTACCACCCCACCCCCGCCATGACATTCTCCATGTAATCCTCCAGGCTCCAGGTGATACGCTGACGCACCAAGATATGTATGTAGTAGTCGGAACTCTGCCCGGTGCGCATCGATGGGTGCCATGGTTTGAATGCAGCTTCCCGAAGACGCCACAAGCATGCCGATCGCTTTCCGTTCGTTCATCACAGCAACAGATGTGGATCTGGAGAGTTTTTGGGCAACCGTCTGTCTGACCGAATATCACAGTAATAGATGTGGAGCTGGAGGGTTGTGAGCGCCCGTCTGTCCGACCGAGTTATCGAGAAAGACAGGGAAGACCGCTTGATTTGCGTAGATGGGGGCACGGCTGATCCAGGGGGGGCGTCTTGCGCGATAAGTCGTTCGATGCGCGATAACTGTAATTGTCGAACCATGTGGGGATAAACTATTCGGCTGTGCATGATCAGCAGCTGGCACCGTGGAGAGTGGAGTATGTAGGTAGGTAGGTATCTAGGGTACATTGCGAGGATACAGGCGGGGATAATCCGTGAAACACCCAGGATCATGGGAGCGTGATCGATAGCGTCGGTGAAAGTGGAGATGGAACCTAAGGTGTGCACTCTAGGCACATACGTAGCACCGTAGCAGCCTCGTTTCCGGAACAGTTCCGGGGCGGCTCTCCACGGCGGAATGTCTTTGAAAGGTAGGTCCCGGTATGCCGAAGCGTATTGTGGGGACGTGAAGAAGCAGAATTCGGTACCGATACATGTTGTCGGTGAGGCCGCGAGACTCGACGTCGCGTGCCAAGTTTGAAGGCGTAAACAAGCATTGCCCAGCCCCGCCCGGCTATGCCGATGGTGTGTAACGGTGCGAGACGATAACTACCGTAGTCACCAGTAGAGCCTCGTCGCCTTGGCATACATACGCCTCGGAAGGCGCTTCGGCGTGTGATTGGTGGGGTACTGCTCGGAGACTCGGTTAGTCCTGCGGAAACATGGAGGAAGGTGGTTCTGCTGTCGGCGCCATTCCGGGCTGCGCTCTTGTCTTCCCGACCGTCACGATCACGACTTCCTCATCGGCCATTCTCCAAGGCGCCAGAGCAGAGCTAGTTAGTGAGACTAACTAACAAGAAAGCTTCGCGGAAGAGGCGTCGGGGCGTCAGGGATCCTGCGGTCGGCGCAATGCTCGCGGCCAACAGGCTTTTCCGACGAGCTTTCCGGCCGTAAAAACCGAACCTCCGAAGTACTTGCCGTCGCGCCTTGCTATGTATCTGTGCAAGCTCGATACATACCGGTACGTAGCAATCGCGAACGCCCCTGCCCACGAGCCGATAACTGACCGTATGTATATCGCGCAAGCATCACGCCCCGAGTCCCTCCGACGCACCTGCGCCAAGTGACGGATTCGCGCTGGGTGGGTGAGCGACGCCTCCGGCCAGTTCCCCGCATCTCCCCACTGCGTCAGCAGAGCGCCGTCGCACACTCCGCCCTAGTGTATTCGCCTATCAACGGGACCGTTAGCGATGCATATACTCTATTCGCACCCTGCTTATGCGTGCAGTGGGCGGAACAGCCGTGTGCTTACATATTTGGTATGCGGACCTCCGTGGCGGGGCCGGCAAAGCATTGTGGATCGGCGCAGGCCAAGAGTCCAAGACCACGGCCGTGGAGTGCGGAGAGGATCCGCGGCAGTAGTGGCGTTCCCCTCGGTCTTCACCGACCCGAGTGCTCGATGCCCCGACGCGAGTGATCCACCGTGTGTTGCTTGCCATTTCTGAATCAGTCAGGCTCTCCTAGAATCGTTTCTCAGGTGCAAATCTAAGTGAAGTGATTGGTCCCGCATGCCAGCAGAGAGGCCGGTCTATCCCCGGATTCTGCGGCCAAGAAGTGGAAGTTGCTGCCCTCGCATTGGCTTGGAATTGATCGTCCTGTCTCCTAACTCGACACCGTTATACTTCAGCCCCACAGCACATGGTTCGCATAAATCACTCGCCTGGCGCATTTGACAGCTTCCCCATACCGCTAGCCGAATAGGCATCATGTAGAATCCCGACTGCTGCTGCGGAAGATGCCATCGGCACCTGCGAGAACATTGGCATCGTTGAGTGAGTGACACGTCGCTAGGGCTGAAAATTTGCGGAGAAAGTCGGGAGAGAGAATTCGGCATGTACTCGCTGTCTCAAAGCATTTGTTAGATCGTCGGAAGTCCGGAATCTGCCACAGTTGGACGTCTGGAATGTGCCGAAGACGACGGCAGCAACGCCGACAGACGGCAGCAACGCCGACAGACGGCAGCAACGCCGACAGACGGCAGCAACGCCGACAGACGGCAGGAATGCTGACAGACGATGTATCAGCGCGGGTCGTCATCGGCCAGCCTCGTATTCGGCACATCACATATCAACGGCATGCTATCGTGACGAATGGGATTGAGAGCTTCTCTACAATAAATATACCGACATATACCGTATCATCTCGGAAAACAGTCCGCTTCTTGAGGATGATTAGCGACGTTACACGCAGGCTTCGGGAGGCTTGACGCCACTGAAATCAAGGTTTGCTTTTTCTATTGCTGCGGGAAAGAAGACCTCTATGTATCCCTTCTGGATAGTAACCATCACCTCCATTACCGACTCTTTCTATACCCGGTTCCACCCGCACTGCCTGTGTGCGGACTACAGCACATCCGGGCCTCGTATTTGAGGGTTGCTGCTGACAAGAAGTGGGCTGCTGTTTCGCTACATACCGAGGGAGCGCGGAGGCAGAGGGCTTGGGACCGTTGGCGGGCGCCGGAGTGAGAAGACCTTATCAAGACCTGGTGAGACCTGATCCAGATCGCTGCGGTCATCCAAACGTTTACCTGTCTCTGTTATCACTACTTCTGTTTTCCTGTCGTTGTTCTCAGTTCATCATCCGTCTTCACTATTTCTCTCTTCATCAGTCTTCATCAGTTCATCAGTTCAGCAGTTCAGCAGTTCATCACCTTGTATCAGTATCGATATTTTACGTTTTCTGTGAAGTATTCTGTTCCACTGCTCTTTTCTAAATTGATCAATTCCTCTTCTCTATAACCAGGGCCCTCAATACCCAGCTGCGATGCTAGCTAGACCCATACCTCGTCCGTGCGGGCCTCAAGCCACTCCCGCGTTAGCCTCAAGCCACTCCCGCGCTAGCCTCCTCACGCCACTCCCGCGCCAGCCTCAAGCCACTCCCGCCGGTACCAAGCGTAAGGAGGACTGGCCATGTATGAGAATACATATCTAGGCTTAGCGGGGGGGCGAGGGGATATTTGTTTTCACTGTCGCTACACTTGGTACTAATCCCATGGTATCTCTGTGCACCTTGAAAGGATCCGCTGCCAGAGGTGATGAAAAGCGGTGGATAGTATGTTGCATTGTCTAACGTCTAACGGGCAGAACGGTAATGAGGCTGGAGAGATTGTACGAGAGATGCATAAGGAACCTCAGTGTGTCGAGGAAGGGGCCGTGCGCCGCATACGGCTATGTAAGCAACAGCGGGTGATGCAAACAACAAGATCGTCGATATTCTCATTCCCGTGATTCTCACTGCTATCCACGATCTTGGGGATACGGCGATGCGGGGTGTGCATGGCATGGCCGACAACGTAAAGTGCTGGCTCCCGAAACCAACTCCTACCTATCCCTCGTGGAACCCTCCCACCGTGCGAAACCAACACCGTAACCGCGTATGGATGTGCCAACGAGCAGTCGAAATCCTCGGTTTTGTAATTTCATTCGTGAGTATAGCTATTCGGGTAGCTACTACTGTGCGTATGTGCTGTATCGTGAGTGCGTGAGATGTTGGAAGCGAGATGACTCGGGGACTGTCGTGATTATTGCATGGGTGAGGCTCTGTCTGCCCTACGTAAAAGGCTCACGACAAATGCGGCGAGTCACGAAAGAACGAAATGTAAAGCGCCAGTAGTTTTTTATTTTCCCACCGTCACTCCTCCACCCCTTTTATTGCCGCCATCCTGCCAGCTTTTCATCCCCGACCATCTAATAAACGATTACCGTGAGCGCCGTCATTCCGCCAGGAAACTCAAACTTGCCGCCAGCACGTCCAATCTGGTCGTTACCGCACTCGAAGCGGATCTTCCAGGCCGCCCAGTGGATCCACTTGCAGCTCATGTCGAGCAAGTGCATGCCGCAGATGCCGACCTGGCCTCCCTTGTACTTGCCGAGCGTCGAGCACTTAGACCCCGCGGAGTTCTTCTGCACGCACTTGGCGGCCGCCGAGTTGGACACACGCGCAATCGCTTGGCCGATCTCGAAGTACGTCGGCGACGCGTGAGACGTCTCGCAAGTCAGATGGCCGTCCTCCGGAACCATGTTGTCGGGCGACTCCAGCGTGTTGTTGGTGGGCGGGAGCATGGTCGGCATCGCCGGGTGCGAGCTGGCCTTGAAGAGGAACTCGGGCTCGAGCTCGGCGAGCGAGGTGGTGCCAGTCGAGCTGTGGTCCGCAGCTGGGGCTCCGTAGACGAGTCCGACGGTTGCGACCATCGCGATAAGCTGGAAAATGTTGGAGACGCGCATAATGTTGTATGGATATAAGTCGGTTGGAAGTAAGTCGGGTGGAGGAGGAAGTTGGGTGGAGGAGGAGGTTGGGTGGAGGAGGAAGTTGGGTGGAGGAGGTTGGGTGGAGGAGGAGGTTGGGTGGGGGATAAGATTTTGTTCGAGTCCGTGGGGTGGAGGTGAAAGGGAAGCAAAAGGAAGTAGCGGAGCGAGGGGTTTTGAGGGCAAACTGAAGCCTTTTGCTGCTCTGGTTAGTGTGGAAATGTGATATCGAGTGAGCGACAGTGAACCCCTGGTTTTCATTCTATGTACCCCGCTAATAAAGAAAGCAGTTAACACAAACAAACCCTCATATGTTTAGTCACTCTTCTTACTATTTGTTCAACCGTTGTCACCTGGAAAAGTTCTAGGTCATTCGTTGTTAGTACAACACTTCCAGAGAGTGAAACTACTCCTGCGACGGCACTGTTTTTGTTGGCATTCTCCAAGCTATGTGCATGGCGAGTTTGTAATTGACGGCTGTTTAGATGGCTGACACAGAGCAAAGTAGGAGTTTGACGATACAAACCAATCCCGACATATGTCAGATCACTGCGCGATCACTCGACACGGATTTGATGGTCAACGTTCGTCCAACCAGCACTCGACGCCAGTCAAGCTACACACATCTAGGTCAGCATCAAGCATGATTTCGATGCCGACTGATCATGTTCAACTTGCAATATTCTCAATGTGTCTGCACACATGTCACATTGCAACATTTCTACCACCGCCCGGAGGTGGCCAAACACTATACGTCACTCGTCCACGGGATTGGTGCCCTCAAATTGTGGATGAGATCCAGCATAAGTAGCATATAAACGCAGCTTTCTTTGCGTCAAGAACCTCCAAACCAAGATCTTCTCCATTGGTGATCCAATGGCTACATAACTGATCATACTATAGATATCAACGACATGAATGCGCCCCCACCCCTCTCCCGCACCCCCGCGCGCGCTCACAACACCCCCTCCAACGGATCCGCCCTAAGCATCGCCCTCTTCCTGGTCCACACCGTCTTCCCATGCGCTAGCACTAGACCTCTACGCTCATACGCGCGCCTCACGCGCTTATGTCTGTTGCGCAGACCCGGCGTAGCGAGCATGACAAACACTCGCGGGTTTATCACGAGGTCGACGTATATAAGCACCGCGGCGGGACTGCAGGTGCCCACGTGCGCCCACGCGACGTAGTGCGGGAAGTCCCTGTGCCGGTCGTCGGGGATGGGCTGGTTAGACGAGTGGTGGGGCATGCGGCTGCGAGAGATGGAAGTTAGTGATCGCGGGACGGGACTGGTAGTGGAATGGAATAGAAGGAAGGGAAAGGGGACAAACATCACCACAAGCCGCTGGACGACGGTGCCAAGGTACCGGTTGAGCTTGTCGATGGCACTCCGCAGAATGTTCCCGCCGGGATTGGTGGCGGTTCGGCTCCTCCGCGTGTATTTAAGGTCCTTCCTCCGCGCGCCGGTGGAGAAGGTGATCTTTGCTGGCTCGGGACACGCGCCGGTGGAGGAGGTAGGATCCGGGATTGGATGGGGATGGGACATCGTGCTGCAGTGTGGAAGGTGGAAACTGCGGAGGAGCGGTGGGGACGGATGGCTGAGACTTTCTTATCTATTATACCGGGCTGGCCGCTGGCGAACTACAAAAGGGCAGTGGACTGTGGAATGTGCAGGAGATGGATTATTGTTCCGAGATGCTGGCTCTGCAGAAGCTGTTAGGAACGATCGTGAAGGAGCTGGCTTTCGGTGGAGACTTATATGCTTAATTTCACAGCCCGGCGACGCCTCAGGTAGAAGTGAAGACGAATGATGAATCATTGAAGGCTCGGGACAGGTGAAAACGCATGGGCGGATACGCATTATCGTGGTTCGTGAAGCAGATTGGAAGACGAGCTGGCTGCATCCAGTCTCTGGAAGTCCGGCCTGGTTTTGAGGGTGACATTATGTGAAACAGTCTTCAAGCTGAACGCTCGTCTTGAGCCGGACTACAATCAGGCCTTTGCGCTGGCCAACATGACTCAGTGGCTGAGCGCCACATCAAGTGAAACCTTATGTACCTTGAGGTTGAATACTCTGTCTTCACGCAGATTTGTAGCAGATATCTGCACGGACCGACATGGCGATATCGCAGATGCGGCATTGTTTTAGCGAAGTTGCAGGGGTTACGTTCGGCAAGATGTTGCGGTGTTGTGTGAGTTCGGAAAATGCTAGCTCCGCCGGTGTTTAGCAACCACAAGGACGAACAGGTGACGACCTGGGCCCGAAGTTGATCAGCATGAATGAGTCCGCACTTCAACACATCACCGCTGACATTAATGCTAAAACTCTTGAAGCGAGGGTATCATAGCAGCACGCATTGTCAGGTGCAAGGACGTTAAAAACAGTCTATGAGTGATATTTCGTGACATTTCTACCATCTGGATCATATGTAGCAGTATCCATTGCCAAGCGGGGCTAGTGGTTGACGACGGTCGAACACGTAGCTAGTGGCAGTACTGCGGCTAGAGATGTCGCCAATGCTGTAGCTGGTCCTTTTCACCGACTAATGGGTTATCACAATCGGATTCTGAATCCAAGCTGTTGTGAGATCGTCACTGCCCATGGCTCCTTGGTTCTCAGGCGGCTCGTCACAGGGGATCACTCTACTCGCGAGTGACATCGCATGCCTGGACAGAAGCCACAAACCTCAAGAGAAGTCAACAGAAAGCCTTGTGGGCGAAGGTCGGGAAGGAGACGGAGAGAAGAAAGAGAGGTGGTCGATAGCGGAGTTGTTCGCCGACGAGCGGTGCAGCGAGGCAATCCTAAAGTTTCAGGGAACGACGGATGTGGGAAGGAAAGCTCCACCAGACCTGGAGGAGGAGGGTGAGGAGGAGGCAACTTGCAAGCATCGCATCGGAAGCAGAGCAAGAGTTCCCAGCAAGATACTGTGTCTGCGGCTGACCAGAGTAGGCAGGGAAGGAGTGCGACGGTTCGCCATAGTCAAGATAGGCTGCATGCGAAATAAAACAGGAAGATCTCTCTCTCTCTCTCTCCACAAGCCTTAAACAGACCCCAGATCCGAGGGCACTGAAGCACAGAGGCCGAGGGGCCCTCCAGGCAACATTAAAAATAAAAAAATAAGTAAAAATTCAAGACAAATTCAAGAAAGGTAGAGAGCGGTCGAACGAGAAAGGAACTCCTGTGGAAATGGCGGAGGTCCAGTCAACCTCGCTAGACCGATGCGGTGACGTTAGCACAATCGACCGACACAACACCACCCAAACGAACAGGAACGATCAAAACAAAGCAAAAGTGTGCAGGCAAAACAAGCAATGCTCAACAGAGTCGCACCCGGGTCCACACTGCAAAAAGTCCGTCCAAAGTTCGCAGCCAAGGATCGAAAACCGTCGACAAGACGTCAGTTCCAGCTGCGTCCCACAGCACCTTTTCAAAAATTTCCCCAAATGGAAAAGTCAGAAAAAGATATTATGGTCAGACGCCTGACAGAAGGCAATGAGGGGCAAAGACCGCTTCAAAATCCGTGGGAGGCGAGAGGAGGAGGAGGCGAGAGGAGGAGGAGGCGAGAGGAGGAGGAGGTGAGAGGAGGAGGAGGATGATGAGGTCGAGGAGCCGGGGTCACACCCGCTGTTGCTTCCCACACTTTCTTTCATGGAATCTCCTGTTGTAGAGGCAGGTGGCGAGGCGGGGCGAGAAGGGAACTTTTCTTTCGTAGCTTTATTTCTTTGGCGAGCTCATCAGAGCTCATGTAGGTCGCATGCAATTAATGAATAAACAAAAAAAAAAAAAACAACCCTCACCTCTCAACGGCGATTCAGTTCCAAGCACCTCGTGAGGCTTCGCTTCTCTTCTCTTCCCTCAAGTCCTCGCTTTCTCTCTCCCTCCCTTCTCTCTCTCTTCCCTCCCCTCCCTTCTATTTAAGAACGCTTCCCTCTCCCCTTCTTCTTCCCTCCCTTCTTCCTCCATTCCCTTCCTCCCACATTATCAACCACACAGTCAATCCATCTCTTTCATCTCACGATCCACCAAACTCGCAAACACAAACCATCGAACGACAAAAACCATGGGGGCTACAATTAGCACCCCACCTGCCCCCTCCCTGCCTTCTTCCTCCCCCTTCTTCCTCCATCTCCTTCCTCCTACACCATCAATCACATCATTCACTCACCACTACACCCACCGCCACACCCACCGCTACAGAGTTTTAATTAAAAACAAACGAGACACAGTTTACCATCAACGAAGCTGCAACTCAAAACAACTGAACACCGGCAACAATGGGTTTGACAATTAACCCCCCACCTCCACCCTTTGAATGAGATTCCCGAGGAGGAAATTCCCGCCGAGGAGGCCGCCTACGCGGACTACCTCCAGATTGTGGCCTTAACGGCCTTGTATCTCCTCGCAATCTCCGAGGAGAAGGACGGAGCCGCCGCTGAAGCCGACGCCGCCGACGAGCAGCAGATGGAGATCGACGAAGAGGACACTGAGGGGGACGAGATAGACATTGACGAGGACGAAGATGAGGGATATTAGAAAGGCAGAGAGGAGGGTTTAGATGAGGAGGAGCTTTAAGGCTCAGGGTGCTGGGTTTCTTTTCTTTTTCAGTTTTATCGCGAATATATTTTTCTTTTCTTTTCCAGTTTTATCGCGAATATGTAACTGCATCCCCAAATTCCAATGACTTTGCATCATTTCGAGCTCGTCGCGACGCATCTCAGCCCCAGGTAGGTACCAGATTCCTACGAGTAGTACCTAGCACGTACCATACAGTGCTGGTTCCCCATTACATACCTACTGTACGGGGATAAGAAGTCGCGGAAACTTCAAACGGGTGTGAGGCTGAATCGCTTGAGATCGAAGATTTACGGAAGTTCGCGATAGTCTAGTCTAGCTGCTTTGCGGAAGTGTTTGATCAGATTCCGGCCGAGTGGTACTAGGGACGAAGTATCGGCATACATGGCGGTGGAGGTGCAGGCAGGCCCATGGGTCCGCCAGCCACGCCGGCGAGAGAGAGAGATCTTCCTGTTTTATTTCGAATGCAGCCTATCTAGACTATGGCGAACCCACGGAATCCGTTTCCTGCCCGCCCTGGCCAGTCGAGGCGAAAGCTCCGGTACCGACCAGTCCGATGCGGCGCCCACTTCCCCTACCCCTCCACCTCGGGCCGACACAAGCAAAACTCAGAATGTAGATTGACAGTAAGGACCGGTATGGGCCTACATGCCCACTCCTCATGCTGCCCCTCGCCTCTCTCCCCCGTCTTCCGCTTCCGCTCCACAACCTATCACGGCGTATCGTCCTCCCCGACTTCCTCGCAGCGACCGCAGACACAGTACTCTGCCTGCTGGGCACTCTTGCTCTGCCCCCGATGCGATGCTCTCCTTCTCTTCCTCCTCCTTTTCCTCCTAGGCTCCTCCTCCAGGTCTGCTGCTGCTTTCCTCCCCACATCCGTCGTTAGCAAAAGATCATTGCGGTGGTAAGGTTTAGCGAAGCACACCGACCAGCCGCTAAACCGGAAGACCACCGGTAGAGTCGACGGGAATGGTGTGAGATGTGTGAGATGGGTAGATGATCTGGAGACTGGAGACGAGCGGAATAATGGAGGCGGAATAGGTTGTGTATGGATGTATCATGGCAATAGCTTCGACTCATTTTCATCATAAACTCCTAATAAACAGGCTCCTTCACCGGCAGCTCGTGCGGCAGAGCTAATTTCAAAACTGAAAGTGTGGCGGTGTAAACATTTTACGAAAAACATCACATACGATAACGGTACTCGCTAGAGAGGTTTGAGTTCGGAAAGCAGAAGACAGCACCGATACGGAGGCGCAATTCTTGGTGAAGTCAATTGTGCAGTCAATTGTACCCAGTAAATCACGAGCTCAACGAAAATCACCGCAACCCTCCGATGCTCCACTTCCCACACGCACTAGTCGTCGGCCATTACTCCCTGCAAAACCCTCTCCAACTTCGCCCTGACACTTTCCCCTCCACTCGCACCCCCGCCGTCTCCACCCCCATCCCCCTCTTCCTCCTCGACATCAAACTCCTCTACAAACCTCCTCGCCGCGGCCTCAGCGACCTCCAACTCCCCCACCTCGCCCTCACTCAGCTGTACACAAGCGGAGACCAAGTCCTCACCCCTAGCCGCAAGCTGTATAATATCAATCGCGCGATCGACCGTCTCTTTATCGATGCCATTGAGCGTCGCACACACGGTCCCCAGGGAATCCAGTGTCCTCCCCGGCTTCAGCACGTACAGATACGTCACCTGGTCCTCTACCTCTTCCGCGTCACTATCGATGGCGACGCTCATCTGGCCGCACCAGAGGTGGGCATGCGACAGGAGGAACGAGGACTCGAAGAGCTCGTGGTAGTGAGTTGAAGCGGCGACTTTGGGGCGCTGTGCGGAGGGGAGGTTCAACAGGTGCTCGAATACGGCGCACGCGAGACCCGCGCCGTCGGAGGCCGTCGTGCCTTTGCCGAATTCGTCGATTATCAACAGGCTCCGGCTGGTCGCGAGGCGGAAGGATAGCGCGATCTGCTGCAGGTCGATCATGAAGGCGCTTTGTAGCTGGTCTATTTTAGAAATTTGCGGAGGTAAGGCAAATGAGAGGAGATACGTACTCGCGAGACACTCTCCCGCGTCTGGATACGCGTCAGGATCTTGTCCGTGATACCGATGATGGCGCTCTCTGCGGGAACGAAGCTGCCAATGTGTGCCATGTAGGTTATGAGTGCTATCTGCTTCAGGTAGACGCTTTTGCCAGAGAAATTCGGACCGGTAAGAAGGATCATGCTCGGCTCGTCGGATTCCCCGCTGGTCTCAGTGTCCGTTTCCGCGGTATCCCTTCCGCCAACCAGGTAACAATCGTTCGGAACATAAGAAGCAACGCATAGTTCTTGTAGAGGATGTCGGCCCTGCTTTATCTCCACGATGTTTTCCTCGGTGATTGTTGGGCATATGTACTTGTATTTGGCGGCACTTTCCGCAAGGGACATAAGACTGATATCTGTCAATGCCATCTCCATCACTTTGAGTTGGGTAATAACATACCAGTCAAGCTCGGCGCACACCCTGACACACTCAATCAGCACATCTTCGCGCTCCAGAACGAGCATCTGCAGATCATAAATGAGCTCGATCTCACGATCTGATTCATCAGCAATCATTGACCTCCGAGCCCATTAGCAGGAGCATCTTACCTCCTATCATTCCCTCCACATCACCGTAGTCATTATCAAGCCCATCCATCTCCGGACTCTTGAAGTACGCGGCCCCATCCGAGCCGAACTCGTAGCGGTACCCCTCCTCCGACAACATCTCGGCAAACCCAAATGGCACCGACAAGAGGTATCCGTAGGTAGGGTACCAACCGACATTCACGTCACTCCAGATGTCCCTTGGCAGTCCCATGTTCGTTGCTACATCCACGGCCACCACCCGCAAGAAATCGGGCATGCCCGCCCACCGGTGTTTCAGATTGTCCAACGTGTCGTCGACATGCCGCTTTACGGCAACACAGTTGAAGGCGGCTGACTCCTCAAAGTCGACCGTGTCGTAGATGAGCTGGCGTACCGCGTGTAGGCTGTTGACATCGAATGTGTTCATGATCTAGGAATCTGTGAGCGAGTGATGATTATGGAGCAAGTAGTAGCAGACAAACCTTGTTGAAAATCGGAGTCCTCTGCTCGCCCACAACATCCTGAATTATGGAGCGAATATTGAGCGCTTCGGTCGTGAATGTGAGCAGCGATGCGTACTCGCCGCCTCTCTGGCCGCTCCCCTTGCCTCTCTTCAACTGTCCCAAAATCTTGGGAATGTTTTTGACCATCTTCAAACTCTTCTCAAGGGTTTTGAGAACATCCGAATTATCGTCTCGCAAAAGAATCGCCACGCCGGCTTGTCGTTCTCTGATCACGTCGATCGACAAGGATGGACGGAGGAACCATTGCTTCAGTAATCTCTGTCCCATCGGCGACCGGGTCGAGTTGATGATTCCTTCCAATCGTCAGTCGCGAGTAGTCTCCTGCCATGGAGATGGCATACCGAATAGTGAAAGGCCCTCTTTCCCTCGACCTCCCTTGCCCTGCATGTGAAAATTCGGGTGGGATTCATTCTCGAATATCTGCAGACTGCAAATCGTGTCCGCGTTGACGAACCTAGCTCACCTGTCATTAGCGCTCCCGAGACACGGCCATGACTCGCAGTACAACTCACATAACATCCGCCAACGAGAACAACTCGATACTGCGAATATGCAGCCCATCTCCACCATCACTGCCCTCCTCATTCGCCTTCCTCCTCTTGAGGTACGAGAGCACAGCTCCGGCACATCCGACACTAATCTTGCTATTCAGATCGATCCACGACGCCAGCTTCAACAGCTTTCCCTTCGACTGGCCCTGCGCGGAAACATCGTGGTGGTCGGTGGGAACAATTATCTCCGGCCCGTATTCCTGGCCGATATGCAGCGCCACCAACTTTCGCCGCCCACCGTCGTACGCGAACTCGCCGGCGGCACGGACTAGCACCCGGTATGGCTTCTCGGGCTCTTCCTCGTCGCCGTCTTCGCCCGTGGCGAGAGGCGCACGCTCAATGTCGTCCATGCGCGAGGAGAGGAGGAGGACGGTCGGGTTGACTTGGAATTTCACTATTTGCGGCCGCCGTCGTCGTCAGCTACGGTACCATCTACCCACCCATCCACCCACCCACCCACAGATCGAGAGTCAACGTACGAGCATCAAAGCAGTCCGCCGACGGCAATTCCACATCCTCCATGAAACTCAGGGTCTCATCGGCAGCGGTATAATACGCGCACCCCATTTTCGAGCCTCGCTGGTCGACCGCCATGATGATGTGGTCAGAGCCGTCATCGCTGTCGCTGTCATTTTCGTCGTCGTCGGTCGTAGGGACGAGAGCGGTGCTGCCGCTGCGGTCGAGTGTCGCCCTGTTGCTTCCGCCCGTGCTCCCGCCCGTGCTGCTGGCCGCCCGCGAAAGCGAGCGGGAGTGGTCGAACCAGACGGAGTCTTCGCGGTAGGACATGGTGATGAGATGGCGATGGGTGTGGGCGGGCGAGAGGTGGAATAATAGGCGGGGCATGGTTGCAATATGCGAGATCGGCTCGATCAGGATATGAGTTCTGGAAATGGCCACGAGCATGGATGGATTGCTTGAATTGACTGAGCAGCCGACAAGAAGACTTAAGGCAATGGAATAAAATGAGAGCTGAGCGCCTCTATGGAAGAGAAGATTGGTTTGCTGATTTCATTCCGCCCACAATGCTATGGAGCTTGATTCGATTGGGCTCGCTGAGTCATCGCCTCGGTACTCCCCAATATTGCTAACGAATACCATGCCATATACACTCTGTTACAACAAACCGCTCTCCATCAGTATCGTAAGGTTCACCTTTCACCGACATTGCAGGACGGCCTGATACTTACTTAGCCCCACCTAGCACCTTCTCCGGCCCAAACGCATCCGGCACGGAATAAACGTCCAATCTCCTTCTCCTCCCCAGCTCAGCCACCGAGACCAGTCGTCCGTGGGGACGCCGGGAACCTCGAGTGAATGCCCCCATGATGGAATGAGTACTGACTCTACTCCATCACTCGTGCCGAAGACATAGATATCGTCGCGCGATGCAGGCGCTCACACCCGTTTCTGCGACTCCTTATCCGTGTGTAATAGGGAGCCGGCATAGCATGTACTACTATATACTTTTTCACTAGCCCTTTCTTCCATAGCGGTCTCAGAAGAGTGCCTGGCAGAGGGCTGCTGATGTCGAGGAACTTGTAGCTTCTACGTTCCATGTAGTGCCACCGGCATCGAGAGCGGGATCGCGAGCTTGGTCTCATGTATCATACATCGAGCGCCGTAGCTACGGCTCAAAAGTATGCCCGTCGGGCGGACATTGGCATCAGCCTGTGCCCACGAAGTCTCGAAGATGTGTTCGTGAAGGACTCCCGACGTATGTATGCAGCCATCTAGTATGTCACTGGGATGCCTCGCGACGAGCTCGAAAGGATACGATATCATTGAAAATGCAGGTACATGTTCGTGATAAGAATGAAAAAGAAAAGGAAAAAGATATGCGCCATAAAACTGATAAACAAAACCCCCCGTATTCGCGATGAAAGAAAAGAAGAAAAAAAAAGATATTCACCATAAAACTGGGGAAAAAACCCCCCCATATTCGCAATAAAAATGGAAAGAAAAAAACAGCTCCCTGAGCCTTAAGACTCCCCGCCTGCACCCTCCTCTTCATCCATATCGTCCTCTCCGCCTTCCACATATCCCTCGTCTTCATCCTCGTCAATCTCCATCTCGTCCCCCTCTTCGTCCTCTTCGTCACTGTCATCGTCACTGTCATCGTCCTCCTCTTCGCCGGCGGCTTCAGCGGAGCGGGCCAGAAGATATAAGGCCATTAAGGCCACAATCTGGAGATAGTCCACATATGCAACCTCCTCCTTGGGAATCTCGTTTGGGGGGGAGGTGGGGGGTTGATGGTGAAACCCATGTTTCCCGCTGTTCGGTTGTTTTGAGTTGCGGCTTTGGTTGGTTGTAGTCATGGGTTCGGTGGTTTGATTCTGAGGTTGACAGTGTGGAGGGAGGGGATGGAGGAAGAAGGGAGGGAAGAAGGGAAGGAGGAAGAAGGTGGAGAGGGGACTCACGAGGTGGTTGGAGCTGAGGTCATGGAGCTGAATCGCTATCGAGGCCTGTTTCTTGTGCTCGTTTTTGTTCATTCGTTAATCGCATGCGGCCTATGTAGATTATGGCAACATCACCACGTTTACCGTCCTGCCCTCTAAGCCACTGTCCAACCCAACTCTCATCATCAGGGGGCCCAATCCGGCTTTGCCTGCCCCCGCGATATCGACGCTGGTGACTACTGTCAACGCACATGATCTCACTCACCTATAGAGTGATGCGGCGAGACGTGTCTGAGGACCAAGCAGGTGTGGGCAGTTACATCTTACGACAGCTTCGATTCAGAGCCCGATTGTGATGGCCCATTGGTCGGCGAGGAGGGATCAGCCATAGCAATGGCCACCTCTCTAGCCGCAGAACCGCCACTAGCGGCTGTCGCAACCTGGATCCGCGCGCACAATATTGGAGTTCTTTCTGAGCATTTCCCGTAAAATAGTTCCAACGAAGCCTCCCACCCGTCATTTGCCTCTCGCCCTACATTTGCCGCCCACTCACCACGGACACGCTGCAGAATCTGTTATCTTGGTGTTTATACACGGTGAGTGCCGCATTTCTGTGAGCCGGCTAACGCCACAATCTAAGATCTCTTAAGCGCGGCTAACGTCAATGGCTGCTGCAGCACCGCATCCACCGAATCGATCGAGCAGCCCGTGTGTACTGTACTAGTACGCACGAGAAAGAATGGGAGGAGAACTGGCGCTAGTTATGTAGAATAGCTCCCCCTGCTCCGCCACCTGCACCTCCTCCTCCTCTGACGTCGACGACAGCGAGCGAGCCTTGTGCATTCGACTGTGACAGCGCATGGTATGCGCTTCCGTTACGCTCAAGTCTAGTCCTGCCCCGCCCCCTCCCCCCCCCCCCTTCCGCCCCTCACCCCTCACCCCTCCCCCCTGTCGTAATCTACAACATTCGAAGCCACACACACACTTTGGTCCCGTGGGAACGAGTATGTTTCTGTGAGTAGTCACTCCCTGGTCAGTCAACTAGCCGTAAGGAAGATCGGTTGTGGGTGCGTCGGCTAGGGGGGCGAGAGAAGTATACGTGCAGGAGGCTGAATGAGGCTGGTGGCTGTCGAGATGTGATCGGTGTAGGTACAGCAGCACCAAAGTACTATCACATTCAGCGGAGGTGACGGGAGGTGGACTTCCAAGTCTACATGCGCCAGTCGCTCTGAGTAACGTCGGTGCAGTAGGTAGCAACATCACTAGCCATCACACATCACCAGCCGCCTTTACATACTCATTTTTAAACACATCCCCTTCCCTACACCTCCGAAAACACCAAAAACCGAACCTCGATACTCCTCCTCGGCACTGTGCCCTCTCTATGCGGCAGTGCATGCGTGAACGCGCCATGGGGGACACACTTTGCGGGCACAGCCGCATCGCTATCGAACACCTTGAACACGCAGCACTCGCCATCCGTCATGCGGCTCTGGTAGTAGAACTCAAACTTGTCCGAGTACATCGCCATGTAGTTGCGCCGCACTACCGTGCGGTCCACGAACTCCACCTCGAGGAAGTCCGCCCGGCAAGAGGTGCGTGCGTCGCACACTGTCAGGCTCACGTCTTCGACGAGCGGGGTGATGGGGCGCCAGACGCTGGGGTGAGGTGTTAGCTCGTGGGGAGGGGAGGGGAGGCGGGGCGTGGGAGACGAACGTAAATAGCCGCACCCGGTACTTCGCGATCAGCGAGTCGACGTCCTGCAGGTTCCGATGCATCCAGCCGAGGACGCCGGCGGGGCTCTGGTCTGGGATGCGAGGGTCAGTACTACCGTAGCAGCGCGAGGGAGAGAGGGATGGAGGGAGAGGTACTCTACATACCGGCATGAATCACCGGCACGGGCGGAATCACCGCCATGTAGTTGTGCACGTCGGGGTTCCCGTAGTCTTTCAGCGTCGCGTCTCGCATCTGCACGGCTTGCTCGTTAGAACGTGAGGTCTTGGTCTTGAACATTGCCCGCGCTCGCTGCTGCTAATTCCAATGTCCTCCCTGCCATCATTCCCCCATCGCTACATCTGCGTTCCCGAACGAACCTTCCGCCCGCAGCACCCGCCCCCCCTCTCCCGAGACTCACCCTAAAATCAAAAACCTCCGCCCTAACCACCTGCCCCCCCAGCAGATCCTTCAACCACCCCTCCACCACCGGAAAATACTTCTTCCTCAGCGCCTCCTCATCCCCATAATCAATCCCGCTCGGCGGCTGGAAAGGCTTGTAAACGAAGCCATGCGTATCAAGCCCGAACTCTTCCTCTCGACCGCGCACGTCGCGGATCAGCTGCGGCGGGCCGAGCGTGTACTCGATATTGGTGTACGGATACCCAGGCGGCAGCTTCTCGAACACGTAGTAGGGGATCTCGCGCGTGTAGAGGGGGAGCGAGGAGATGTATAGGAGGCGGGTGGATTCGTCCATTGTCGCTGGCGTTAAGGGATGGGAGATGGGAGAGGCGGACTGCTCTGGAATGTTGCGGATTTGCAGGGCGGCGGAGATGGTGGCGAGTGATATTCTCTGAACCGCATGAGCGGGGAGGGGGGTGCGGGCGGGGCGCCGGAACACCGATTATGCAACGGGCGAGAGGGGAACGGGGGGGGACAAGGCCCAACCCGACTGTAGGCGGATGTGCTTTAGATCATATGTCGCTGGATTACGACGGCCTAATGGTAGTTCGTGCGAGTGATCCCTGCAGCGCGTCTTCGGAGCAGTAGGTCGGAGCAGTGGAGGGGCTTGCAGGGCACCCTGCAGCTGTCAGATGCCCACTACGGTCCCGTGCCCTTCCCCGCCGTACAGATGATGGGGCTCATGGATGCTGGCTCGCGCGGGGGGTTTTACGGTGTATTGGCATGCAGCGTTTGTTGCTCAAGCCTCAATGGCAGGCGGAGAGGAGGCGAGAGGAGGAGGATGAATAGGAGCAGTAGGGCAGTGAGGTTGATGGGCCTAGCTGACCCCCGCTGTTCCTCCCCCTCCTCAGAATCGGACATGGAAACGGAGGGTGTGCGTGTACTAGCACCAGTATTGCCATGATCCCGACAGAGAGTCGCATGCAATCGATGATCGATGATTGAAGCAAAAAGAAAGTTCTACCCACCTAGTATATAGGCCAACTAGGAGCTGCAGAATTTTATGCTAGTTTACGTCTTCGACGTTTGATACGGATGTGCGTATGATACGCACTCTATATACAAGCACAGTGCGTAGCCCGCAACCCCCCCACTACCGGTATCTATTCTAACTCGCTTCTTCCGCTCTCACTCCCGCTATTCCCGTGCAAGCAAGCAGTGTTTCCAGACGCAATTCAACTTTAGGAGGCAGTCTAGGTAGTGCTTCTACGATGGCCGCCTCTACCGGCGATGCAGTGTTGACTACCCCGCCTCTCATCGTTTCCACCACCCCGCCCCACCCCCACGAGCTGGTGCGGGGCTACGTACGGCCTGCTAGCTGATCGCCGCCGTCACGAGCGATCCATGCTTATCAAACCTTCCGCAGTTGTCGCGCACACTACTGGTATATGTATAGACTACCAGAAACTGACATTCTTCTGCAGGGCGCAGGATATAAAGTCCACGCATACTCCCTGCCAGTCGATCACTGCACCGCACCGCCTGCACTTTTTGCGCCGCACAGGAAACCTCGCGAAACCTCTCGCTTCGCAAGTGTGTTGCCCCCCCCCCCCCCCCGGTCCACAGATAGAGGTACCTACAGCCCGCTCACCTCCCTGTAGCTCCCCAGCTGCCCCATCACCACCACCACAACCACCCCAGCAACAGCAACCATGGCCGACACCGACAAACCCGCCGACAAACCCGCCGCCGACGCCCCGAAGCAACCCACCCCGGCCTCAAAACAACTCACCTCCGCTTCGAACCTAACCTACACCACCGCCGCCGCCACCGACGAGGCACAGAAAGCATTCGGCATCACCAAGCATGACATACGCGCACGGCCGTACAAGAACCTCCCGGTCGACACCGAAGCTAGCGAGGCCGCAGAGTGCGCGGAGAATAAGGGGAGCAAGGCCGAGGCCGAGGACGAGAACAAGGACGATCCCGGCCACGGACCTGGGCCGGTGCCGAGGCCGCCGCCCGCGACGGGGTTTTGAATGGGGGATGCGGGAGATGGGGGGGATGGGATAAATAAATAAATGTCTATGATCAGTGTCGAGACTGGGTTTGGTGAAGTGCTAATGTGTTATCGCGGATGTCGAGTAATCTCCGTTAGGTAAGTACTATCTAGATGATGGCATACGCAGATTCGGTCATTGTAGTTGCAGTGCCAAGTTCTTCGCATCATCAAAAGGATATACCCCCAATGAAACGACATATCGTTCCAAAACTCCGTCCCAAACATTGTCCTAAAACCCCATCCCAAAATTCTATCCCAAAACGTCGTGCCAAAACGCTACCCCCTTCATCCCCTCTCTATAGCTAAGTACCGCCTACTATCCATTACGACATGAGTGATAAACACGGCCCTCCAAAACTCGTATTAATGTACAAGCCAAGGAAAAATCCACTTCATCAGACCCAGCATCCACGATCTCATATATGCCAGTGAACCGCCAGTTTGTTACAGCCCACTACTCCATTGCTACCCTATCATGCACCAGTGGGAGTGATCGGGAGTTTACCGCCCCCCCCCCCCCCCCCCCTCAATCAAGCCCAATCCCAAAACTCCCCTCCTCCGGCATCACCCCGGGCATCAACTTCAGCAACCCAACCATCACCGCAGGCGAAACAATCATGTCCCCCGCATCCCCCGGCACCTCCCCAAACCTCCCCATCAACAGTTCACACACACGCATAACCTTCAGCGGGCTGAGCTTGCCAGCGGGAATCCCGCCGCTTATCCCACCGACGCCCAGCGCGTGCCGCCCCGCCTCCATCGGGACTAGATGGTCGAACCGCGCTTCTTCGGACATGGCCGCGGCGGTGGACGGGGGGAGGTAGGTGGTGTGTGTGCGCCAGAGGTTGGAGAGTGTTTTGCGCGCGGTGGATTGGAGGGTGTGTGCTTCTAGGTGGCGGGAGGTGGGGGTGGTGGGGGTGAGGATTGGGCTTGGGGGTGGAGAAGGTGGACCGGACGTGGAGGGGCCAACGGCGGTATTAGTACTGCTGCCGCTCTTGGAGTCCCGCAGAAGGATTAGTTGGCCGAGACGGAACTCGGCGCGGATTCGGCTCTCGAGTGGCCACTCGTCGGGTTGGGAGAGTGACTGCCGGAGGTGGGTTCTGGTGGTGGGATTAGCTGGTTTTCTAGGTAAATGGCAGACTCGACAGTGGGACTCATTGGAGGGGGGGACAAACTCAGCCTCCTCAAATTTTCCACGCTTCTGTTCCAGCATCGCGAGAAGATAATACGTATCCAGCGTGCATCTGGCCGATGGGCCAAACAGCTTGACACGATTATCCAGCGTGTACAGCAGCCTCTCATGCGCATCCTCTATGTGATCCGCACTCAACCAGATATTCGCCCAGAGGAAGTGAAAGATCTGGAACGCCACGAAGTATTTCCCATCCTGCGGCATATCCTCCATCTTTGGTATGAGCTCCATCGCTTCCGGGTATCGTCCCGCCGCGGCGAGAGCCACAGCAACGTTCCGCACGTTTTCGCAGCTGGGGAGCTCATGCTCGTCGCCGAGGAGCCGGCGTCGGATAGCGATGGCGAGCTCACTCACTGCGTGTACATCATCCCAGGCCTCGAAGTCGATGAGGGCTAGACCAAGGTTCCCCCAAGCGGCGGCATAATTGAGCACATCGTCGAGGGTGACCTCGTTCGGCTCGACAGTATTGATCCAGTGCTGACGCAGAGCCAGGGCCTTCTGGAAGCGGTGGAGGTTTCCCACACGCCCGGCAATGCCGGAGTTGCAGCGCACCGACGCCGCAATCGTGTGCACGTTTGCGCGCTGCATCTCGTGTCCACTGGTGCGTGAGAGCAGGCCGCAGATCGACTCCGCGGTGTCGCTCGCTCGCAGACCGTCGGAGAACAGGTTGCGCTCCCAGAAGTAGTTGCTGCAGTCGCTGAGCATCGTCGCGAAGTCGATGCAGGGCGGAGGCGGCCGCGCGGTGCTGGTGTACACGGCGCGAAGCGTCATTACGTGAGAGGAGTACCGCTCGCATTGGTCCCAGATGTCGTTCTGCGGAAGTTGGATGTTGGAGCCCCGTGGGAAGACGGCTCGGATCAGGAGGAAGGCCGTCATGAACGTCTGCCGGAAACGCTCGGGATCGTTGTCGAGTCGGTGCAGTAAACTGCGTTGCAGCGAACGGTGCATCACTAGGTGTTTGGTTCCGCCGATGTACACGCGGTCCACCAGGTGCCGTGTGAGCAGAGACCGAAGCATCTCCTGGAAGCTATACCGTATAGTTTAGTATTGTCCTCAGCGAATGGCCGGACCACGTACCAAGCACATAAGACGGGACGGGGGAGAACGGTACCGCATCAGGTCCGGAGCAGCCAGAAATGCAAGCTCCGGCTCGGTGTGCACACCGTAGAGCATACCCTCGGGTACTCCGTCCGGATTCAACATGCTCAACGTCTGCACCAGTCTCAGTGCATCGGGATTCTGTCGCTCGAGCCTGTTCAATGCCAGGTCCCAGACCACGCCGAGTCTTTTCTCGTATTGGAAAGTGCTCATGTTTCCCTCACTGGCAAAGATATGCGCGCTGTTGCTCCGCTCCTGAAACAGCAGCAGAAAGTCTTCAAACCCAGCCTTGCTCTCGTAGATGTATCCGGCGACGTGTGCGATCGCAAGCGGCAGTCCGCCTAACTCATCTGCGATCCGATTCGCCTGTCCACTGGCGTCCGCGGGGGCGTCGACATTGACATGATGGTTCAACTTGAGCAGCAATCGGCCACCCTCCGCCTTCGGGAACGGCTGCAGGCGCACCTCTGAGCGTGTGACCTGCGCCAGACTCGCATTCTGACTCGTCAGCAACAGGGCCCCCCCACGCGACGGCCAGTACGGCTTCAGCGAGGCCCAGTCCTCAGCATTGTCGAAGATCAGCAGCCACCGGCGCTCGCACGCCTCGAGCCACTGCTTGACCATCTCCGACAGCGCGCGGCTCAGTCCGGCGGTGCCGGCGTCGAGCCGCAGTGCCCGCGCCAGCGCCGCCACGCTGTCAGACAGCTCCGCATCCGTCTCCGCCCGGATCCAGAATATGTAGTCGTACGCGAAGCGGTAGCGGTGCGTGTACTCGATCGCGACCTGTGTTTTCCCCAGCCCGCCGATTCCGTGCACCACGGTCGCGCGCTGCCCGTGAACATCCCCGCCCGCAACTTCGCTGTTGAGTTGGCTGTGCAGCAGCTCCAGTGCGTCGTCGCGCCCGCAGAAGTAGGGGTTCCGCTGGTACGGCACCATGTACAGACTCTCGGGGACCCGGGGAGCTATGGTCACGTGTGGCAGCGCGGCGTCGATGCGCTCTTTGACTTCCTGGACGGTGCGCGCTCCCCGCACTACCTCTTGGTCGACCGCCAGCTGCCGCTGCCGTTCGAAACGTGAAACGTGGCTCTTGATGTTCGCTTTCGAGGTTCGGAATTTGCGCTCGACTGTGCTCCAGAAAATCCGCAGGAGATTGTCTACCGTACGTACACACCGGCGTCAGTCACCCCAATTTCCCCGCAAATCTTGTTCTTTTTCTTCTTCATCGCAGTCAGTGGAGAAAAAGAAACATACGGATGGGAAACCTCATAAAGAACTTGAGCGCGGTGATGCAAAACCCGACATAGTCATCGATCAGCGCACGCATACAGACACGCAGGGCGGCATCGCCGGGAAATAGATCGATATATCTCGACAGCTGATCGAGCGTGAGCGTGAGGTCACTGAACATATCGACAATCATCTCCATGATATCCGAGAACTTGCTCGCGACGACGATGAGGGCCATGAGCACGCCCCAGACAAAGCTAGCGACACTACCACTCGCCTGCATTATCGTCGTCGTGCTGAGCAGGAACGTATTGAGCCGGTCGAGCACGGGCGTGAGCAACAGCACATGCCGTGCTATGTTCCGGTCGCCGTACCGCTCCTGCTCTGTCGCCAGCGTGCTCCGGAAGTTGTGGTACGACAGCAGCTGCGGCAGCACCGCTGAGTACTTGCGCCGTGACAGTCGGTGCCGCTGCCGCCGCAGCGCCTCATCCCAGTCCGCCTCGATTCCGTCGGCTGCGCCCCCCAGTGGGGGCGCGCCGTACGAAAGGAACGGTAGGTGCGACGTTGCGGCAAGGTACGGTCTCTTGAGGGACAGCATGGTTGGGTCGGAGGTGGTAGTAGGTGGTGGCGGAGCGACTGCTATGGGGGTTATTGTGTCGCTGTGCTTTCCGGTGCGTGATCGCTCGTGGTTTTCATTGATTGAGTTCGGTGCAGGCTTACAGGGGGGGATTTCTTCCATGAGATGTGTGTTTACGGTGGCGTCTTCCTTATCAATCGCAGGTGCCATTGCAAGAAGGGACCACGCGTATCCTGAGCCTCATCATGAGCTGGGTGGTGCGTTCCTTCCTTTAACCAATGATCCCGCTCAGCATGTCATCCCTCGTGTTTTTTTCCCTTTCTTTCCATAGACCTGTCTGTGGTGGCATCGATGGTGACGACGACGGGGATTGGAACGTCGAGAGAAGCAGGCTCGGATCATGGTACGTCTTTGCTCCGTATCGCCCGCCCCGCTCTTCCCGTTCATTGGGGACAGCTGTAGTGGGTGAGGCTGGCCCCCAGCACTGTGGCATGCGCTGCGTGCAGATACGTCTGATACGTGGCGGCGAACTAGCGCGCACTTCCAGCTCACCAATTCGCGGAGTCGTGGTGGATGTGGGAAGTGGTATTGGCTGCCGGTGTGGTTCATCCCGCTACGCCGACAAGGCTCGAGCAAGGTGCTTCAAGCTGAATCTTGAGTCTCCAAGAGTCCGAAGGGCGGAGGGCGGAGAGATGTGAATTGAGCTGTCCGAAACGATGGATTGAAAATACGGTACTAACTATATGCTGGAACAGAGAGAACTGCGGTCGTCCGAGAATCGGTACAGATCAGCGTCACCACCATCCCTTGAGTATTACGCAGAGCACTTACTTCACTCTCGGGTAGCCTGGCGGAGATGGAGGTGGGAGACAGGCTGGCACTACATAAGTCTTGCATCGGACCATCGGCTGAATACGAGGACATGTAACCAAAGAAGAAGCAAAAAAAAGATGCCGATGTATATAGGACCGATCATCCTTCAGGAGCTTTAGTAAGTAACCCAAACATGAAGAATCAGCGTGGGGTATGTAATGCCATCCCCTCACGCATGAGGGGCTTTCGTGCTTGGCCGTCAACCACCCGCCGCATCAAAGAGGCAAGCTGCAAACAGCAAACCGAACAGTGGATAGAACGGAGGAGGCTGGAGAAAGTGACGCAGCGGCAGTGAGAGCGCCTGCGACGTTGAGGGGAAGGCTTGGGTTACGAATACCGCATTCGTGATTTCAGCTCTATCCAAAGCTTCATCGTTGTTTGCAGACAGCCAATCCTCAGCTCGTTTGAACCCGGCCCACAGCTAGTAGTTATGCAGGTGCTCGTTGGCCGGAAATCCTAGAAGCACTTCAATTATACCCCACATATATAGCGTCTTTGCGTGATCTCCTCGCCTCATACATATATAGAATAGAATTTTCCCACTCGCCCCGCTTCGGTGGACCCTGTTCCAAAGGCTTGTTGTGAAATGCGAGGGCTATATATCTTGGTAATATGTATGAGGACGACTCGATCTGCGGGATTTCACAGCAAGGTTCGAGAGAACAGCTCCGTGCCTTCGACTGGAATGGCGGACATTCCCATGATTCCCACTTGTATACACACGTGACCGCTTCGACCATTGTACTCTACACACGTGACGGCTTCAGCCATTGTACACAGCCGGTTCGGTTCGGACCGGGGGGGCTGGCGGACGGCTGGCTGAACAGTGGACCGCACCAACCACCAAAAAATATCATGCGGACCATACCGTCGGCGCGTCGCCTTCCTCCTGCAACAACCCACATCCGGTGGTGCCGGGTTTCACCAACATCTGGCGGGCCCGAAGGCTTGGCTGTGTTGATCCCCGGAGACATGGTCCCAGGCGGGCCATATCTCCATTGAATGCACATGACCACCCGCGCTATTCATGTCCATGCTGCTGATATTATTCTTCGCGTTCCCCGTCTCCTTCCTCGAGCTACAACATGAAAAATGTAAGTCTACCTCGTCCTCCAGCAGTCCAAATTGCCTAAAGCCGTCTAATATCTCCTCCCCGTCCACAAAGGCTACTCGCTCGCCTCGAAGCGCTCGGTCCGATCATCTCGACTCTCATATCAATATCGGGCACACCAGGCCTTAGTCTCGGCGTATTGCACCCATCCCTCCCTCCGTTGAACAGCTCACAGGAAGCGCACGTCTACACCGCCAACTTCGGCTACCGCGACGTTTCGGCGCGCCAACCACCAACCGAGAACACGACGTACGTGATCGGGTCGCTGACGAAAGGCATAACCGCGGCGCTGCTTGGCCAACTCGTCGATGCCGACGCCGTGAGCTGGAGCACGCAGCTGCACACGCTGGTGCCATACACGCGCGATGCCGACGATCCCGCCGCGAACATCACGCTCGAAGACCTGCTCAGCCACCGCTCGGGGCTGCCCGGCTACAATGCCTACTGGCTGCAGTCAGGGAATACTCCCGTGCTGCCGCGGAGGGAGGCCGTGCGGATCCTGAGCGCTGTGCCCGCCGCGGCACCGGTGCGCACCGCATTTGTGTACAACAATCTCGCCTACGAGGTCGCGGGCCAGGTGCTCGAGCGACTGGCCGGGGCGCCGTACGCGAAGGTGTTGGCGCGAGTGACGGACGCGTTGGGAATGCGCAATACGTGGTTGGGTGAAGACCTCGGACGGCATGTCGACACAGCAAAGGCGTATGCGACGCTCCGGAACGGCAGTGCGGTTGAGATCCCTTTGCCGCTGCGCGGAAGCGATAGTCTGATCGGTGCAGCTGCCGGAATCCGAAGTTGTGTTTCCGACCTACTGGAGCTGTACCGCGGATTTATGGCTGCGGGAAACTCGGCGCTGGGCTTGCAGACAACTCGCGGCGGCGGCGGCAACAACAACCCACTGCGACAACTCCCGACGCTTTGGAAGCCTCACATCGCGCTACCGTTCCCCTCGCTCCGCGAGTACACTTACGCCCTCGGCTGGGTGCGAGCAGAACTACCCACGCAGCTCTCATTCACAGGGCCAGACACCGTGCCACCAGAGAGCCCCTACCTCCTCCCGCCGATCGTCGGCTTCGGCGCACCGAGCCGGCTCGCGCTCGTGCACTCGGGCAACCTTCCGGGATCCGTCGCCTACGCAGCGCTATTCCCCGAATCCAGCGCGGCGGTAGTAGTTCTCGCAAACAGCGTCGCACTAACCGACACCGCTCGCCTAGTCGCGGGCGTTCTCATCGACGCGCTATTCGCACCATCCGACAGCTCGCAGCAACGCCGCGAAGAACGCTGGAACGAGCACATTTCGTACGCGCGGGTGACCGCCGAGGCGGGAAAACACTGGGTCGAGCGGATGGCGCGCGAGCTCCACGGTGGAAAAACCGTGCGCCGTCCTGTGCGCCCGCTGCACGCGTATACTGGCCGCTACTGGAATGGCCTGGGGAACTTCTATATCGACGTGCGCGTCGTGGGAAACGCGCTGCAGGTGCTATTTCTCGGCACTGAGGATAACGCGTTCGCGCTGGAGCCGTGGAGGAAAGATAGTTTCTTTTGGTTGACCACCGATCATGATGGCCTGGCGGCGAAGGCGAGGTATACGACGTGGTCGGCGGAGTACTATGTTCTCAGCTTTGGCTGCGCGAGGAAAGGGGCGCCGGGATGTCTCGTCTGGAAACATGAGGCTGCTGTGGCGGGTGACGGAGAGGTTTTTTGGAAGGACGAGCAGATGCCGCGGCAGCGGAAGCAGCTGCAGACGGTGGTAAGGTCTTAGGATGGGGTTGTGCAGACGTTTTTCTTCATCCTTCCCTTCTACCCGCGTTTCGTTCTTGTTTTCGGCCGGCGCTTGTGCGGTTCGGAGGACAGAGAGTTCTTTCTTATACTAGGTTTGCCGGTCTGGCTTTTTCGTCCTTGGGATGCAGTGGTTTCGGAGCGTAATACAATGAACAAAGTTCCACAAACCACCTCCTCGTTCCGGTCGCTATATTGAGAAGTTGGTGTACCTATTCCACATGGCAGCACAAGGTTGAGCCTGCGCACGATATCGCTCGCTTTCCAGGTGACTGCTGGTATATATTTCGTTCACAGCCTCCTTTGTGTATAAGAAGCTATGTTCTCCGACTCAGTAAGCTTATCGTGACGTGTCTAGACATACTTCATCGCGTATGTCGCGGCTTCGCGTTTTCAAAGTAGAAAAAGTTTTTTTTTCCTGAAATGTAGCGCTGGCTAAGGAGGCTATCACGTGCCATCTCTGTTAGTATAGTGGTTAGTATTTCCGCCTGTCATTACAGGATAGTCCGCGGGAGACCAGGGTTCAATTCCCTGACAGAGAGTGAAAAGCTTCTTTTGCTATCTGCCAGGACATACGAGATAGAAATACAAAAGGCAATGTTCTCGTCGAGCGAGAAAGTTTTTACACCGAAAGACGAAGGATAATATGAAGCACGTGACCTCGGTAGCCTCCACGCCATACAAGCCGCGAGGGGAACACACACCTCCGACAACCACACTAACCTTCCAAAAATGCCAAGACTATGCGTTGGCACACCAAATGCCCCGCTCACTTTGGCTTCAGGATTCATGTGGCGTGTGTGTCAACTCTTTCCGACCGCGGATTGAGTGCCCCGACCGAAGAATTCGACGACGATGAGCATGAAGCGATAGAGATCAATCGAGCCTCGGTCCCTGGCCGGAGAACTACACCACCACGGGTGCTACGTCCAAACCTCTGAAGAAGTCTCACCATCGCTTCCCCGCACATCATCATCGATTTATCACTCTAGGAGAGCCTGTTTAGCAGGCGATACGGCGACGGCGGGGAGGAGAGTGAACTCCAAGGGGAGAGCTCAGGGCTTGGCCCAGGACAACATCGACCATGACAACCGGCATTTTGCCAGTTCCGCCTTCGATCCAAATATCTTCGCTGCTATTCATCGGGCCCCGGCCTTGACAGCTACGCAAACCCCGAGACGACGATTCCTTTCGAGCACCATGCCGTGTGCGCTAGACTGGTTATGTTGAGGGTAGTACCAAGTGGAGGTATCTTTTGGAGAAGAGGAGGGCTACGAAGCGCCGCTACAGCGCAAAACCGACAACCCGAGCCTCTTCGGAGGCTCACTCTCAAAATATTGCGAGACGAAGGGATTTGGCTTGTCATTTCTGTATGGATTTGGTGGTGGAATTTCTTTGTCGAAATGTTGTATTGTAGATATCTCTATCGGCCATAACCTTCGGGTCAATCAATCAAGCCGCGAGGGGAGTCGAGTGACAGTTCCCGGTTCAACCGGGGTGAAAGACCTTTGGTATGGCTCTTAGGGGTTCCAAGGCACCCCACCCGTTGGATAGTGGGGATGTTCCTTTGCTTTTGCCACGGTTCGAAATGCTGGGGCACGGCTCAACAACCGGCACAGGATATCACTCGGCACGTGCTGCCACATGGCCGGATTTAAGGACCGTTGGCAGATTCGATTTGTGAGGGATGACGGGCCCGCAACATCAGTTAATGATCAGACATGGTAGTTTCTGCACGGTAAAGCGACCGAGTGACTACCTACCTATGCCGAGTCTTTTTGAATGGGGCTGTGTAGGGCGTTAGTTAGTCCCGCCTCCACAGGCAACATGGCAAGCAACAAGGGAACATTGCGGACAGCGGAACGGATAAATTAATATTCTGATCGCAGGTTCGGAGCGCAAGTTCACAGGCGCAAGGTTAGGCGTCACGGTCAGCGGGAATGTGCGCGCTGCGCACTGCGCTGCGGAATGTAGTAGGTATCATATTTACGCGCCGCGACCGCAGAGGCGCAGATCCCAGCCGCGACCGCCACAAGCGAGGGTGCTCCTCCAGTGGCGTTGGAGGGACGGGGGTTAACTACTCTCACGTGTCACGCTCGATCACCCATCACCAGCAGCGTGCGGAATTTCGGATTCGTCGTACATATTTCAAACATCCCCTGGCTAACAAATGACCTAACTAACTAACGCTTCCCGTCTTCCAATAACCTCCTCCATTCTTCTATACCGGTAAACACCTCCGACCGTGCTACCTACCGGCCATGTGGTCGATGATTCGTATCCAACGATCCGGATTCCGGACGTTCTTGTGTTCGCACTGGAATTCCATGGCGACGGGGTATACATCAGTCGGCGGAGATCACATGGTGATTTCCATAGCTGCAGTGCCCACTGGCGGCGGATGAGTCGCCGATATGCTTGCCAATGGGCTCAGCAACATTAACCTCGAGCTTACGCCACAAGAACCCTAGCTGCTGCGCAACGTCTTAGCTCAAGCGGTTACCATGAGGATGATGAGAAGGATTAGAAGAGGCGTACGAACCGAACCGCTTAAGCGGGACCACCTCCCTCGCGATCGCCCTGGGCGGAACCGTGTGGAAGAACATAATCTCATTCTGTCCCAGTCCCTGGAAGACTTTCACCTGGGGCCCGAGTTTCCGGGTGGCTATCTTCAACACGGTGACGGCCTGCTTGCCGGGGAGGCGGTGGCCCCAGTGGGCGGCGTGTTTCGCGTCCGCGAACGTCGAGATGAACGGCGATGGCACGCGGGAGTTCCAGTTGAAGTGGCTGAGTATCGCGCGTTGGAGCGTGAGCGCGTCGGGGCGCCCCCAGGATGTTGAGCTGATCGCGGCGTGGAGCCCCGTATGGGGGGAATATACGGTCTGTGTGCGGCTGTATTGTACGCGGTAGAGGTACCGTGGGAGCGTGAGGAGGGGGAGCTTAATTGTTGCCATTGTGGATGAGGGGCTGGATGTTGGTGCTGCTGGCTCTGCTGGTGCTGCCATAGATACGGCCATGGTCCATGGCTTTATATCACCGCTGTGGATAGTGAAGGCGCTGGGGATAGTGAAGGAACCGCCTTCTGAGGCCTCCGCATAATGGAATGGTCGCGCACATTCACAGCATCTGGAGATAGACGCCGGTTATTGACTGGGTCATACCAACGAGGCTGGGTTGGGGATCACAGGAGTGTCTGGAATGTTGGAAATATGAGGAATACCAGGAACATCAGGAAGATGAGAACAAAGGCGACAACAGATCGTCTATCAGCAAATGAAATGCTCCCTGACCTCCCTTCCGCGCTGTTGCGCACTGCGCAAGTATTGTTTTGCTCGAAAACACCACTGATGGGGGAAAGTGGAGGGGACTTCCCCCGCCGTGGCTTGACGAAACGTACAACGAGGGCCTAACGCGAGATAAGAGCGAACTGGTAGCATCCCCTCTATAGTTGCTGTATGGGCCTTATCAACCGACTGGTTGTTCTGTTGGTACACAGCGGTTAGTATCAGGCATTTCCCCCTGTTAGCACTCGGTTGCCGGGGAGAGACCAGGATTTCATCCCCTGCCAGAGAGCGTGTGCTATGCTGATCAGTTCCATTTCCTCCTAGAGCTCAGCCTCCATTCACGTATTCATCAATGAGTCAATGCCTCAGAGTGGGTCGGAATAGAGAACACTCCGTAATACCTAGTAGGTAGACTGTAGTATTGTATGTACCGCCACATTGCCGGATAAGATTAAATTGTCGGCACCGACGGTTCTCATGAGGGACCTGCGACGTATGTACGTGAGATGTGGGTTTATGGGTGAGGCACACAGTTGGGTCACTGACGTCACTCGGACAAGACTGTGGTTTCGATGTTGTACATTACGACCGGGGGAGGGAACAAAGAAAAGAGAAGAAAGGGACAGTGGGCAAGAAGATGTGGGGTGCGTCCCGGCCTGGGCTGATAGAGCTCAGGCAAGAGCTTCTACGTGACCGTCTTCGTTGGCTGGAACGGGGACGCCAGGCCATGCCGGACGCGCGAACCCCAGGAAAGGCGGAAGTCGGGGGAGAGAGGCGAGGGGGCAGCAGGAGAGGCGGGCATGTAGGCCCATACCGGTCTTTGCTGTCAATCTACTTCTTGCTTGTGTCGCCCGTGGCGGATGAGGGGGAAGTGGGGTGCCGCATCGAACTGGTCGGTACAGGGCTCTCACCTCGACTGGTCAGGGCGGACAGGAAATGCAGTTCGTTGGTTCGCCATAGTCTAGTCAGGTTGCATGCGAAATAAATTGATGTTCTCTCTCTACCGGGGGAGGAGGCTAGACTTGAATGTAACAGAAGTACATACCATGCGCCGTCACCTTTGAATGCAAGAAGCTCGCTCGCTGTCGTTGTCGCCGTCAGAGGAGGAGGAGTGGTTATTCTGTCCACACCTCAAGAGTGCGGTCGAGGCTCGTTTCGACAGACAGCGAACCACTAGCGCCATTTCGCCTCCCATTCTTTCTTGTGCTTAAAGCTTAGTACACACGGGCTGCTCGATCGATTCGGTGAATATGGTGCTGAAGTAACCATTGACGTTAGGCGCGCTTAAGAGATCTCAGAGTTTGGAGTTAGCCGGCCCCACAGAAACGCCGCACTCACGGTATACAGTCACCAAGACAACAAATTCTGAGCATGTCAGAAATGAGTGAATGGTAAATGGCGGGCGGGCGGTCGGCTTCGTTAGAAATATATCAGGGAAATTCTCAGAAGGAACTCCAACATTGTGCGCGCGGATCCAGGTCGAGACAGAAGCTAGTGACGGTACTGCGGCTAGACATGTGGCCAGTGCTGTGGCTGCTCCCTTCACACCGACCATTGTGCGCTCACCATCAGACTCTGAACCCAACCTGCCGTAAGTTCGTACCTGCCCACAGCTGCTTGGTTCTCATGTGTCACTTGTGGAACATCACACCACACCACTCGATATGTGAGTGATATCGTGTGCGTCGCCTGAAGTCACCAGCTTCAATACCGCGGGGGCAGGGAAAGCCGTATCGAACCGCTCGTTGCAAGTCCAACATAGGTCACATGCAATTAATGAGTGAACAAACAAGAACACAAGCAATAGGCCTCGATAGCGATTCAGCTCCATGACCTGAGCTCCAAGCACGTCGTGAGTTTTCTCTTCCCTCACTTCTTCTTCCCTCACTTCTTCCCTCACTTCTTCCTCCTCCTTCTTCCTCCATCACCTTCCTCCATCCCCTCCCTCCATCTCCTCCCTCCACACTGTCAACCTCAGAATCAAACCACCAAACCCACAACTACAACCAACCTAAGCCGCAACGAAAATCAACCGAACAGCGGAAAAAATGGGCACCACAATCACTCCCCACCCCACCCCGAACGAGATTTCCAAGGGAGACATTCCCGCCGAGGAGGCTGCATACGCGGACTACCTCCAGATTTTGGCCTTAACGGCTTTGTATCTCCTCGCAATCTCCGAGGAGAAGGACGGAGCCGCCGCCGCCGAGCAGCCGATGGAGATCGACGAAGAGAACGAAGACGAGAACGAAATGGAGATCGATGAGGACGAAGATGAAGATGAGGGATATGTGGAAGGCGGGGAGGACGATATGGACGAGGAGGAGGGTGTGGGCGGGGAGTCTTAAGGCTCTGTTATTTTTTTTCTTGTTCATTTTTATTGCGAATATGGGGGGTTTTTTTCCCCAGTTTTATGGTGAATATCTTTTTTTTCTTCTTTTCTTTCATCGCGAATACGGGGGGTTTTGTTTACCAGTTTTATGGCGCATATCTTTTTCCTTTTCTTTTTCATTCTTATGGCGAATATGGGGGTGTTTGTTTTCCAGTTTTATGGCGCATATCTTTTTCTTTTTCATTCTTATGGCGAATATAGGGTTTGTTTTTCTTTTTTATTTTTATTGCGAATATGGGGGGTTTTTTCTCTTTTCATTCATATCGCGAATACATTGTACTTGCATTTCCAATGATATCGTATCCTTTCGAGCTCGTCGCGAGGCATCCCAGTGACATACTAGATGGCTGCATACATACGTCGGAAGTCTTCCAAATCACATCTTCGTCAGCGGCACAGGCTGATGCCAATGTCCGCCCGACGGGCATACTTTTGAGCCGTACGTACGGTACTCGATGTATGATAGGTATATGACACTAAACTCGCGATCCCGCTCTCGATGCCGGTGGTAGTATATAGAAGCTACCCGTTCCCCGACATCAGCAGCCCTGAGTCTGCACTCTCCTGATACCGCTATGGAAGAATGGGCCAGTGAAAAAGTACATAATAGTATTGTACACGCCATGCCGGTTCCCCATTACACTGGGATAAGGAGTCGCGGAAACGGGTGTGAGCATCTGGCACCTGCACCGCGCGACGAAATGTCTTCAGCACCAGCAATAGAGTGGAGTAGAGTAGGTACACTGAATGGGATCACCGCACCACGAGCACAATAGAGTACACATCTTCGCGCGACATTGCGAGCGCCTAGGTGGTGACGTTGCCGGCGGCTGCAGAAGAGAGACGGCAGGCAGGGGAACTTCTTTTCCTCCCCACCCCCCCAACTCCCACAAACTTCGCACCTCCGGCCGGAGATCTCGGTATACGAGGAAAGGTATGAGGCGTTGAACTGGATGCAGGAATTGACTGGGGAAGGGAGCTTCGATGTGGGGTTTTGAGAAAGACGACCGTTGACGAGCATGTCGCGGGCGCTTTTCCTTTCCATCTTGTTAGCTCATTTTTCTTCTTTCTAGGTATCTGTCTTTCCTTCTATGTGCGGATGGGCTGGGCGGAGAGCTCAGAGCAATAGGGAACCCACACCGAGCTCGCGGCCACTGGTCGGAGACAGTGGGGCGGAACTGGACGTGTGTACTGTACAGCCATGATCTGATAAGGTCGAATGCTACATATGATGATTAAACAAAACAAAAGCGGTGACGTTGCGCAAGATCGACGTTGAACTTGTGTGCGCCACTCCGACTCCAAGGATGCAAGTCACTTGAGTGACGAGTCTCAAGGACCTTAGAGTCGCTCGGTGCACGCGCGAACATACTCGGCCCTCGATCGTAAACACATACCGCCGGCCAACATTTCGCGCCAGCGTCCCTCCCTCCACCTCCAACATGTAAAAAAAGCAGCACTCCCCTCCGCTCCTTCCCTTTCCTTCCTAAGCTCCTTTAGTACGTCTCCTCCCCCGCTCCCCCCAGAATTGCCTTTAGGCTTTCACTCTCCACCCCGCTAACTATCCCGCGTCCCACAGCCTCCTAGCTTAGAACAAGTGTATTATCTGTTCTTTTCAGTCTAATAGCTGAAATCCGATCATGTATCGGTTCAAATGTTAACTTTATCTTTGGTGATTGGGGCCCCGGCCGCTGCGCGTGCGCTTGTCGGCAAACGCGCCCCTGTGTCGCTGGTATTTCACTGCCTCCGGTTGATCCGGATGCGGATTCGGATGTGACTTCGTCGTGGCTCTGGCTGGAGGCGAGGGTGCGAGAAAGGGGATATACGCGGCGGTGGATGGGGATGGAGGATGGGGGATGGTGGGGGTCTTGCCATGTTGCTGGTTGAAGCTTGGGTGCATGGCGACCTGGTTGGGCCCGGGGGTGTGGTGCGAGGTGGGTCATACTACCGTACGGGGACGTATGGCGATATCCTAGGTGCAAGCTGTTTCTGGGCCAGACATGCTTAGTAGAACTGTGGGGAAAGGCATCTGCGGTCACCGCTTAGGCCGTATATCGTACACAGACGTTGCAAATTGTTTCTCACGTGAATGAATGCCACTGATATCACTCGTTATTCTAGTATTTGGCATGTTATTTATCACTCGTCTGCTTCATTATCATGTGTTTGAGCAATAGGGAGCCCACATCGAGCTCCCGGCCAGCGGTCGGAGACGGTGGGGTTGAACCGGAGTGTAAATGGCCATGATCTGATAAGTTCGAATGCAGCAATGATGAAGCCAAAAAAAGAAGATATCACGTGTTTGTTTCACTGTGTTTCGCTACATAATGCTGTGGTTGGGCTCATATCACTCGAAAAACGCAGGATTCATACTAGGTAGATTGTACTATGTAGAGTATGTCAAAGACAACGATGAAAAAAGCCGCGAGTAGTATTTACTATGTATTATCTCACAAGCCGAAAGTGAAGTGAAGGGTTCAGATGATGACGAGATTGACATAAAGTAGGCAGAACAAGCGGATCGCGAGGTGAGAGCGTCGACTTGCGAGGAGCAAGGCGAAAAGCACTTGCACTTAACCAAGAGTCAAGTCAGCGCCTCCAAAAAGATCCATGATCGATATTGCACGACAGTCGAGATCACGGCTACGCAAGCCTGTTTTCGACCAAGTCCAAGCCACAGAATGGTGAGCCAGCCGATTTTGACTGTGGTGCTCACCATCTATCATCCGCTTCTAGATACATGATCGCAAGTTCGTAAGTTTGCAACAACAATAATAAAAGTGCGAAAAGTTGAAACTTAAGGCCTAGAAAGCGGCCTCGTCCTCTCGCACAGTCACTTCCAAATTCCAGGTTCCAAGTTCCGCCGCTGGTGAGCCATTATGTCGCACCCCACCCGTCTTCCAAGTTCCCTCGAAGAGTCAAAAGTCTGGAATCTTCGGTCGCCTACCCACTAGTTATACAAATAACTGCACTCTCGTCCACGAACCGACTTCAACCGAGAGCCCCACATACACGCGTGGAATCTTCGCAGCTACTAGCTTCGCGAGTCGCTGGTCCCGCACGTGATTGATGAATGATGGATGGTGAAGCAGCAATGTGATTGCGCGAAGCAAACGGCAACGAGTGATACTCCGGCCGCGAATAGCGGCCGCCGGCACCGTACACTACCTACACTACCCATGCGGGCCACTACCGGCGTTACGGCGTATGGCGCGCACGGAAATCGGCGGATACACGGAAACGCCGAACTCTGTTTACCTGGAGCTATTCGGAGGTCGGAGGTCGCAGATCGGAGGCTGGCGGGATATGGATGTATTATGTATAGTACCGGTTACCTCTCCGTGGTGCTCCTGACTTCGCGTTTGGAAACGGTAAGGTGATTCTCGGTGGAGCTCTGTTCGGCTAGTTAGGCTTTGAGGCATCGACGATAGGTACCAAGTACCTAATGTACCTACCTGTACCTGCTTATGTACCCTATGTACCCAAGTACCCAAGTATTTTCCCCGCCGGCGGCCGGCCCCACTGTTCAGGACGTCAGAAGGCTGAAGCAAGTATATACCTCCTACATACCTCCTACACACCAAAATCTTACATCCTACATACTATACATAGACACTCACATAGATTTACCCGCGCGAACCTGGAGTCCCGGACCTCCTCGACTTCACTTCCGCCATTGCCCTTCCACCTTCCCCTTTTCTTCTCCGTCTTCCACGCCTCTCCTGTCTCCCCCATCTTCCTCCTCTTCCACGCCTCTCCTGTTCCCCCGTCTTCCCCGTCTTCCAGTCTTCCACCGTTCTGGTCCTCTCCGACCCGGACCCGGACCCTGAATTCAACCACCGGGCCACCCGGCTCGGATCGGCACGGATCGGCGCGGGTTTCACTGTTCACAGTTGGCGTGTGAACTATTTTTGCCGCGTCCGTATTCCCTAGAGTCTAGTACGGTACCTGCTATGTAGTATATAGTACTATACATATCAGGTACATACCCGTACATACCAGGTACCAGTTCTGGACTCTGGAGTCTAGTTACCGACCCGAGGGCCGGCCGACCCTTGAACCCGGTAACCACCTGGTAACCAACCCGCGGATCTTTAACTATCAGCCCCGCCTGTACTCTGGTTACTGACATACATGCATCCTACCAACCTATGCATTGTGCAATAAATATCGGGTTGTCTCACGTGACGTTTAGGCCCGCCATGTGGAGAGGCTGGTCAGTGACCTCCTGGCCAGTGCCGGCCGTTGGGGCTATCATATCTACTCTACCAACCCACCAACCCACCGTGCGGCTGGCGAATAATCTCGAGATCGGATCAGAGTTCTCAACTTTCAGCAAACGGCGTCTACTATGTCTACCGTGTAGCCGTGAGGTTTCGTCCATTAATTTCAGATGGACCGGCGAACAACTGAGGGGTGTCCGACGTGGCCGTTTTCTGTGCGTGTGTGTTTTCCGTGCGTGGGTGGGTGCGCATTATGGGTGGGCCTTTTATGCTCCGGCCGACTCGCCTCGACGGGAAGTGGGGTTTCACGTACTCTACTTTGACGAGCGGGGAAGTGCACACTGCAAAGCTGATGTGTTTTCGGTTTTCAGTTTTCACTTCCCCATGGACCATGGCTTTCTCTCCTCTCTCATCGTGAAAATTAAAAACTCGGGTCTCAGTGTCGCCAGTACTATAAAATAGAACTAGAACTAGAACTCGGTATGTATTCTTACTAAGAAAAATAGAGAAAAAATATTGAGAAACGCCCATATGTAAAATTGTAAATCCCTAAAATGCAACGAAATGGAAATGCTTCCGTTCCGGCACCGCCTTGTCTTCACTGATCACTTGAATAACCAATCGAGCACTACCGATTGAACCTGCCCGGTTACCTCCCAGCATTCCCACCAAAAATCAAAAGGCAGAAGACAGAAGAGAGACGCCCATATGCAAATCCACCAATGCTCCGTTCCTCCACCGCCATGACTCCCCAAACTCGACCGCGCCTCCACTGCCAACCTCCACCGCCAACCCCCAGAACCACTCGCCCATTCCCCATTACCCATCGCCCCCCCTCCCCACCGCCTCCCCTTCCATCTCATCTCTTGCCCATCACCCCCATCCCCTCGCATCCAGCCCTACCGCCTAACCGTCCCAATCCTGAGAACGCCCGCAATTCCCATCCCCGCACCCACTCCCGCTCCTATTCCCGCTCCCACACCCTGTCCCGCCCCCGCCGCACTACCAGTATAAACCTGCAAGACCTCATCAAACTCGTCGGTATACTCCTCATCGTCCTCCTCCTCGTCCTCATCGCGGACGTACTTATCCTTAAACGTCAGCGTGCGTCTGATCTCGTTGAACAGGTTCGAGATCTGCGGTTTGGATTCTGATATCGTAGGGGTGGCGGTGGGCGTGGGCGAAGTGGGTGAAGTGGGGGTGCGCGGGAGCATAGGCCCTGGGGAGGGGGGGGAGATGGGCGAGGGGGAGGGCGAGGGGGATGGGGAGGGCTGCGCTGCTTGCACGCGGTGGAAGGCTGCGCTGTGTGGAGCTACCATGGTGGTGTTCGTGATGATCGTTGGTAGGTGGATTTTTGCGCGCGCCGGCTTGACTTCGCGCACGAAAAAGGTGGATGAGCGCGGCATTTCCAGCGGTCTCGGGGTCCACGCCTGCGGCGGGGGAATGGCCTCGTCGTAGTGCTGCGTGGGCGGGTTCATCGGTGGTGGTGGTGGTGGTGAAGACGGTCGCCGCGCTGGGGTGGACGGCATTTCGACGGGCGTGGACATGCTCTGTTTTGGCGTGGCGGGCACGAATGTGCACACGCTCTGCAGCATTGCCGGGCCGAGGAACTGGCGCTCCATGTCGTCGATCAGCTCGACTTCTGTTTCTGACGATTCTTCTTCGTGAGCCTCCTCCGCCGCCTCCTCCGCCGAGGATTGCCGCTCGATGTCGTCGATTTCGGCTTGCAGCATTGCCGAGATCTCGTCGACGTCGTTGGAGTTCTGCGCTGGGTGGAAGGCGAGATATTCGCTGCTGCGCGGGCGTGGGCCCTGCGAAACGTACTTGTTCTGCGTGGGCAGGGCCGGCATCGTCTGCCGGTTCCTTCTGGCGTTTGCAGTGCCGCGGGTGAGGGAGACGGGGCGCGAAATGCGGAGGGGGACCGGAAGATTTTCCTCGCCGGGACCCGGATGAGAGGAGGGTTGCTGTGATGCGGATGGGGCTGCCGTGAGCTGTGGTCGTCGCAATGGGTCCGAGGTTGTTCGTCGAGTCGTCGACGAGGGTCTCGCGACATCGGGCATGGCGGTTATCTGGCATAGTGGACGGCTTTGAGGTTGCTGCGATGGCGGTGTTCTTGACCGCTGACGGGCTGGGTCGGACACTGCTCGGTGGGAATTCGGAGGCCGTGTGTTTGAGCATGGTCGAGTAGGCTCGGCGTACTGCGGTGGCTTTGGTGGAGCTGGTGGATAGTTGTGTGGTTGTGCCGGCGGACAGACTGTCTGACGAGGCTGGAAGTACTCATATTGCTCCTGCTGGTGCTGGTGCGCTTGCGGCCGAACTTGAGGCTGGGAGTATTTGTAGTGCTGCTGCTGCTGCACTGGTTGCCGAGTTTGAGGCTGATAGTAATCGTATTGCTGCTGCTGCACTGGTGGCGGAACCTGTGGCTGGTGGTAGACCGACTGCTGTTGGCACGATGGCTGCTTCGGTGGCAGTGGTGGTGGAGAATCTCGCTGACGAGAGGGCAGTTGCTGTGGTGGTGTACGAGATGGTTCTCGAGGGGGCGGTGGAGGTGGACAGCTGTGTTGGCGTCGATATTGCTGCTGTGGTTGTTGCAACGACGTAGGTCTTCTGGAAGCCCTCGACGAAGGCACCGGCTCATGTTCTACAGAACGAGGTCGTGGAGGTGGCGGCGGCGGTATCATGTACTGTGGTGGTGCCGAGTTCATCTGCGCGAACTTCGTGTATATCGAGGGCAACTCGGTGTGCTGCGCTCGGCGGGGACGAGGTGCGCGCGACATACTAGATATCGGATGTGGGTTCGGCGTTTAGGTGCTTTCGTGCCGTGCTGTTGGAACCGGTCCGGTGAAGTCAATGGCTCCGGTTGAATGAATGGCTGGTGAATGCGGATCAGTTTTGGTACCTTTGGAATTCCTGGAGCAAGAAACGAAAGAAAGATCAGCACGGGCTGGGAAGGAAGGAAGGACGGTCTTAAGTGTGTGTTCAGCTCTCGCTCGCTCCCATACTGGGACTGTGGGTGACCGTCAGCTCGCGGCTTAATTCAGCCCTGTGCTGGCATGGGTGCTGTGCTGGAACCACTAATCCGTCGGGGCGACCACACGATGTGACGATGGCCCATCCACACGAGATATTTCGAGCTTATCAATATCCAAGCGGGGGTGTAGGAGGTGTGGGTTTATTTTGGACAGGTCAGTGGGGCTTCTCGATTCAAGATTGCCGCCATATCATGTCATATGTCATAAGTCACTGTGCCCTCTTGCTGGGCCACAGTGTGGTGAGAAATGAGAAGTGAGCGAAGTGAGCAGTGAGCAGTGAGAAGGCTGTGGCTGTGGCTGAATGTATTGTATTTTACAGTTTCATACCAATGGCGGCGCGGATGGGGTGGTGCAGGAATAGGCCGGGCCCGACGGGGACTGGCGCCTGAATCGGCCGGGTTGTGTGTCAGCTGCGAGGTGCTGGGTCAGCCGGAGCGCGACTCGCGAGAAGGTACTCAGATATCCACCTGGGTACCGTAATCCAATGGACTAGAGGAAAAAGTAGGTACCTATTAGAAGAAGCAATCAAATCAGTACAGATGCGATGCGCAGGTGGGGGTAATACTGAGCGTCGTGAATTCACGGTGGAGTGACGAACGGGAGCTCGCTGCTCGACGACGACGACGCCTAAGCGGGTTTGCTAAGCAAGGGCCGGCGCCGCGGAAGAATGGCGGCGGTACAGTTGGTTAGTAGCGGCTGTTGGGGGCGGAAGCCATCAGATTATGGTCGTCGCCTGCCGACTGTGGCCGGTCAGCGGCGATCGCTGTCACGGTTCGCAGAGCGGGCGTCAGTCACCCCGGATTTTCCGCCGGAACATGCCACCGGCAATTCAGAGCATGCAGGGATGCGGGGGTAATTGGAATTTAGTCATCTCGTCCGAACGGCGAACAGTGAACAGTGAACACAATTATGTAGGTAAGAAGTACCCTAAAGATAGGGCCGCGGAAGAAGGAAGTTCGAGCTCGGCAGGAGAGCTAATGGGATGGTGAGAAGCGAGCAACCACAAGCCGAGGGGTGCGGGCGCGGTTGGTGGAGATGGCATTGCCACGGCTCGACTGGATGCATAAGGAGGGCTCAGCTATGCTTGATAATTCCCACAGCATGGAAGGTAGTGTAAGGAGGGCTGAGGTCGTTGGGTACCGTGGTAGCTCACGTGCAGGGTACTTGATGTTTCAGACTCTCGGTTCTGCTGTCTCGACGCTTGGCGCACAGATTTTTGCCTGAACAGGACGGCAAATAGATAAAAGTAGGATACCTCGGGATTCCCGATACAGTATGCCATTCGCTGTATACGGCAGTAATGAAATTACGCCTTGAGTTATTACTGTATGCATACGGGAGGGCTCAGCCGCGTCTAAAGAGGGCGGAGGACCTGAGGTACCGTAATAGTTAACTCACAAAAGGTATCATAGGTACTCGATGTCTCGGTTCTGCTTTCTCGACACTTGTTGCACGGATTGTTGCAGGCTGAACAGGAAGTAAAACAGATAAAAGTTGAGTATCCAACGTTTTCCCATAACACAAGCCAAGATTCCCGATACAGAAAGCCACTCGCCCTGTGCGGCAATAATGTATTTACCTTTCAGTTTGTGTGAGTTATTACTGTACTTAATGCATAAGCAGGGCTCTGACATGCGCAAAGAGGGCTGGCCCAGCTCAGCTGAGGTATGATAAGAATGATGGCTCCCAGAAAACCCCAAGCAATTCTATCCCGTATGTAGGTCTCCCCATCGACGGACAAAGTGCGCAGGCCGAACTGTGAGTGCTGATGTTCGGAGTCGCTGCGGTTCTCAGCCTCGCAGTGACGGTTACTCCACTGGAGAGATGCTTCGGTGACGTTCTGTTTCTTCATCACCAACGCGGCCTGAACGCGACTCCACCGTGTATGTAGAAAGAAACAAACGATATCGTAGCATAGCCTTAACTACATCATACCCCCTTTTTTGTTGGAGTATAGTACTAGTATACACTGTACAGATGATCTCACAGCCATCCACTCAGACGACGCCATACACACCTTCATATGCCATCACTCGGATTCCGTCTCATCGCCAGTACTCTTTGTATGATACTCATTATGCGACGCCACGCTCATCAACGAACTGGAGAAGAAGGTCTCAGATGGTAAACAAAAGAAAAAGAAAAGGCATGACACCAAACATCACGATATGGTGCACCAGGTATTCCTCAAAGCAGTGGGAAAAGAGCACAGCCGTAAAGTCCCGTCGTTTCCATCGTTTCCATCATCTTTCACTTCCACCCACACCGGCACTGGGACCTCCCTTCTCACTGCGAGCGAAACCCCTTCCTCTTTCTCAGCGTTGCGTTCCCCGACGTTCCCGGCGTCCCTAGCGTCCCTGCAGCAGCATTGCCAGGCTCTCTCCAGTCACCGCCCGAGGAGAACACAGATGGCCGAAATGTGGACTGTATAGTAGATTTCGTTGACGAGTGTGCGCCATCCTGACTGTCCCCACTCCAGCGCCCAATGCGGGCAATGACACCCTCCACCGACTCGAGCGACAGCGGCAACCACGCATGCAGAATACCTGTTTCCTTGAATCCATCAGATTTTCCAGCGCTTGGAGGCTGCTGCAGTCACCCATCTCCCTTAGCGATCATGAGCATTTTACGACGACGGGCCCCGGAGTGCAGCGTTAACTAGGTAGGTAGGTAGTGTCTTCTTACCGCGGGGGGATCCATAGGCAGCTCCACAAGTCCCTCGCCACACAGCATGCTCTCTTCAATAGCCTGGAGGACCGCACGTCTTGCCGCCTCTCGCGTGGGACATCCGGCCAGGAAGCCCATTTGTTCCAGCCGCTCCAGCACCTCTTCTGGTGAGTACCGGCGCCGGTGTACGAATGTCGCGGTGGTGGTGGCTGTGGTGGCTGTGGGTTGAGGCGCAGAATTGCCCCCCGCACTGGGCGCGACGGGAAGGGGTGGTGCCGACTGCCGCTCCTGGTGCATCAGGGCGGCTCCTCCACCACCACCACCACCACCACCAGAGTCTCCTTCTGCGGGAGTCTGGTTCTCGCTGACTTCCTTGTTGGTTTGAGGGGCCTCCAGAGCTGCCCCGTAGCGGTCGTGGGGCTGGGGGTGGGGCCGGCCGGCTGGTTTGCGGGGTAGCTCGTCTGCTTGATTAGGAGCAAGTATGGGATCTACTGCTGCCGCCGCACGCTCGGTGGAGGTGGAAGTTGGCGGCGGTCCGAGACATGGCCCGTGAGCTGGCGATGGCGATGGCGATGGCGATGCCGATATTTCGTCACCAGAGAACACCACGCTCCTCTTGCGATCACTCGGCCGTAGAACCCGTCCACCCCGGTTTGCAGCGGCTTCCGGAGACACCGATGGCGGACTGGGGATGTGGCCGTGGTTGTTGCATAACTGAAAGCGACTCGCGGTAGCACTCGACTCCTTGCCTAACTCGCCTCCGTTCTTGGCCGCTTCGCCGGCGGTGCTGATGGCGATCATCGTGCGCACATCCGTATCACTACTATAGTGGCAAGTTAACGTGGGGACTGTAGCATCACTGCTTCTATCAGCTCACGTAGTCTCTTCGGCAGCACGGTATTCGTCGGAGAAAGTAGGGATTTCGGTATCGCTGCTTGCGTCGGCAAGCGTGTTCGCTTCAACGGCGTGGCGTTCACTAGCGAGCGTGGAAACATCTGCCTCGTCCGCCGTCATCGTGGCAATGCCTTGCAGGCGCGGCGTGTGAGAGTGAGTGAGTGTAGAGGTGAGAATGGAATAACGAATGAGGGAGTAGAGAACGTGGGTGGACGATGAATGGCCCGGGCTGGTTGAATGGCACAGGCAGATGATGATGGATGGGTTGGTTGCATGGGTGGGGTAGACCTTCCGAACAGACTTCGGAATAGACTTTAAACTGTGACTTTTGTACACGCGCCTCAGTTAATCGATCGAGGGCACTTTTACGAAATGTTCCATCCTCTCACCCCCTCCGTGCCCGCCAACCCTGGCTCCAACACTGAGTCTGACAGTTACCGGCAGCTTTCTTCCCGACGGTCAATGGAGCGAGTCTTCGTCCAGCTGTAGAGCCGAGCGAAAGCTGAGAAATCACTGTATCAGGCATTGTACAGTGTTGCGTGGCAGGTTTATGGAAGTAGAGGAGAAATCATTGCTCTGAGAGCTGTTGATAGCATCTCATCTGCACCCGCTCGTGCGCTCGAGGAAGTTTGTGCTATGTGGTCATCACTCGGATACGGAGTCTTAAAACAAATTGGTATTGTTACCAGAATAGTGTCTGTTATGTTTAGTCTGTTCATTAGCATTGACCAAGCAACATGGCGCAGCGGAAGCGCGCCGGGCTCATAACCCGGAGGTCCCTCGATCGAAACGAGGTGTTGCTATTACTTTTTTTCTTAGTTTTTGCTTTGCCATCCCGCCTACCCATGGCCCATGGGAAGTGATTCACATTATGTGTGCATACAATTTACTTCTCCAAGGTTATCTTCGCATCCTCCAACTCCATCTTTGTTTCCTTCAACGGCCTAACAACCTCCCTAAACCCACCCTCCAGCACATCAATCAGCTGATCCAACCTCTCCACCACGCAATCTGTAAACTCATGCTCGCGAATCGCGCCATTCCCGTCGTGACTCACCAGCACCGTCGCGGCACCGGCGCTCCGTCCGGCGGCCATATCATCGATCGAGTCACCGACCATGAGCACCTCGCTAGTCTGGCAGCCCCACAGGCGTGCAATATGTCGAATGCCATGTGGCTCCGGTTTCGGCGGATAAAACTCCCGGGTGACGACCGGATCGAAGGTATGTCGTAGACCGAGGTGTCTCGACAGCAGGTGCGACACCGGCGCCGCATAGTTGCGCGTCAGGATCGCCTTGCGGATGCCGTGCGCCGCCAGGTACTCGAGCAGCGGCTCGGCGCCCGCCGTAATGATCGCCGCCAGCATCGCCTCGTCTTCGATCCGCTCGATGAGCGCGAGCGAGCTCGCCGGATCGGCGCTCGTGGACACGTAGGAAAGAATGTCCACCCCCGAAGGAACGGACAGGAGCTGCCGCATCTTGATGAACATCCACGGCTGCGGCGTGGTGAGCGTGCCGTCGACGTCGAAGATTACGCCGGAGAGGGTCGGCGTTCCAGCCGCCGCCAACGCTGTGGGAGTAGCCGCGTTGGAGCTGCGCAGTGGGAGGAAGCGGAGGCGTGTGGGGAGAGACATGGCGGTGATGTCGATTGAGGTGGGGTGGTGGGGTATGTTGTTGCATTGGACCCTGCACGGACCACCTGACGCCGGTTCGGGTGCGGTCATTGTGAGGTAGGTAGGGGTGTTTGCGAGGCATCGGGAATCACTCGGACTGGACAATCGGCGGTGAGCGATGACGTGTGAGACCGAGCGTGTGGTCTCAAATGAGCTTCAACACCTACTCCATCCCTTTGATAATATTCCAATCACTCTGGGTGAGGTGGGGAGAAAGAGATGGACCCGCTTATCTCTATCCGAGCGATAAGGCAAAGACCGACAAGGGAAGACGAGGGGCATAAGAGAAAGGACGAAGTAAGGGCGCGTTTTGATGAACTATATGTCACCACCATTTCGGATTTCCCTCAAGCTATGATCAGCGTCGGCCACCTAGTGGGGGGTACATAAAACGAGTGATTGGGCGCAATTGGGCATCAGCATTTTTAGAACTGCCGTCGGCTGAGCGAAGAAACGCTGAATGCACACACTGACAGTTAAACCAGACATCATCTGTACTCCTATTGCTTAGTGGGCCACTCGACTTCACCGGGCTATTTGTAGCGGGCTGATGAGGATAGGTACATCTAGTTCTCGACGTTGAGACACGCCGACCCCGCTCACGGCTGACAGACACCCTTCAAAGCACATGTTGTCACTCGCTCTCCATCTGAATTCTTTTTTTGCGATCTGGATTCACCACGCGCTTCCAATACAACGCGATATTTACGACTCCGACAGGGAAGCAGACTTTTGCTCAGAAAAGGCGTTGACAACTCAACCTGTCGTCCACCGACAGAGTAGAACCAATGTTTAAAAATCTACGATTTGGGCTCTTTAAGTGCGTCTGTTAGTAGGACTATGGGATGGGCCATGCGTGAATGTTATGGTTCAATGCAGAGCGCGACATGGTTCGTGAACACTCATTGGCTGCCGAGCCATTGCAAACCGATGGCCTGTCGACCAGCGGCTCAAGTGTACTGGAGATCACGAGGCACGGTCCAGTCGCGTCACGTTCTCCCAGTAGCCGGGACTGCACCCAATAAGGGGTCGAAGAACTGCAGCAAATTGGCCCTTCTCGGCAGTAAGCAGCCACCTTGCAGCAAATTCACTCGATCAGGTAGCTCGCTAACGCTTTCGGCACTAGCGCAGCGCACTTATCGCGGGCAGGAGTCATTTCGTCGCCGAAGGCAGCAATTCACGGCTCTAGAGTAGAGCTCCAAAGAGCTGTAGGTGCTCTGGGTATGCCCCGCCCCGCACCTACTACAAACTATCGCACTCACTCCACCACCTCCTTCACCGCTCTACCGTTTGCAATCACAACTCCTCCTCCTCCTCCTTACTTTCTCCTCGCCCGAGTTCTCTCCGAAATACATAGCCGATCTCGCTCCATAATCTCTTGCCCTCTATTGTCCTTCTATCGGTTGTCCGCCTGCTCAAGTGCTCTGTTACTTCGCCTCGCTTGAATTCCACGACAAAGGAAACCTTTATCGGTCGCCCCGCTTGCCCCTCGACACAATAGCTTCTGCTCGACAGGACTCTCGGCTTGCCAGCTGTCATTTCCGCCTGAGCGCTCGACAGCTGGACGAAACCACATCTTCCTACGAGTGGTTCAGCTCAGTATTCGAGGGACGGAACCCTGTGCTATCGGACACAGCACCCGAGATGTATCGAGGTGAGTACTCAAGTTGTCGCGAGGCTGGAAGGCCCCACCCCCCCACCCCCCCTCCTCACCCCCGCACGTCGCCCCCTTCGTTATCGTACTCCCTTTCGCTATTTTGCCGAGCATTTGCCCATCTACTTCCTTCACGTTTTACAGCGTACGAGTGCTATAATGTATACCGTCAGCCCCCGTCGCTTGTAAAGTGAGGCGAGTCTTCGTGCCGACCCGCTTCTCCTTTTCTTCTTCTTTCGAAGACTCTCATGACTGCCGCTCCGCTTGTTCTGCCTTGAACGGATGCTTGCAAATCGTTCCAGCTCTAGTCACTGATCATGAGTCAACAGCGAACCTTTACTTCCACCCGCACCCACATTATCCCAAGAACTCCACGGTCCCGGGAGCATATCCTTCCTCCGTCGTCAAGGGCCACAACAGTACCGAGTTCACTCGCACCATTCAGCTCACCGTAGACAAATCTTCGGCACCAATTGGTCGGAGTAGTAGGAACGAGGCCAAAGGACTCTTCGCGGCTGCCAACAACGGCTTCTTCGAGAGTCCCGTCATGAGCAGGGCGCACGCCGAGGTCCGTATGGTTTTGGAACCCCACCGCAAGGTTAGTTCAAACCTACCGTCTCCTTGGCGTTCAAACTTTTTGGACCAATTTATTATACTTTTCTGCTCCATCTATATGTGTAAAGACAACCTTGCTTTTTCATTCGTACTTTCTTTTCCCACTCATCGTTGCCCCTTGTACTGCTCAACTGCGGAGTTATCATCGATCTGCAAACTTGCTCTTTGTTTAACTCCTACCACAGATCATCATCCAAGATACAAAATCGATGCACGGGACTTTCGTCAATGGGCTACAGCTCCACCCGAACGAGACCGCCGAACTTCAGCAGGGTACAGAGGTCACATTCGGAGCTGAGGTCACTAGAGGTGATGAGGTCTATCCTGCGAAGACCTTTCGCTGCGAAGTTGAGTGGGAACGTCTGAGGTACGTTTGCTTTCACTCCTCGGGAATGTCGGACAATTACTCAAGTCTTAGCAGGTCACCCAGTCCTCGTCCTTCGGAGAACAAAACACGTGGTGGCTACGGAGTGACTACCCAGGAGTTGGAGTATGAGAGCAATGAGGAAGATGAAGAGGACGATGAGTTCGACGTGGAAGAGATGGACGAGCACTCGGAGGACGACGAGCACATGTCCGACAGTTCAGCCCGCGCCTCTTCCCCGGCAGCTTCTGTTCCCCAGTCACCACCTCGTGAAAGGTCGAAGGTCACTCCCGACAATATCACGGCGTATTTCCGTGGTGACGATCTTCCCGAGAGCCACGAGAGGTCTACCAAAGAATCTTTCAAGCATCTGCATGACGTGGTACGTGAGAGGTACGGTCTCAAAGCTAGGAAGCTCAGGGAGCTGATCGATCGTGAGTTCGAGGCGTCGGCGGAACTTGCCGAAAAAGACGACTGCCCTCCCCTGCGGACATCAACCATTCATAGCCTCGTGAATAACACTCATACCGAGAGCACTAGCAAGTCAATCAGGGTTATTGATCTTGTTGAAGACGATGAAGATGCAGGCGCTGTCGAGGACATTGAGCCGGCTACCTTCCACTCTTCAAAGGCGTATACGGAGAAGTTTGACAGTCGGAGTCTCGGGTCGGTCGAAGTTGTCGAGAGTATGTCTGATGCTGAGGAAGACGAGGATGAGGAAGACGACGAGCAAATGCTTCCGGAATCAGATGACGATGATGATGATCATGTCTCTATGGATGAAGAGGAAGACGTTAAGATCAAGGATGATGAGATTAATGCCTCCATCCAGGAATCCTCAATCGCCCCCGAGAATAAAACTATTTCCAAGATCACCGAAGATATCGCTACGTCCGAACCTTCATCGCCTCCCGATGTCATGAGTTCCAAAGCCCCGAATATGTGGCCAACCTCGGAACGTATGGGCTCGTTTATTCCAGTCCGTGAAGGTGAATTTGAGAATGATTCTGAGTTCCTATCACAGCCCAATTCTCTAACCTTGATGAAATGCAGCCGTTTCTGTGCTTCCCCCCATTGGAAGGTTAGATAGCATCCCGCTCATCCAGCAACATCAACCCCCTCAGCAAGCACTAGTACCGCCCCCACCAGCTCCATTTCCACCAGCACCACAAGTTCCCGCCACACACGGACGCTGGGTTCCCAACAACCATATGGACAAACGCGAGTTCTTCGAATCGAGAGCAAAGAACTTCGCAAGGGTAAACGCAGAGCAACCCCACGCCATCGACTCGTTTTATATCCCTCAGTGGGCTGGCATCGCCGATTTCTCCCAACCACACGATAAATCTGATATGATCAAGAATACTCCTCACATCTTGGGGTCTTTCTTGCATGATAAGCTCGCCGAAGAGATGGAAAAGGGCATCACTCAAGAAGCGACGGGCGCTAAATCCTCGGTCACTGCCGCCGCTGTCGACGACCTGGAGATGGACGAGGACTGCGATCTCGATGAAGAGTCGTCTCTCGAGATGGGAGATTTTTACGAAGCGAGCAGCGACGAGGAAGAGTACACAAAGGACGAGATCGACGAGATGTTTGGGGTCCCAAATACGCCAACTAGGAAGGAAACCTCGAAGGGAATTAAAGCCGGTTACAGCAAGTTTTCGATCGAAGACATGATGAACCACGAGTCGCCGAAGGGAAAGGCCGGAACCCCGACACCAACCCCGATCCCTGCGAGTCCGCCACGAAAGGAACGACCTAGATTTTCGTGTGGATACACAAGGAGGAAGAATGCATCCCCAGTTTCGGATATCCCCTACATCCTCAACAACACGCCTCCGCCTAGCCTTAAGCGCAAGCGTGCGAACACTGAAAGCTCCATGCCCGAAATCCCGCCGGCGCCAGTATTCGAGCAGACACTGCCCGATGCGCCCGAAGTTGGTGTGGGCAAGGTCGCCTATCCCTCGCTGTCGGCTGATCAGGGCGCAGTTGGGGAGGAGGTCGAGGCGGAGGTCGAGGCGGCGGCAGAGGTCGAGGCGGATGTGGCTGTGGAAGAGGTTGAGGAGCGTCCCTCGAAGAGAGTCAAGTCAGAGAGGCACGGTATGAGCTACACGGGCTTAGCGGCGGCCACCATGGCCGGATTTGTCATGGGAGGCGTTGGAATGTTTGCCGCGCTTGTCGCTTCCGCCCAGTAAAAAAGGCAGCACAAGTACAACGTTTTTGTGTGTCCAATACTCCAGTCATGTCGGGTTTCCTTCCATCTCCGCCGTTAATCATGCTATTTTTTCTTTCTGCTCGTCGTTTTTTCTTTCTTTCAATTTTTATTCTTTGTTCTGCCACTTACAGGTGTACATTTTTTATGGTCTGGCGCCCTGGGGAAGGTATTCGGAGGATGTGGGATGTTCTGGGTTCGGTTGATACGCCGTGGATGGAAGGCGTGGTTGGCAGGCTGGGGATTGGGCTAGGCTGGGTTGGGTTGGGTTAGGTTAGGATCGGGTTGGATGGTGATGGGTTTTGGTGCTCTATTTGCTTCCTGGGTCGTTGATGCGTGTTCTTTCTGATGGAATTTTGTTCTCTCGATTTTCTTCCCCATTGGCCACAATAGCTGTCTCATCACTTTCTCTTTTTCTGTCACTTTCCCTCCTTGTCGTTCGCTTCCATCTCTCGATTTCCGCGTTCCCTGTTCTCACTTTACCGTCGAATACAGATGTTTTCTTTGTCAGAGAAATGTAAAATTCAATTGTTACTCGCGTCACTTGTCGGTGCGGCACTCAGCATCACATTCTCACGTTTGCCATGGCGCATTGCCGACATGGAGATCTCCGAGGATTCATTTGATCGGACGTTGCGCCGGCAAGATGCGTGCAGGGGTTGTTTATTGTCGTTGGTTGGTTGGGGGCGAACATATAATGACGTAGTTGCCCTGACACTCAATTGCTTGCTTGGATCGGGACTGTCACCCGACGAGGTCAACGACGACGAAAGCGGCGGCAAGTAGAGTACTTGACATATGACAGTTCCATAACTCTCCCTCGCTCTCTTCCTTCTCCCAAACTCCAAACCAACAACCGCAGCTATGCCGCATCCCCACCCTCGCGAAAAACGTCCAACGTTCGCTGCGCGCCGCTCTGCCCGCCAAACCTGGTCTCCCTCCGGTGCTGGCAGCTCCCGCCGCCCCGCACTCGACGCCAGCGCCCTCAGCTCGCTTTCCATCGCGCACCGAGAGTTCAACACGCAGGCACACGTCTCGCCGCGCGACGGGCGAGTCCACATCTCGCTCAATAAGGTCAGCGACGGGCCTTTATCAACGCTTCTCGGACAGCTCAATGAGCGGGAGCTGGCGGGCGTGGTCCGGGAGCAGAGGGAGAAGCAGCAGGGCGATATTCAGACGGCGCCGCCGAAGCTGAACATTGTCATCATGGTTATTGGCAGTAGAGGCGACGTGCAGCCGTTCATTGCTATCGCGAAGACACTCAAGGATCAGTGGGGCCATAGGGTCCGCCTGGCCACCCATGGCGCGTTCAGGGAGTTTGTCACCGGGCATGGTGTGGAGTTTTTTGATGTCGGCGGTGACCCCAGTGAGCTTATGGCTTTTATGGTTAAGAATCCGGTATGTTGTTGGTGGCAAGATGGGTGGACGACCGGGTGGGCTGGCTGACGTGCGTGTGGATATAGGGATTGGTACCGGGAGTCGAGGCGATAAAACAGGGCGAGATTGCCAAGCGACGGGAACAGATGTTCGAGATGTTCCACGGTTTCTGGCGAGCATGTGTCGAGCCCTCGGATAACTACCGACCACGGATGAGCTCGGAGACAGCGCGGACCGTATCCACGTTTGATACCGGCCGCTCGTACGACGATGAGGACACCGATGTCGAGCCATTTATTGCAGATGCCATTATAGCGAATCCCCCGAGTTTCGCACATGTGCATTGTGCCGAGAAGCTGGGCGTCCCGCTGCATCTGATGTTCACGTTTCCGTATTCACCGACTCAGGAAATTCCTCATCCCCTCGCGTTCATACAGAATTCGAATCTGGGGAGCGAGTACACCAATGCGATTACATATCCGATGGTGGAGATGATGACGTGGCAAGGCTTGGGGGATCTCGTGAATCGGTTTAGAAAGAAGACGCTGTGTTTGGAGCCTGTGGCGACGCTGTGGGCGCCGGGCATGATCTCGAGGTTGAAGGTGCCGTATACTTACATGTGGTCTCCGGCATTGATTCCGAAGCCTGCAGACTGGGGCGATCACATCGATATCACCGGCTTCGTGTTCCTCGACCAGACGAAAGATTACAAGCCGCCCGACGCACTGCAAAAATTCCTCGATGCCGGCGATCCACCAATCTACATCGGCTTCGGATCCATCGTTGTTGACGATCCAGACGCATTGACAGCCACACTCTTCGAAGCAATCAAGTCCACTGGCGTGCGCGCACTGGTATCCAAAGGCTGGGGCGGGCTCGGTGCTGAGGATGTGCCCGAGAATGTGCACATGCTGGAGAACACTCCTCACGACTGGCTGTTTGCGCATGTATCGGCCGTGGTGCATCACGGCGGTGCGGGAACGACGGCAATAGGACTGTTCCATGGCAAGCCGACGATGGTGGTGCCGTTCTTTGGCGACCAGCAGTTCTGGGGCGCGATGATTCACAAAGCCGGTGCGGGACCGGAACCAGTGCCGCACAAGGAACTCACGGCGGAGAATCTGGCAGAGGGTATCAAGACTTTGCTGAGTGAGGAGTGTCAGAAGGCTGCCCAGGGGATCTCGAAGACCATCAAGGAGGACGATGGTGATGGTGCCGAGAACGCGGTCAGGAGCTTCTATAAGGGGCTTGATGAGTTGGATTCGAAGGGGAAGCGCGGACTGGGAGAGAGGGGGAAGGAGTATGGCGAAGGCGGGCCGATGGGACCAGGTGAGGGCAAGTGGGGGACTGGTGGACCGGGGATTAGGTGTGATATCCTGCAAGAAAAAGTATCCGTTTGGAGGGTTAAGCACACAAAGATGAGGCTGAGCACGCTTGCTGCGAGTTGGTTGGTCGAAGAGGGATTGTTGCAATGGAAAGATCTGAGATTGTATTTCTCTCGTTTCTAACGGTTCGGTTCTTACATGCTAATTATGATGATAGACTGAGACATACGGAATGGAACGATTTCGATGGACCAGGTGAACCACTCTCCGGTGGCTTCTCGGCCTTCTTTGGATCCCTCGCAGGCGTGGCAAAAGGCGTAATTGGCGTTCCAAAAACCTTCATTAAAGGCGCCAAACGCATCGACGACGAAGTCGACATCAAAGAAGAACTCCGTCCCGCCACCACACGCCGACGTTTCCGTGACCGTTTCCGCAAGCACAAGTCCCACGACGACGACTGGGCAACCACGCGATCCTCGTCCCCCGATCCCGACCACCCCGGCCACAAAAAACATCACAAACGCAGCATCCCCCGCGATGTCGCCCACGGCATCAAAAAGTCCGGCGGAAAGATCGTGCGCTCCTCCGTGCGCGCGCCGCTCGACGTCTCCCTCGCCGTAGCCCAAGGCTTCCACAACGCCCCGCGCCTCTACGGCGACGAAGTCCGGCGCCCCATGCGCATTACCGGCTTCCACTCCGGCATGCGTGCGGCCGGCAAGGAGCTCGCCCTCGGCATCTACGACGGCTTCACCGGCCTCGTAACGCAGCCCTACCACGGCGCGAAGGAGGAGGGCGTCAAAGGCGCGCTCAAGGGTGCGGGCAAGGGCGTTGGCGGCCTGGTATTCAAAACGCAAGCCGGCTTCGCGGGCGTCATCGGCTTCTCTCTCAAGGGCATCCACCGCGAGGTGCGCAAAGGCCACGACCGCAAAGTCCTCGAGCGGATCATGCGCGCGCGCCGTCTGCAGGGCTCGCGCGAGCTCGCCACATTCCGGCGCGAGGCCGGCGCCGAGGCGGAAGAGGTCATGGTCGCCCGCATGCGCCAGGGCTGGCAGAAGGTCCTGGAGGAGCGTCGCCGGAATACGGAGCGCGAAACGACGCTGGGACGCGAACTGGCGGAGTTCAAGGCGAGACGCAGGGACAGGAAGCAGAAATCTACACCCGCTGCTCTGCCATCCGAGAATGAGGCGGCCAAGGAACACGGAGTTAAGGACTGTGATTTTGGCGTCGTCGAGGGCGATCAGTGCGCCCGCCTGCCGAGGCGGAAACTGGATGAGATTGCGGAGGAGAGAGGTGGGACGCCGGCGAACAGCATGCCGCAGCAGCAGCAGCAGGCAATCAATGGCAGCTCATCGAAGGCGGAGGAGGTGAATGCAGATGCAGAGGGCGCGAATGGGGCGGCGAATTCCAGAGCGGTTGCGGAGAGGAGCTTTACGACTTGATTTACCTACCTAGGCGTTTTGTGCGATGATTTGATACCTACCTGCCTACATTGGCTGATGCGCTTTCTTGCTTTCTTGCTTTCTTGCTCTTTTGTTTGGTGATATGGGAGATACCTACGCTTTGTAATATAGTTTCCTAATTCTTGATTGTACTTGTACTTGTACGGTTTTACGAGTAGATGAATAGTTCTTGCTGGTGATGCTGGTGACCGATGGTTGGTGAGTTGATGGGTGACTGACTGCCTAGCAAAAATGGGGCAATAGGGACCCGAGTTCCAACCATGATGAGCCATAAAGTATGGTGTATTGACGGCATCTCATCTCATATCATATCGTACTGCTCGGTCTTGAGGGGTGTTAGTGTTGTGGCACATCCCGACGGAAGCCGTAACCAAAAAAAAAACTGGCTCTGTCGGCTGGACAGTCTTGCATGCAAGGTCTTGAGCTTGAGCTTGAGCCTGAGCTTGAGCTTCAGCGTAGGTACGTATGTCAGGATAGTGTTTACTAGTAGACACTTCGTCAGCATCGGGGATACGTACATCACCGCGCAAGCCCCAATCTACATCCCTTGTACTTAAACAGTATATAACAAAGTCTTTCTTACTCCAGCCTTCGAATCAGTTATCGTTATCGTCCGCCCTCAAGACCTTGGATGTATTGCACACCCACCTCCTACCCACCGGCTGCTTTTTCCGGTCCAGTAAACTTGCGGATGGGCTTTGGTCACTCCACGAACGGCGACTTAGTGGGCTGCACCAATAACTGATATACAAAAAGCAACATGGCGCAGCGGAAGCGCGCCGGGCTCATAACCCGGAGGTCCCTCGATCGAAACGAGGTGTTGCTATTTACTTTTGCTCTTATTTTGTTCTATCGGGGCTGGTTAGTGGTGGGATGGGGGTTAGTGTTTTGCATAGCGGCTGTTGGGAGTTGGAATTTGGAACTTGGGGTGACGCGGAATCGAGAAGGATCGCAACGGTGTAAAGTTTGTCACGTGGTGGGATCGGAAAGCATAGGTTGTAGCTTGTGACGGTGGTATTTTTGGTCGAGAGTGGTTGACCGTTGCACGCGGCGGTGGTGCGGCTGATGACACGGCTGGTGTCTGCTGGCGGCACATTACGGTCGGACTTTGAGTTTGACATCTTCCCCGCCGGGCCCATTCTTGTGGCATTCTCCTCTTCATCGCTACCGAGGTATCCTGCTCTCTCGCCAGGCGAGAGTACTCGTTCTTTGGGGGGCAAACCGGCGCATGAGGCTCGCCACATACCGCATTCCACACCCGTAGGCTGAAAGACGACATCAATACGTGCTGCACAGGGGTGACTCTCTTCCCGTCACAGGTATGTAGCGTACGGCTGCCTATATACCCCGCAATTCCATAGGGCTGAGTATCACATCGCCCATACGTATGCATCGCGGTGAGCGGATGCACCCGCTCGGAATCGACGAATGGCGCGGCCGCAGAGTCGGTAATTGTTCTACATACAAGGTGGGAACACGAAGTGTTTCATGGCGGTCATTGGTCGTCCTTTTCCCTGTGTGATGCAGTTGTTTCAGAAACTATGCAGCAACAGCCAGGAGTGTGCGCGGGCGGTCTACCTAGTCGGTGAATTCTCCACGGAATGCTGCGGCCTGCAACAAGACGTCCGCTAGAGCTCCCGTACGGATCGACCTGATTGGATTATTCAGCCTCGACCTCCACCACTGCCCGATCGCTGCCGCTGTTGCCTTGCCGGACTGTTTCGACTCGACCTAGGTCTTCGGGTTCAGCACTGAATCGGGAGTCATTTGAAAATTGAGACGCCTACATGTTGCCCGTAGGAAACCGGTGTCTGGTCACACACTTTCGTGATTGGCCTGGTGAAGCTCGCTGAACTCCGCTCAGCTAACCAAAGCTCTCCCGTTTTACTCTGCGTTTTCCGAGGGTGTGGATACACTGCCTAGATAGAAACAAAAGCGCAAGTCCCTCCCTACGCCATAGATCGCGAAGGACTCATGACACGTTCGAGCTCCACCATACCCCCCCAGAAATCCAGGTCCGGCGGTCGGCTGGAATCGCGTTTTGGTTTCAGCTGCTTCAACTCAGCTTTGCCGTGATGCTAGATGGAACGAACGCAGCTGGTCCTTCTTACGTAGCTGCCTGGATAGCAAAAGGAAGTTGGGGAATCCTTCAGGTCTGTCTCCCAGGATCCGGCGGTCTAGAGCTCCTGGCTCAGCTTCGGAATCGGTGGCGGTTCTGACAGAGATGCAACAGTTGATTCTTCGATTGCAGCTGCTGCTTGTTGCAACTGGCTGTAGGCAGAGAGGACGACATTCCTGAATGGACTGGCATTTCCATATAAGAGCATGATGTTTCCTTCCGCAAAGCCACACTCTTCATACCAACCTTCAGATCATCTACCTAGTCAGTCTTCCAGTTCACAAGCAAAAAATATCCGAGTCTCCTCCCTTCACTCGATCCACCCAGAACATCTTCAAAATGGCCGGCGAAATCCAACCCGGTGGCTCCATGGCAGCGGCTCACTCCCCCAGCGTTGGTCTCCGCGTTTTCATCCAGGACGAAGCTGGCTATGTCCGTCAGTCTCAATACGCGAACGGCAAGTGGGTGGGCGGCGACATCCAGAGCATCCTTTTCCGCGCGAAGCGTAACTCGCCGCTCGCAGCAGTTACTATTAACGATTCCGTAAGCCCCTCCCAACTACTCTACCGACCCCCTTCGGTGCTGACGCTGCATGCGCGCAAATCCGTATCTTCTACGTCGACCGCTCCGACAATGTGCAAGAACACTGCATCGACAACGCCGGCGCCTCCTGGTACACGGGCATCTTCGGGGTGTCGAAGAAGGCGCCGCCAGCACCGAACACGCGGCTCGCCGTGAACGGCTGGACGACCGTGGGGGTCGCGGGCTTCCAGCTGCGCGTGTACTACCAGGCGCCCAACGGCGTAATCGTCGAGCACGGCTGGTGGGTCACGGTGTGGGCGCCGGGCTCGCCCATGCCGATCGCGCTCGCGGGCACCGCGCTCGCCACACCAGGCTTCCTCGGCGCGACGGCAACTCATCCAGTCCTCCGCCTGTACTATCAAGACGCCACCGGCTGGGCGCGGGAACACGTCTTCACGGATACGTGGCAGGACGGCGGCATGCTCTCGGCGGAGATGCCACTGCGCGCCGCTCGCTGTCATCGGCTGGGGGAACAGCACGTACACTCACGTGTACTACCGCAGCTACTCGAACGAGCTCATAGAGCTGAGCCGTAACAATAACACCTGGGCTGCTAGCGCGCCGCATATCACCGGCACTACGCCCACCTCCATGGTTTCCGCGGCTATCATTAATGGTCCCCAGCCGCAGCTGCAGGCGTTCTACCAGAGTACCCCCGACCAGCTCCAGGTGGTCGAGTGGATGTCTAGCCAGAGCAACTGGAAGTTGGGCCCGGTCGTGCCCACCGGAGATAAGAAAATAGATGTAGGGGCGGCTGAGGCCTCCAGAGCTATGCTTTGATTTGGCGAGGAGGTTGGGGGTTGAGGATCCGTTGTCGAGGTTTGGCCTAAGTGTGGCGGTCGTGTGTTGAACATAACGAAATTGAAGTGATTAAATGGTGGAAAAGAGATCTAAGTGACTTGTTCCTGTCGTACTATCCTGCATCTGGAAGTAGACGCTCCATGAACCTTCAAGGACGCGGAAACACCCGTTGACCATGCTCCGATTTGCAAATAATCATGACTTCTCACTCGAGCATTGCACCAAAGACGGGCACATCTGTTTTGTATATATGGGCCATTCGAGGTTTCGCTACCACCCGCTAGAGTAGGCTCATGGTGTTCAAATAAAAAAGGACGGTCGGACGGACATCTCCAGAACAAAAACTACGGTACCAGGGATTCCCGCATGGTCACCCACTGCAGTACTAACCTGGCGATACCATGCTTAACTAGGGCTGAGCGGACGGGAAGCCGTGTGTTCATGGTTCTATGACCGTAGCTATTGAAGTTTCTGCATATGGCAATATGTCTCATGCAGTGCGAGTAATTCTCGACCATCCATTGGTAATCCGGGCCGATCCGCCCGAAAACTGGGGGGTTCTGGCTGCCTATGTAAACTAGGAGTAATCGGGCGCAGGGCTGTATGGCCGACCTTAAGGGGATGCTGGCTCGTGACAGAACCGGTTCTAGTCGTTCTCGGCGAGGCGAACAGTTCATCGGCGTGCGGTGACGAGCATTTCCCGTCTTGCCGTTGTCTTCTCGGCAATGCGCTATCGACATTGACGCCAGTCCCAGAAGATGCGCCAACTTCATACGATTTATATACTCTACATATGCACGTGCGGAGGTTTTAAGTTCAGCATGTATTATCCGCTAGCGAAAGCTTATCCCAATGTACCGGCACCCGATGGTAATCCGCTGGTTGTACGACCGTACATAGACAGCGTGGAAAGCTGGGTACATATATAGAAAGTCCTAAACGTTGGTGCATGGCGGGGTCTACTAGGTAGCAGATCACTGTACCCCACTCTATACCGCGGCAGCGGAGACGATATATAGTGCAAACGACTGGTCGGCGGTATATAGTACACAGCCCCTCGCTTATGTAGTGCACGAAAACCGCCACGTAGCAGCATGCTTGTTGGGTTCGCCGAGATCCGTGCCAATTCCGGTAAATATGTCACGACCCTCTGTGCGACCTTTCAGGTTGGCGAAGCTTTCGACTAGATAGATTCCAAACCGCTTGTCCCGGGTTTCGCACGGAAGTTCTTTTTCGCGGACAGTACACATTTGGCCAACCGAGTCGGATGGCTGGACGTTCGGGTTAGACGGTGCGTGGTAGAGAACCAACGAACGTGGATGGGAAATCGTGTGCTGTGTGGATGCTTCGCGTCAGTTTGCGATCCGCCCGTGGGCTACAACAGTCTCGGATACTATGTATTCCCCCAGTGGCTGTGTATGGGTTTGGGTGGTGTCGCCTTCTGCGGCTGTTGGTTCGATTATGCACAATTTACTATGTATCTGCTGTCTCGGCTTCTTGTCAGTCATAGATGCTAATGAGTAATCATTTCACAATATGGGGGTCTGGTTTAGGGGTATAACGTCTCATTCGCATAATCGTGACTTGAGAAGGTCTTGGGTTCGATTCCCAAGTCCTCCAGCTTTTGCATTTTGTTCGAGAGTCACTTCGTCAGTAGCAGCTTCCATCCAGCTCGAATTACAGGACTCGTAGAGTGGGCATCTGAGTTGAGTCATCACATACTCGTTCGCAGAGCGTGTGGTGTGAACTTTGAAGGGACTAGATGCCGGGTATCAGGTGCGGTAACTTCGGTGCTTACGAGTTTTTTCCGGGATCAACAAAAATACACCACAGCTTCAATTACCCCCGAAATAAGTCTTTAGAACTCGTTTGTAATCATACCTCTATCTCAAAACCTCTACGCCATTACATATAATTATACCGTCACGTTCGCCTGCGCCTTTCCCTCCTGCTTCTCCAGCTTCAACAACGACTCGACGGTGTCGACCATAGAGGTCTCCAGCGATTTGTATGCCAGCTGCAGCTCGAGCACCGACTTCGAGCCGTCAACGTTGTAGTGGGGTGGGACCTCGTCCGCCTCCTTAGGGTCGGGGGTGAGGCCAGCCTCCACCAGGTGAGGGAACCGCCTGGCGATGATCTCGCAGATCTCCTTGTACGAGAACACTCCCGGGGTGGTGAGGAAGCGGTCCTCCACGCCGTTGGGCTTGGGAGCAGCCTCGAGGGCGCGAACGTGCGCCATAGCCACGTCGCGCACGTCCACCCACGCGTAGAACAGCGTGTTCGGCACCTTCTTTTCGCTGCCGTTCATGAGACGGTAGATGTCGGCGGTGCTGGTGTTGAGCGCGGAGAGGCTCATTGTTTCGGTGTCGACGGGGCCGTACACCATGGGTGGGCAGATGGTCGCCAGCGAGAAGTTGCCGTGCGACGGGTCCTTGACGAAGTTCCACGCAGCCTTCTCTGCCAGAGACTTGGAGGCGCAGTAGGCAAATGCACCGTCGGCGAACGCGGCCTCGTCGTAGGTCACCGGGTTCCAGTCGCGCTCGGTGTAGGTGTGACCAACCCAGTCACCCTTCGAGAGGTCGAGCACAGAGGCGAAAGAGGAGGTGACGACAACGCGGGATACGTCGGGGTTGTATGTCTTGATGGAATTGAGGATGTTGAGTGTTCCCTGGATCGCGGGCTCCAGAAGTGTCTTGCGGTTGTCGCCGGTGTTTTCCATCACGAATGGTGATGCAGTGTGGATAACCTGTGTTGTAGGGTTAGGGAAGTGTGTTCTTCAAATCGGAAGGAGCGTGGACATACTCCCGTGACTCCCTTGACCGCTTCGTCGAAGGCTCCTGTCTCCGCAATATCCTTGACGATCACGAAATCGAGAGCCGATGCGTATTGCCGGTACAGACTCCGGATCTTGGTGGCCTTCTCGTTTGAACGTACGGTGCATTTTACTTTGTAACCGGCCTTCAAAAGGGCAACCAGAACATGTCCGGCAACGAAGCCAGATGCTCCTGCAATTCCACCGCGGTGTCAACACACCGATCCAACTGACGCAAAGAGGAGAGGCCTGCAATACCTGTAAGGAGGATCCAGTCGTTCTTAGTGATCTTTGACTTGGCAACGCCTGCGCTTTGCTGTTGCGGCTTCGAATCGGTCTGGGACCCGGTAAGGGCGCCGACGGTGTCGCGGACGGCTTTGGTGACGGTCTCCATTATTGTGTTGGTTAAGTGTATTATCGTTCTGCTTTCTATGGATGAAAGCCCGACCACGATGGAGATGGCAATCGCAGGTATATATGCAATTCCCTCACGTATGTACTTGGTTCATGCATCCGGGGCTAGAAGCTGGCGTCGTCATTACGTAGATGCGCTCATCAGCCAGAGGCGGAGATCTGTGCGGCTAGAAGTGCCGGAGATAAGACGGTGATATCACTAGTGGTTCACTAACCACCGTGCAAACCATCGCTTATAAATATTTTTTCTTCCCCTTCAACTTCAGTCATCCGCGAAGGTTCCATCATATTCGAGAGTATCGTCTCGGGGATGGATTGGAGTCGACACCGTGGGATTCCGATAGGGCCACGGATAACCTTTCCCTCTCCAGCAGTTCCGAAAAACCCGCCGGCCATGAAGTGCTGCTGGGTATTGGCGGGAAACTGGTTTTAGAGCGCTTTAGTGCCTCTTTCGACAGCTTTGTTTCCATGACATTTTTTTTCCCACCTGGACGAAAGAAGGTGCGCGGACTGTCCAAAATCATACGCCATGACTCGGCTCAGGTTGCCGACACGTGCTGTGGAACTAAACCCGATGCGAGCCAACCTACCCCCCATGTCATATGTAATCAGGAGTGACAAATAACGGCCGAACTTCCCTTCCGACTTCGTTCACTGATCAGCCCATCAGGTCTCCGTTCATCCATACCCGTCCATCGCTTCCAAATACTCCACATCCGAACCCTACCCAAAAGCCTTATTGAGCGGAACGTTTCCGAAGACTACCCAATTGCGGGTCGGTCGGCTTTTGTCCAACAAGATGGCCAGCAAGATTTGGAAGACGATACTAGCCGGTTACTAGTAGTGGGAGACCGAAAAACGGGTGATCAGCAAAAAACGTGATCAATTGAACTAGAATTCTCGGTCGATGATGATGAGAAGAAAACAAGACGAACAGGGAGAACAGAAAAGTGACAGCAGAAACTATCAAACGTTCAACGACCTCACCGGGTCTCCCCTCCATAATAATTGGTCCCACCAGGTCCCGACACGGTCTCTGTTCGGCGCTCACCGATGACGCGAAGTCGCCTCTGCCGCGCGCCCGTCAGTAGCCGCCTAGATGTCGGCTGAGCGAGCTACTGAGCGTCTCGAACAACTACTACCGACACGACACGATTTCCCGAGTATTAAACGAGCGCCGGACTCCCCTGGAGTTAAATTCTATGTAGAACTCCAACCCGTCGAGACTCGAAGGTAAGAGCTGGGTGACAAGCCGGTCTGCTCAACCGATTTCTACTCTCTCTTTTACTCTGTCTTTTTCTCTCTTTTTCGCTCTCTGTTTTTCTCTCCCTTTTTGTCTCGGTGGGCGTGGGGCGGCCCAGTGTTGTGGTTCATGGTGCCTACGCTCAAGAAAGGCCATCTTTTTGTGGTTCTAATTTCGAGCTAGCTAGCTGCCGGGGCCTAGCAGCAGATATGAAACCCGTGGAGTGGAAAAGGCACAGGTTATGTACCTCCCTACGAATTTAGATTTCTGACCCGATGTTGGTGTTTCTTCTCTGGGTTTTGTACAGAAATCATACTCGGGTGCACCAAACTCTCACGGGATAACGACTAATTTTCGCTCTACAATCAAATGCAGTGGTCACATGTACTCGGCTGGAGTATGAATTTAAAAGTTCGAAGAACTTTTCGGACTCGGAATTCAGCTACATATTCAATTATGTACTTACCTGTTCCAGGGTATGCATAGTCAACCACCGGCAGTAATTGATCCTCGTAGTGAAAAGAAACGGATGTATATTGGTCATCGCCGGGTGGGGAAGTTGCAATTTCGAGAGTTGTCAGATTTTCAATGCTGGTTTTTTTGGTGGAACCGGCTGTTTCCATGTATGTACATAAAACAATTAAACTTCCCGGGTGCAGAGCTAAACATAGTATCTACTGTACGTTTCTTGACGGCCGGCATCATACCAGGTATTATGTACTTATTTTATTTTCTGCCACCACAATGAGAGGAGCGCGGTGGAGGATGAAGATGGTGGATAAGATCATAGCGATCGATGCGATAAGATGGCGGATGTGCTAGTCGTATCGGGTGGTTCCAAAGGTGGATGATCAACGCTACGCGTCTTTGAGTTAGTCTTTAGCAACGGAGAAGGGCCATACATAAGATAGCACTCCGAAGTTGAATAGAACCTCAACTTCTCCATCGTCCTTAACTTCAACATTGGCGTTGCCGGTTTACGTCATCTTTGATCACTTTCGACCGCCGTAAAACAGGATGTATGTATTGTACTATAGACTACCATGCACATGCACACGGTCCTGAGCAACGATAATGTCGCGCCAGTCAAGTCAACCGTAGAGTGTGCTTGCAGCAAAAATAGAGATATTCTGCATGTATCTTATCATACTCCGTCTGGGCCACCGCAGGCGAACCCCTGTGCTTCCGCCGGGAGGGGGGAAATACAAAATTTGCCGGAGTACGTGGCGAATGGATTAACCAGGTGTAACACGCCCATTGCAGCTCCATAGAGTCCAGCGTCCGGACCGCAGATATTATCTACCAGCCCGCACTCCCTCGAAACCCATACCGCAACTCTCGAAAATCCATCACAACACCAAAAAAAATGATCATTATTCTTCTCGTCTTTGCGATAGCTTCACGATCGGTCGCGGCGGCGGAGGACGCTGGCGATGACATGTCGGACAACCTATTCTCAGATCTTGCTCCGTAAGTGTCTCCATGGGTGGCTGAGGATGCCGAATACTGATCGAGATTGCCTAGGCTCCTCACGCTCTTCGGCGAGCAGTTTGCGAAGCAATACATGAGCCAGTCGAGTATGTCACAGCTTCCGACCCGGCACGGATGATCCCAGTGAGCTGACCAACCGCGCCGAGCAGTGAGCTGGCTTGACAATGTCATCTTCGCCATGGCACCGTTGGGCATCATCACAGCTATTGTTGGGGCCATTCGAGTCGGCGGCCCATCGTGGCTGAAAGCGCTCGTCGGAAGGGCTCAGGAGAATTGCGCAACCGTCGAGGTGGAATTGATGTCCTCTACTTCGCACGAGGTCTGTGAGCTCTGGAATGGGCAGGGCGTTATCAGGACAATGGGGAGTCCAGAAGTTATGCAGATAATTTACCTCGAATCGGCAGCTGGCACCGACTCGGCAGAGACATTCGGGCTACATACCGTAGAGAGTGCATTACAGGCTGGTCTTCTTGATACCAAAGGTATGTGCCCCGCTGCAATTGAGGTTCAACCATCGTTCGTCTCCGCTAACGGGTGTTTTCAGAGGGTGACACCCCACTGACAGCATCCAGCTTGGTCTCGTCCAGTGTATTTTCGTTCAGCGCACCCCCATCTACACGAAAACCGCCTACCGAGGACTTGGAGCAGAACGGCCAGGGAGCGGACCGGAAGAACAGACGATCGGCTTCGAATATGGACGGCCTCCAAGCAGCCCCCAACATATCGCTCAACCTTCATGGCGGCACCGCGATTGGCGAACTGTATGCTGCTGCGATTTGTGGTGCTGTACTTCAATGTGCCATGTTGGTCTATTGCGGGGTTTTGGTCTACTTTCCAGCAGTTCGCCAGCGATTCAGGACGGCGTTGGACAATGGCCATTTCCCGTTTTGGCCACGGGGACCATTGCGCTCGTTATCGGGATGTTCATTTGCTCTGCCGTTGTGAAGCACAGCACAAAGGAGACAAAGTTTGTGCTACCGCAAAATGATCGTACTCCAAAACATCAATCCGGAGATCCGCTGCCTGTTGCAACCGGCCAAACACGAGTCGAAGAGCCGAAGATCCGCACAACGAAGCCTAAAGCTGCCCGCATACTATGGCTGCAGTCGTCCCATACCGTCAGCGACCAGGCGTTTGATTCGTTCGTCATGTTCGGACGACACGCCTCCAATCGAATTCTGACTTCCCACAGGGACGATAACAACATTCGTCCAATACGCATCCACACGACTCCGAAATCTCCCCCAAGTTCGAATATAGCCGCCAGCTTCATGGAGAAATTATGGGGTTTCGCCGCCTTCTCCCAGAATCTGACCGTCATCGGAACATTCTTTGGGCTGGCCGGTTTTGTTCTTCAGTTCCAGGGTCTGCGCGGTATGAATTGGTCGGCATCGATCGCCCAGCTACTCGCTGTTTCTCTTATGACGGCCTGGCGCGCGTGGCTCCGGCGGATTCTCACCGCTACTCCGATCCCGAAGCAAGTCCTCCCCAAACACGAAATGGATTGGTTGGCATTATGGGTGTCAAGGAAACTCGGAGATGATACGGATACCGGGGGCGCCATTGCTTGGCCAAAGACAGAGGAAGAAATTGACGAGGAAGCCGAGGAATTGAAGCAACGGCAGCAGAGAGACTTGGCTCAAGAGCGCCGCGGCCCGCGATCGGCGGCGGTGGTGGCTAGGAGTTCCGATTCTCACGTCGAAGCCCCACCGGTGGAACGACTGATCTGGAAGATTGTCACCAATACGCAAAACATGGCCTGTCGCGGAGAGCACAATATGCAGCAACGCATCACTAGAGTACGCGGCGCAAGTGGATCTAGTATTGTGGAACATAGCACATCGGAGGGAAACGACGTGGGTGGATCCGACATCGCAGAGGGGCAAGATTCCATTGTTCCGGCCATAAACTCAGAGGAAAAGCGCGAACAGCTGGGCTCACCGAACAACCACAAAGATGCACAACAAGCGCTGAGAGTAAGACAGAGGCTGGGGCAGCTGACTAGGTGGGAAGGACCTGCAACCCAGATGTCGGTTGCTATGGCGAGGTCTATCGCAGTGGTCCTGGATACACTGTTCTCCGGTGAAGATGTCAACGAGACAGAGTCGTTTTACTGGTTTCTGAATGTTCAACTTCACGATCGAGATGTCAAAAAAATCGAAAGAATCAAATTCCGTGCCTACAAAAACCCGGGCGAAAATTGGAAAGCTGATGCCACAGAGATAGAGGCAGCGTTGTCTCTGTGGCTTTTTCATATCCGCGAAATACAGGCTATTTCGCGCCATGACAGGACGGAGGAGGAGGACGCCCTGAAAGGCTCGGGGAAGGAAAATGATTGGCTTCAGAAAGATGTGGAGTTGAGCCAGAAAGTTGTTCGTCTTCTAGGTCTGGATACTGCCAGTTTACAGAGAGATATTGGCCGGTGGGTCGGGATCGCACCCCACTCAAGCGGGCATTCGAGCGACGCAATTATCGGTACCAACGATAAGCCCAAAGGATTTCCTGGATTCTTGGGACCGATTGGGTTTCTCGGCTTAGAGTCTACAGAGCGAACTATTTCCGGGGGTAAGGGGAACCTTCTGCATCCTTCGCTCCCGGATATCATTTGCTCCCGAATCGGATGAATGGCTGACAATAATTCTTCAGATTCCCAGCAATCCGCTCTGACCGTAGACTGCAACGCGTCGCTTGAGAGCTTGCTCGCACAGCATATCTTTACGGCTTTCATGTGGTCGATGGCGATAGACATGCGCGTCCGCTTTGACGACGACTCCTCGATTTTGTCCTGCAAGGACTACAGAGTGGAAGATTCGGACACGCTACTGTCTTTGAGACTTGAGAGTAAGACACTCGCGGAGATGACCGAAGGTATTCAAGGCACCGGATTATGCAGTTTGCTGGAAGCATATATATGCATCATTCCGCCGCTCAGTTCTGCAAAGAGACTCCCGGTTCGGGCTGTGGTCGACTTTGCGAGGCAACAGAGGAAAGGCCCGGAGCTGCTGGGGCTGTGGGAGAAGGTGGTGCCCGTATACATACGACTGTTTCGGGAATTCAAACCCCTTGGGGAAAGACATCCCGTTTTCCTGCATACGACTGCGATCATGATAGATGCGCTGCTATCTGCTACCAAAGCTTCAAAACTGCGAAAGCAATAGAGGGCAGCCGACAATGATGATTTGCGCGCGTTGTGTCGTAAGATGGCTAAAGAGTTGAACCTTAGCCTGCGGCGCGTGTCTCATTCACACCGCGGACATTCTGAACTCACGTATCGCTTTGCAATGCTGTACAAGCTCCAACGGCGCCTGAATGAGTTCATATGGTCGCGCTTAGGAGTCCATAGCGCATCTTTGGATGGCGAAGAATGGAGGACGCGGCAGTTGAAAGGGCAGAAGGAAAGAGGGTGGAAAAGTACACATTCTGAAAGCATATATGGCTTTTTCGAAACCTCCCTATGTTCTCGGAGATTATTACGATGAGAAGTGACTCGGTTGCCGTGCTTAGAGTTAAAGCGGACGCGCGAAATTTGAATGCGACAGATATCCTCGGCTGGAATCCACTTCACTATACTGTGATGACGCGAGAGACGGAGTCTATAAAGAAATTATTACAGCTCGGTGCGGACCCGAACTCGTTTGATGTGGCCGGAAAAACACCATTATATTTCGCGATTCACAATTGGCATGCACGGGCGCCGAGCAGCGAGAAACGTACGTTGGAGGACGTGGCTGAAGGTGAATTCGCGGTAGCAGAAGCAGACGGGACAAGAAAGGATAGGGTGGAAGGAGCAGGAGGGGCGGAGGAAGCGGATAGGACGGAAGAAGCAGATGGAGTGGAAGAAGTTGGTGGGCTGGAAGGAGAAGACGGAGCGGAAGGAGCCGATGTCAAAATCATCTGGGCCCTTATGAGAGGTGGTGCAGATTTGGATGTCTGTGGGAGAGACGGCAGAGGACCCCTTCACTGCGCAGCCTTGAATGGTAATGCCACGGCGACGAACTTGCTCCTCCAAGCAGGCGCAAACATCGAAGTCCAAGACAATTCGCGACAAAAGCCGATACATTTGGCTGCATATAAAGGAAGTGTCTCAGTCGTCCGTATTTTATTAGGTCAGGGCGCAAATGTTGAAGCACGCGACAGCTATGGACGAACCGCCTTACACATGGCAGCAGTGGCAGGACGAGCAGCGGTAGTAAACCAATTACTGGATTCCTCAGACGCCGAAAAAGCCGCGAAGGACCGACTTGGACGAACCCCATTACACCTAGCCGCAATAAAGGGAGACCTGCCAACTGTCGTACAGATGTTGAAAGCGGAAGCCGATAGACGAGTGAAATATCCGGACGGGAGCACTGCGTCACATTACGAGATTCGCTACGGAAACGCCGGCACAGTGCGACTTCCTCTGAAATCTAAGGAGTCCGTGGACCATGAAGGAATGACGGCACTGCACTTAGCGGCTCAGCATGGTCACCGAGACATCTTGAAGCTTTTCCTAGACAATGGAGCCTCTATTGAAGCCAAAACCCTCGAAGGATTGACGGCACTGCACCTAGCGGCTCAGTATGGCCACCGAGACATCTTGAAGCTTTTCCTAGACAGTGGAGCCTCCATTGAAGCCAAAACCCTCGAAGGGTTGACGGCACTACACCTAGCGGCTCTATATGGTCACGACGGTGTCTTGGAGCTTCTCTTAGATCGTGGAATCCCCATTGAAGTCAAAGACCACGAAGGAATGACGGCATTGCATCTAGCGGCTCAAAATGGTCAGGAAGGCACCTCGGGGATTCTCCTAGATCGTGGAGCGTCCATTGCAGACAAAAGCCAAAAAGGTTTGACGGCACTGCATCTAACAGCCCAACGGGGTCACCGAGACATCTTGAAGCTTTTCCTAGACAATGGAGCCTCCGTTGAAGCCAAAACACTCGAAGGATTTACAGCACTTCATCTAGCGGCTCAACATAATCACCACGATGTCTCGGAGTTTCTCCTCGACCGTGGAGTACCGATTGAAGAAAAAAGCCTTGAAGGATTGACGGCACTACACCTAGCTGCCCCACATGGTTGCGGCGATGTCTTGGAACTTCTCATCGCTCGTCATGCCTTGATTGAAGTCGAAACAAATGCTGGATACACTGCACTGTACCTGGCAGCCCTCAATGGCCACATAACTGTAGTAAAACTACTTCTGGACGAGAATGCCCGAACCGATTGCTCATACAAAATAGCCATTGATGAATTTCACTTAATGGGCGACACCATTGTCAACATCGTCTGTGGAGTGGTACCGGCAGCGGCGAGTGGTGGTTATATCGAGATAGTCCGGTTGTTCGTGAATGCCGGGGCGCCCGTCGTTCCCAAAAGTAGTATCACATTCGGAAACATATATGTTGCCCGCAACGCCAGCCTTCACATATACTCTGGAGCACTGTCGGCAGCTGTTAGAGGTGGTCACACGGAGACCGCCTAGTTTCTCTTAAGTGCGAGCGTCGACATCACTGGCATGTATTCAGGCAGTATTGATGTTCATGGCTCAATCGACGCTTCCGAAAATGCCACAGTCACGATCGACTTTGCTACCTTCCACCAAGGTGGTGACATTCATGTGCGAAAGAACTCCATGTTTATGGCCCACCGTGGAGCACTTTCAGTAGCGGTTGCGAAACGTGAGATGGAGATGCTTGAGTTGCTACTTGAGGCTGGAGTTAATCCCAACGACCACCCCCCAGATGAAATCACCATTGAGGGCAGCACTGACGTCTCCGGTAATCCCTTAATCACGATCGATTATGCTACCTTCCACCAACGTGGTGACATTGTTGTGACCAACAAGTCTACATTCAAAGCCCACCGTGGAGTACTTTCAATTGCGGTTGAAAATGGTGATAGCGAGGTGGTCAAGTTGCTATTGGAGGCTGGAGCCAACCCTAACGACCACCCCCCAGGCGAAATCACCACCGAGGGCAGCACTCACCTCTCCGACATTTCATTGATCCAAATCGACTATGCTGCCTTTCACCAACGTGGTGACTTTCATGTGGGCGACAACTCCATGTTTGATTCCTATCGTGGTGTACTTTCAGCAGCGGTTGGGAAAAGTAATAGCGAGGTGGTCAAGTTGCTATTGGAGGCTGGGGCCAACCCCAACGATCATCGGGCCCCGGGCGAAATGATCACCGAAGGCAGCACTCACGTCTCCGACAATTCCAGAATTCAGATCGACTATGCTACGCTCCGCCTGCATACTAATGAAATCCATGTAGATAACGGCTCCACATTCAATGCCTACCTTTCAGTGTTTTCGTTAGCGGCTAGAAGAAGTGAGGGCAAAATATTCCGATTGTTATTGAATGCTACGTCCGGAGACGTGCCCGCCAGAATTATCACATTCCTCGGCAACGGTAACCAAAACATCAGCGATGTAACCTACAACTCTGCGAATGCAACCCAGGCAGCTAGATCGAATAGCCCCGACGAAATGGAGGAGGAGCCGGGGGAGGAGCAGGAGGAGGAGGAGGAGGAGGAGGAGGAGGAGGAAGAAGAAGAAGAAGAGGAGGAAGAGGAGGAGGAGGAAGAGGAAGAGGAAGAGGAGGAGAAGGAGGAGGAGAAGAAGATCCAAGATGAAACGGATAGGAAGGATCAGGAGACGGATGTAGCAATGCTAGCGGCAGAAGAGGCGGGGAAGCCTAAGGAGGTAAACGAGGAGGTAAACGAGGAGGTACACAAGGCAGGACTGGATGTGGCAGACGAGATGAAAAAGGAGACGAATGAGGCGGCGGAGGCGGTGGAGGCGGTGGGCAAGGCAGGCAAGGAAGCGTTGGCAATGGCTGCGGAAACGACAGAGGAGGCGAGAGAAGCGGCGACAACGGTGCCACCGGCGGTGCCAACAGCCGCAGAGAAAGTGAAGCCGAGGCTTATTGGCGGTGATGGAAGTCTACAAGAGGGCAGACGAAGCAAATCAAGCGATGGAGCAGCTGACACCGGTAGCTGCGGTGGCGGCGGTAGTCATGGGAATGGTACGGGGAGTACAACCGCTGATGCGGCTGCAGCGGAGAAGTTTTGAGCCAACGGGAGGCGCCGAGGAGACGGTGGGACGGTGGGGCGGTGGGGTGGTGGGGTGGTGGGGCGGTAGGTTGGCGGGGAGTCATGATGATAATAAGGCGATTGAAGTATTTGAAATGTAGTGTACAAGATTGCGATGGGGAGGTGTTCAACTCCGCAGTGAGAATGCGGGCATTCTGCACGACACCGGTGATCATGCATTCGACAAAGATGCCTTCGAGAGGAACCCACTAACTATTTGTTTCGTACAACGAAGCAACGGTAGACGGTTGGGACCAATTTCGGTGATGGAATCATCTAGAGCGTACTAGAATTTCAAGTACATCTTACCACTCGTCCAGCTCCTCCATCACCCAGCTTTTCTATCGCCCATCCTGCTCGAGCAACCCTCTGGTGACAGCACTCAATGAGCCCTAGACCCCTATCCGTTCCGTTGACAAAACTAGACTACCTACGTCTGCAAGAATAATAAACTACATACAAGAGCTTATTGGCAACGACTAAGTCCGATTCAAAATAGCTAGTTTAGCAGGATCACCGCACAGATCTCACGATCAGCCTGCTAGTAGTATCAGTGCACCACTTCCCCGAGATTCGAGAGAAGAAGCCGACGATGCAGACCCAGTAGTTGCATCCCCGGGAGATCAATTTGATTTCATCCGCTCGTGCATTCGGGGTGTGTCTGTTAAAGACAGGCCCATGGGTGTGACGATTATTATCATGGCTTGCGCTCAGCTGGGTGGCACGTAGGTGTAGGCCGATTGGCTAGAAGGATAAAGCCCAATGCTGGACCCTCGTGGCTGTTGTAATATCACACCGCTTACTCAGCATTATTGAAGGTAAGGACATTGATTTGTTTCCGTTGTTCATTGGCTTGAGATAAGGACTCGGGCCATCGTCTTTACGAGAACAGCACTCCATATTTACAACAAAATCGAGTGATAACTATGACGCGTAATGTCGATATCATTCAACCCTAGGCGGTTGTTTCAATTCCACCCAGCCAGCTTCTTCCTTTCCCCCCCTTTTCTCCCTTACTAAAATATATGCCCCGCCGTCTATTGTACTCGGCCGCAACCCCATTATCGTACGTACCATTGTATCATAAGTATTTTGCCTGCCGATATGAATGAAATTGTCCCGAATAGTATAGCTCGACTGCAGAAGAATTGTAGAGACAGGGAGAATGTGCCCAGGATTTTCGAGCTGGCTGCTCAGGGGCTTCAATACCCACTAAATATCATCTCCCGTAGCCACAAGCTATCCTTTCCCAAACCATATGGACATGTCCATTAACGGGGCCTTATATTGTAACTGTTTGAGGGCTCTGATGCGGTGACACCAAATCCCCCACCAGCCTTTTTAGCAACCCAATTTGTCCTAGTGCGGCAGCCAATCGACCTGTATTTGTTTCCCTGCTCTCCTCTTCTCTTCCTTCTTCTCTACTCCTCCTTCCACTATCACCCCCTCCAAATCCATCACCCCCTCCAAATCCATCACCCCCTCCTCCATCTCCATTGCTCCGGCAGTCTGTTACGAGTACGAGTTCCGCAGAACCACGAATCATATCCGATTTTGACTGTCCCATTCCCTCTTCACGATGAAGCTTTCGATTCTCGTTGCCGTTGCCTCCGTCTTCCCGACGCTATCTAGCTGCCATGCATACTTTGCTGGGTTCAATTTGCGTCCGTCGTCCTATTACTACTAGTTTGATGTGCTCTAACGCTCTTGTTTATATTTCAGCCCACAATACGGCAAGCGGCGGATGCAAGACCACACAGGATTGGAGGAGGGAGTTTGCCACACTCAAGTCATGGAGTACGGGTGGCAAGGGTAACTTCGATACAGTCAAGATCTTCTCTACGAGCGGCTGTGATGCCCTTTCCAATGCTGTTCCAGCTGCAATGGAGACTGGGATAAAGCTGTGGGTTGGTATGTTTCTCGATTGTTGCAAGGCTATGATCGTTACTGACGGATCTGACTCACTATAGGTGTCTGGAATACTCCGTCTTGGAAATTCGACGTCGATAAAGCAGCCCTTGAGTCCGCGATCCGGAGGTATCCAGACACTCGTAGGTGGCTCCGAGGTATCAATGTTGGATCTGAGAGCTTGTACACTCGGCAAGTGACCGCAGCTGAATTGGTGGGACAAATAAAGGGTTTGTCTAGTCTATTTGCCTCTATCGATTACTAGCTAACATTATTCAATACAAGATGTCAAGGGCATGATCCATAAAACCCTCAAGTCCCCTTGGACGCCCATCGGCACTGCGGATACCTGGAACGTCCTCGTCGATCCAGCAAACCGTGCCGTAACCGATGTCTCGAATGTCGTCGTCATGAACGCATTCCCTTTCTGGGAGGGGATTCACATCGACGGTGCTCTCGAGAGGTTGAAATTCAATATCCGGGAGACGAGGAAGGCCATTGGTTGGGAGAAGTTCTTCATCATAGGTGAAACCGGATGGCCAACGGACGGACGCGACTTTGGTGCTGCTACTCCCTCCATACGTAATCAGCAGAAGTACTGGAAGACGGCGGCATGCTGGTTGCAGACCACCTCTTACCCTTGGCTTTGGTTCGAGGGCTTCGACGAACCTTCTAAGGCTGACTCTGCAGATAAGCTTGACTACGAGAGGAGCTTTGGTGTTTGTGCATACCCCATCCTCGCATCAGATTTCACTTACTAACCTCTACCCGCCATAGCCTCAAATTTCCAGAAGCCCAAGTTCGACTTGCATTGTTAATCGCCAACTTCGACGAACATGCGTTACAGCGGGGGTGCTATGTTAATCCATACCCGTATTGCTGAATGAAGGGTGTTATTAGGCGGCATTGGTTATGATGTATATTATGCTCCCAGATTCTATAAGGGATTGCCAGGATGGATTATGATTCGGATTCGATGCTATTTGGTTCTCCTATGATTGAGTACTACTGAATAAAAGAAACTGCCACCTACAACAAAACCAACTCAAGTGAACAACGCACGTTCCCATCTATTCGAAGCTAGGGATCTTTCAGAAAACTCTGTAGGCTTGGTTTACCTTTATGGCTATCGTTTTGGGTGGAGGCGCAGGGCAGCGTCCATCTAAAAGAAGTGACTTCACCCAGGCTCGATCTGGGGACCTTGTGTGTGTTAGACACATGTGATAACCAACTACACCATGAAGCCGCTTGCGGTGACCAGACAATTTCATGTTTATGAATTAAAAGGTACAGAGCACCAGAAGCGCTCTTTACATATGGACCTTGTCCAGTCGGATCACCCACTTTCGAGGAAGTGTGCGTGAGTGTTAACTCTGGCGATATGACTAAGCCACAGGCGTCTATGGTGGCTGGTGCAAATAAGAACGAGTCTCTCTTGAGGAGTGTGAATGGAGAACCCACAGATCTGGCCTGAGGAAAGCTGACGTTGAAGGCTACTTCATACATTCATACCAAAGTACATATAGGTACAACTATTCCGTTTAGCCGTACGTGTGTCTGCCTGCTTAGTTATGTAGAGATAGTGGAACGCCCGTGTCAACCGAATCCACAGCTTCGTGCTCACGCCGGCATGGTTGAGTGGAGTGTATCAACATGTCGCCCATCAGCCGTGTCATGCGTTGGTGGTTGGTGGAGCTAACCCGTTCCGAGTAGTGCGACCACGTGGCGAGCGAAGCGAGGATTTGGACTCTGGTGCGCGTCGAGGATCGTCACTTTCGACGTTCCGAGTACTATCGAGAATACATCATTATTCAACAGAGGGCATCATTCAATTTCACTTGTATTTCCGGCTGCTGCGTCAAACACTACCGGATAACTGATGAGAGGCCTGCTCATAAGTATCTTTGCCTTCCGACATACACAGTTAAGCAACATGGCGCAGCGGAAGCGCGCCGGGCTCATAACCCGGAGGTCCCTCGATCGAAACGAGGTGTTGCTAGCTTATTTGTTTTTACGTTTGTTGACCTTTTTTGTTTCATTGCAGACAGTATGCCGATTGGCCACCCCGCCCCCACCTCAATCTCCATTCTTGCACCCTCCCATGGCCTTACAGAAAACGTGATGGTTTGGAAAGACGCCCGCCTCCTATGATGATGTGTCACAACCAGCCGTCGGCCGCCTAAAACCTGAATCACGTGAAACCCTCATCTGTGTGACCCGGCAGTTTGTGAACCCACGTCGACGTCATTAGGGCCCGTGGTTCAACTTCAATCACAACTTTAGCTGTTCGACACGAACGTGACCATGTCCGTCCTCCGCCTAAGCTCACGAACGATACTGTCGAGACCGACGCGATTACCTCTCACTGGAGCATTCCGGCGGGGGGTGTCCACGCTTCCGGACAATCCCGACATAGTGACTACCACCTACCTACCTACGTCGGCGTCTCTGGGTGACAAGCTGCTAACTGGCAGGAACGCAGTACGTCCACGACTCCCCGACAGGTTCCGGCCACATCCTTTCCCTCCTCGACTCTGCGCCGCCGAACCCGCGCATCGCCATCGGCACCACCACCGAAATCCCGCCGACCCCCCAGTCCTTCACCGAGAACCCACACTTCGTCTCGATCCTACAACGCGTAGTGCGCGCGCATGCGGCGGCGGACCCGCGCGTCCAAGCCGACGCGCTGCAGTTCGCGTCGCACGCTGGTGCTCCGCTGCTCAATAATCAGCGCAGACGAGTGCGGCAGGGCGGCAGTGGAGCCGCAAATTATCAGGGCGGCACGGGAGGTGGCGGGGTTGGCGGGTGGGTGCACGTTCACGATCAGCGCGCGGTGCCGGCGTTCGGGAGGATTCCGTATCCGGAAGATATCATGGGTAGCTTGCTAGTGGATAGCGAGGGCAATATTGTGAATCGTGAGCAGGGCGGAGACTGGGAGGAGAATAGGATGTATCGGTTGGTTACCAGGGCGGGGATCATGACGCTTAGTCCTTTCTTGAGGGATAGGCTACGTGAGGCTTTGGTAGAGGAGGAGAGGCGGGTGACCGAGAACGATGCATAGCACAAAGGAGGATGGTGTGTTGTCTTGGTTCTCGTACCCGGGTCTCGCATTCAATTGTGCATTGTATGCCATAGATCCATCCAATACGACCATGAGTACGGTGATTGCTTAACTTCACGTCACTTGTATTTGCATTATCATGAGTACAATTGCATGTCGCTCAAGATGCCCACCTTTCCAAGTTGAACATGCAGGGACCTGGCCTTAAAACCCGCCCTTCGGATTATTATCGTCCAGTACCTTCTCTCCTCTCAGTATTTCGGTTTCACAGACAACTAAGTACTCACCACAATGACCAACATCGTCAATAGAGCTATTCGCCAGTCCGAAAATGTTAGGAATCGGGTGCATAATCCCTGCCCTCCTGGCGCCCCGCGGGGACTTCTTAATCTCAAGAACGTGTGCTCTCTGAACGCTTTGATACAATGTCTCTTTCACATCCCGACCGTACGGGACATTATTCTGAACTGGAAAGCAGAATGGAGAGGCTGTTGGTTACCTGATACATCCACCCTCATTTGACTGCCACTGCTGATAAACTCCATCAGGTCCTTCCGTTGTGCGCAAAATATTCCTCAGGATGATGAGCCACGAAAGCACTGCCGACCAGGGACAGCTGATGGTCCATCTACTGCAATGTCTGGCAGGAAACGGCGAAATGCAAGACGTGAGCGAAATGTTCACCACCATACTTTCCAAGCTGGGGTGGGATGGGTTGAACCTATATCCCATTTTCAACGCATGGGGACACTCACTCGCCATCCCACTGGCTCACCTCCTCAGCGTGGACATGACCCGCGGTCCCACGAGCGTACAGCAACAGCTAGCGCACGGAAGCCAGAGCGAAGAGTTCGGAAGGTGGCCAGAGTGTCTGGTTTTCGAGCTGAATCGCCTGGACTACGCACGTCCTACCGTCAAGAGTCTCCACGAATTTCACTTCCCGATCACGCTCGATGTTGGGCCGTACAGCGCCACGGCCAAACAAGCGCCCGTCTACAACCTGCAGTCCGTCATCGTCCATGGGCTCAGCCACTTCTGGGCGTTTGTCGTGAAGAACGGTTCTCTATGGAAGTGCAACGACGCAGCAGTGTCGGAAGTTAATCCCCAGCCTATCGACACCTTTATAACACAAGGCCACCAGGCCACCGTGAGCATGCTCAGTACAGTTTCTCCCATCGATCTTCCCCATTTTGGTTCAAACAGCTGACGAAAAGCAGTTTACAGACGCAGTGATGCGTGGGGTGCCTCGGCCTTACCAGCCGCCTTCGAACACTCCTCCCAGGCCACACGAACCCAACCTGGCCAGCCGGCGCAGCCTCAGCCGCGGTCGCGGGGCGGACCATCGGCCCCAGGCGGCAATCCACAGCCGCCGAATCCCTCCGCATGGAGCAGTGGCGGGGGCCGCGGCAACAACACCCGCACGCGACCGCCTGCGGACAGCCCACCGGAGCCCAGCTCGGTCTAGCACACCTTGCCTGCTCTCCGGCACCAGCCCACGCGCGGGACCCTAGCCGTCGCGGCTGGCACGGCTGGCACGGTGCTACCACTGCGTCCCACGATGCCCACAATGCCTACGATGCCCATAATTCCCACAACGCCCACCATGCCCACCATGCCCAAAATGCCCACAATGCCCACAATGCCCACAATGCCCACAATGCCCACAATGCCCACAATGCCCACAATGCCCACAATGCCCACAATGCCCACAATGCCCACAATGCCCACAATGCCCACAATGCCCACAATGCCCACAATGCCTACAATGCTCACGAAGCCTGCGACGCCCACCAAGCCTGCGACGCCCGCGAAGCCGACGACGCCCGCGAAGCCGACGAAACCCGCAAAGCTCACGAAGCCCGCGAAACCCACGAAACCCACAAAGCCGCACATCACGGTCCCATTCCTACCCACGGTTCCGCACAATCCGTTCACGCACGGCGTCACGCTCGCGAACTACATCAAGCCCAAATCGAGGCTTCGCGGTTCTCGCACTGCGGCCCCGGCTGCGGCACGAACTCCAGCGCAGGATTGGGGCAAGCCGGAGCCTGAAGGCGAGTCCGTGCTGTCGGGGGTGGGGGAGGGGGAAGATACTAATAACTTGGCTGATGCTGGTGATGCTGGTGATGCTGGTGATGCTGGTGATGCTGGTGATGCTGGTGATGCCGGAGCTGGTTCCTCGGAACGCACTCAGTCTCCCGGGGTGGGGTGATATAGCTGAGGGAGTGTTGGTGCATTGCATTGTGCGTACACTTTGGATTTGTAACTATGTTTTGGTAATTGAGAGCGGGTGTATACCCAGTACTACGTGCGATACGTGCTTCTACGAGTCATGATTCGTGACGAATTGTTTGGATGTCCGCCACCGCGTTTTTCTAGGTGCTCAACACTAGAGTATTGGCACTACCCCAGCACCAAATCCGCCACCTGCATACGCCGGCTGATCTCCGCGCAGTGCCGGGAATCCAGGCAGATGCAAAAGCGAGAAAAAGCAAAAGATGGAGGACTTGGGAATCGAACCCAAGACCTTCTCAAGTCACGATGATGCGAATGAGACGTTATACCCCTAAACCAGACCCCCATATCATAACCATAAGCCAGAATAGCGGCATATAGTGCAAAAAACCCAGATCCGAAGCAGTGAAATTAACCGAGCGGCAACCGCGACTTCCCCAGTGCCTCACTGGTTCACAAACAGAGTGTAGCAAACCCACCTGTATCCGGCCGCTGCGCGATGTGGATATAGAACAGCCTACGTATGATCTTCTGGCCGGCCGATCCGTCGTCCGGGCATTCGTGCTTTCGTGCATCACAGCGCCGTCACTCGATCCTGTTACCCGTGCCCACTGCCGCAGCGACCCCCGCTTTGCAGCTTCGATCGCTTGTATGATATGCATACTGCGTACGTACATGTGGATGCAGTTGATGCATTTGATGCAATGGGTGCGTAAGATGGGCTCCACACTCTGGTGGGTTTTTTTTCCACAGACAATCCGGTGTGGCCTTCGTGGGACTCGCTCGAAATCTAGGACGTGGCCGGGGGGTTAGGCTACTCGATGGGGGTCTGCGTGTATGTCGGCCGCCGGGAATTCACCACTTCATTGGAAGAGGTAATCCACAGTCTTCGGAGGTTTAAACTTCAAAGTCGTAGCTGGCAAGGATTATGTTACCGCGTGATCGATTGCGTCTTTGATTTTTGTGATTACGGCTCAGTTTTGCCATTATCGCTCGGTGATCATGATATGGGGGTCTGGTTTAGGGGTATAACGTCTCATTCGCATCATCGTGACTTGAGAAGGTCTTGGGTTCGATTCCCAAGTCCTCCATCTTTTGTTGTTTTGTTGATGGCGTGTCCTCCTCCCAGTCTCCTCAGTCCCGGCATTCCGTCACAGTAGTGTACCATACATGGTCCTGCAGCGGTAGCCTATGTAAAGCCTAAAGCTTCGAAACCTCCTTCCCCGCAGGCTGATAGTTCCCCCTACCCTGCCGATTCACAGCCGCGACGACATTCACGTCTTCTTCCGCCTGCTAATCGATTCCGCCGCGTTTTTTGCTGTGGCTGTTGTCAGATGCGGTTCGGGGTCGCGGTTGGTAGTTTCCGCCGCCTTGACGGTTGACTTCGGCGGTGGTTTCGAAATCTTCGTCGGATGAGGGAGACGACAGCATGGGTTGGTTTAGTGGGTCGGGGGCGGCGGGCGGCTTTGCGGTCGCTGGGGCGTTCGGGGACATGAATGTGTTGTTCGCGGAGGATGGATGGACTGGTGGACTGGTCGAGAGGGACTGGTCGAGAGGGACAGCCGGTGCCGGCGCGCGTTTATATCCTCCTCCGGGAAACAGGTCGACCACCACCACCACCGCGTGTGACGTTAGTATGAGAGGTTTTCCTAGGGAGTATCAAGAAAAGCGGAAGGGACGTCCGGCGAGCCGTTGCCGACGGTGGGTGAGTGAAGGTGAGGTTCCGCGGCAGCGCTTAATCGCGAGTTAGCTGTCATTAATGCATGTCTCACCAAGGCAGAACCCCACATAACCACGTTGCCAGTTGGAGGAGCTTATTCGATCGCTCGCTCGCACGATGTTGCGTTGTTCGTCTCGTCGGCAGGTATTGCGATTGGCCCGAGTCGCTGGTGCGGCTGGCGGCTGCTGGCTGGCGGCCGTCACATCATGCAAAACGGCATGGGTGGGAATGATGGATGGCTGACGGTCGGGTCTGTCCAACGTCTGTCCGTCGTCGTCGAGTCCGTGACGGCTGGCGGTGTAGCGGAGTGATAAGTAGTTGTCGGCGAGAGGAGGATCTGTCGGTGGGAGAAAACGGCTGTCGGTGGGAGAAAACGAATGCGGTTAGTAGTGGGCATCAACGTTGGCGGGCATGGCGGGGTCGTTTTCTTCTTCTTCTTTCTTGATCATCATCTATCGAACAGATAGTCAACCCCCACCTCCTTTCTCTCCTCCATGTGCGCTTCATTTATCTTCAGGCCTGGAGAGGCATTCGCAAAGAGCCGTCACAAAAACGGCTAACGGGCCTATTATTTTTCTCTCACTCGGCCACCGCCGGTGGGGGTCGCTCGAGTGCCACAGGGGTTGCGGGGCCGTATCGGCGGCACGGCCATGTCGATATCGGTGGGGATATGTACGAGACGGCCATGTCACATCAGTATACAGAGCTATTCTTGGCTCGTCTACGGTCTACTCACCGTCTCACTCTCAGTCTCGGACTGTCCCACGCCCAGAGCAGAACGAAAAAGGTCCCAGGATCTTTCCCGCTTGCCGGACCAAAAACCCCGTGTTCTCGATAGGTATCCTGCATGGCCATGGGGCCCTTGATATGCATATTCTGTGCACACGTTTCTCAGTCACTCTGTCCCGTTCTGCGAGCTCTGCTCTTATCGGCCGTATCATACCAGATATGCCCCACCACGATACGATAGTCGGGATCCTACGGAGAGTATGTACATACACACGCACCGAAGAATCACCGTTTCGATTGCTCCACCCTGCGATCGAACCTCGCATAGGTACGTGCAGCTTCCGAAACCCACCTCCCATATGGCATAGCACCGGTACCGTACCGTATCTGACCGCCTCCGGACTAATTAGGCAGATCGTCAAGCGCACGAATTGTCGTCAGGGACCTCCACGACCACGACCACGACCACTCGGACGCGTCTCGTGGCATCGTGCAGAGGAAGATGTAGAATTACATGGCACATAGCCGTGGGTATGGGCTCACCAACTCGATGGTGTTATCCACCGCTTACGCCGCCGCCACAGTCCATGGAGGCTAGCTAGGCTGCCAGCCGTGGTTGCTTACCGACCGGTGATGGGCCAGATCTATCATCTATGTTTCATGCGTTACGGGCGGGCGGGTGCCTCGGGTGCCTGCGCTGTGCATGTAGAGTACAGCGAGGTCGAGCCGAGCCGGGGAATTCAAGCACTCTCGTCGTCCACGATCCTTACCCGGGCCAGGTCATTCGTTCTCCTTGCAAGTCGCGTCGCAGGTGCATAGCCCACTACCCGTCTCGACTCTTTATGGGGAGGATGAGGATAGAGCTGGTCAGCGGGACGGAGCATATGCACCCACCCTTTTTTCCGTCCGGAGGGTCAACGAGCAGGAACAGGAACAGGAGCAGGGAAGGGAAGGGAAGGAGCACTGCTTCATCTCGGAAAGCTACACCTTGTATCGTATCGTACGAAACAGGATCCTACCCGTCTCAGCCAGCCAGCCGGCGGCATCCCGTTCCCGTCTCGGCTCGCTCGATCGATTGTCCGAATTATATGTAACCCTGTCGACGTTCGTGATACACGGGTGTCGGTACGGGTAGGTACAGACAACAGGACAGGAAACAGGAAACGCTATGGGGGAGACGGGGAACCTGATCGGCGTCGTATTCCCGGTTTCGCCCATTCGATTCGGAGTACGCCCTCCGGATCATCTCGTCGTGTCTTTCTGTCTTCATGTCTTTCTGTCTTTATGTCTTTCCACACCTACATACCTGACATGGCGGGAACTGTGACTACCTCACCCGCAATGAAACGCCTTTTTGCTTTTCCTTTTCCTTTCGTGCTGGCCCCTGGGAGACGGTATGGAGATGGCGCCGAACGGGATCGAACCTGAACGATTCCTGTAACTATAGCTCACGAACTCTCAGCTCCAGATAGGTACAGTTGTCTGGCCCCGTATGAATGTACGAGTCCTTTACCGCACTGTACTACGCTGCCTCCCATCCACCCTCCCACAATCCACCTCGATCCAGGCACAATAGCAACTCATAATATGGCATATGTGCATAGGTACTCGCAGTTATGCTTCATATCACGCACTCACCCGCTACGCTACGTTACATACGCTACTCATCCTCCCAAGAGCCAAGGGTCAAGAGTCAACTTTCTAGAGTCAAGACGCCTCTTTGTCTCTTGTCTCATGTCTCTTGTCTCATCATGGCGGTGGCAAGCAGATCACCCCCATCCATGTAGGCGAAGAAAAAGCCGTTCCGTCACGAGCAAACAAGGCGAGCAAATCAGGGACCTGTTCCTAACCCCAGGCCCACTCTGGTCAGGCCAGTAATGAGAAAAAGCACCAGCCGTATACATGTAATTCCTCACCCTCACCCTCACCCCCACCCAAGGGCCAACCGTACGACCGCGCCGCGCCACGTGGAAGGGTGGAAGGGTGGAAGGATGGAAAAAAAGGCCCAATGGTGAAACCGCCCCTCACTCCTCTCCCCCGTTCACTCTTCCTCCCCATCCCCCGTCCGAGTTCATGTTCATTGTCCGTTTCGCTGCCGGCCAGGGTGAGGGGCGCGGGTACGGACAGTGCACCGCTAGAATATGAGGGGGTGCAGTGCGTGAGTGGGTGGGTGGGTGGTGGGGGGCGGACTCCGCAAAGCAAGGGCAGATGGCCCAAGGACGAGCGGCGACCGGCGTCATCGCTGCATCATACATAGGTGGCCGTGGCCAACTCCGCGCCGCACAGCAGGCGAGGCTGGCGCGCAGCAGCCTCCTCCTAAGCTCAGGCTCCTCAGCCCACCGTAATAGCTAAGTCTCGGCGCCCTCAACAGTCCACCCCCCTCTCAGCCCTCTCAGCCCACCCCATCCCCCATCCCCCATCCCCGCCGCCCATCTGCTGCGGCCCCACTGCTGCTACTGCTGCCCCAGTGCTACGGCAAACCCCGTCGTCGTTGTCGTCGTCGGCACCGCGGCCGTGGCCGTGGTAAACCGGCATTCCTTACGAGTCTTGGGAGTTACGAACTTACGATACCGTGAAAAGTCTAGCCTAGCCTTTGTATGTAGCTCGCGAGCTCCGCGAGCCCCGCCGCCAAGTTCTAACTAGCTTCCGTTGATCAGTGATCAGTGTCTTCGAAGCTCGAACTTGGCAATTGCATTTGCATGTGCTCACTCCCTCCCTCCTCTACTAGTGAGCATGGACTGTTGAGTCCACTGGGACTGACCGGCCATTCACCACATGCCTCTTGGCCAAAGAAGTTAGCACGGTTTCTCACTCGATTCGACTCGCGGATTGCTGTCCATTCTGTCCCGTCCCGACAAAAACGTTTGGCGAATGAGTCCATGTATATACATGGACATTGAAATGGCAGATCTGGCGAGAAAAGGTCTCTTGTGTAGTCCTCATAGTCTATACAGTAAATCCGAATTAGTCGGTCAAGTTTCCAATCACCAACTCCAACTCCATTTCAATTTCCATTTACAGCACAATCAAATCCAGCACAATCCAGCACAATCCAGCACAAAATCCAGCACAAGCCGATCCTTGCCTTGCCTTGCCTTACGGCCAAGCACTGTGAGCAGCATTGTATTGCAAAATCATTATTTTAACCCTTTCATTATACTTTTCATTATACATTTGTTTACAGAGTTCCATATTTCCCATTCCCCATTTCCCATTTCCATTTCCATTTATCCCCCCCTCCCAACCCCCAACCCCCAACCGAAATCCAATCCAGAAATTCACACCCAATATGTCGCAAGAAGGCACCCTCCCGCCCACGCCCAAGTCCACGCCCCGTTTTTACCTCACGCCCTCCCCTCCCTCCCTCCCCAAGCCCTCACGCCCTCCCTCAAGCCCTTCCTCCCCTCCATCCCCACCCTCCCCACCCGCCCACCGCCCACTGCCCACCGGCAGCCCACCCATTCGCTAAACAAAAAAACCGCAGATAAAAAAAAAACCTGATTAGATCCCAAGACGTAACAAAACAAAACAGCTGTTCAGTACTCAGTGCTCAGAAAGAAAACACCCCCTGCCCCGCCCCCCCCCCCCCCCCCCCCCCCCCCCCCCAGTCCCCGCCGCGGTAAGATAACGAAAGGCAACGCAAAATTCCTGTCTTTCTGTGCTTGTACACTGTAGAGTCCAGTCCATATCTCACCCGCCCGCCCTCGCCAAACCATCCCATCCGCCTGCTCCCATCCATATCCATACCATCCGCCCAGCCATCCCATCCATCCATCCCATCCATCCAAAAACCGAAAGAAAAACAACTGAATAAAAACACATTGCTTTTCGTGTTGTAAAATCAACCCATCCGAGCCCAATCCACCCCATCCATAAAAATAAACAAGCGAACAAAAAACGTTGCATACAAATCCAAACAAAAGTGCACAAAACACCCCACCAAGCCCACCTCCCACCTTCAACAAGCTGAAATAAAGAAACCCTCCCTTGTCCTCCCCGTCCTCGCCCCCCTCCCTCTGCCCCCGGGAAGGTGGGACCGGAAATAGGCAAGTTGAAAGCCCGATGCGAAGTGAAGGGCACAAAAACGGTAGCCAAAAAAGCAAACGCGTGCATTGCAGTAGGTAGGAGCCCAAATAAAATCAAACAAAATATCAAATATCAAAATCAAATACAGATGACCGCCACCAAGACCAAGAACCAAGACCAGGTAAGAAGTAGGAACCGAAAATAACATGCGAGAGAGAAAATGAAATCATTCCAGGCCCCGATTAAATAAAAAACTCAAGAAAACCCGATTTTTAGCGAGAAAAGAGAGAGAGAGACAGAGGGTGAAAGAAAAAAATGGAATCACCGACGAGAAAAAAAAATATGTACGTATATCCGAAATTAACAACGAATCAAAAAAAACCAGAATTAAAAAAACAAGGAGGCAAGCAGGCAACAAACAAGGGATTAGAAGAAACAAACAAACAAACAAAACAAACAAAACAAAACAAAACAAAATAAAACAAAACAAAACAAAACAGAACAGAACAGAACAGAACAGACAAGACAAGACAAGACAAGACCTTACTCCCCCTTAGCAAAAACCCTCTAATGAACACACACACACACACACACACACACACACGGTAACAGGTGTAACCAAGATCCGTAGCCGTCCGGTCTCTCTCCTTGCTTTCAAACTTCCATCCATCTCATCTCGCGCCGCCGCCTCCTCACTTCCTCATGTGGTGGTGGTGGGAAAAAAATACAAAAAAAATCCCAGGTGGAAAATAAATACCGGCCATGTAATGTAGTCCAGGGGTGGTAGTGGTGGTGGGGTGTGGGACATTTCAGGCTGAGACATGGTATGCAGCTGCTAGGTTCCTAATGGGCGGTCGTTACAGGAGATCGACCTTGGCGAGTACACTAGTATCGCCGCCGACCGCTAGTATCGCCGTCGTCGCAACCTCGCTCAGCTTCCGCCGCTTCTCCATCGCTTCGCGCTCTCGTCTTGCCTTGGTCTTGCTGCTGCCGCTAGGCGCCACGCCACTCAGTATTCGGCTCGCATCGTTTGGCGTAAAGTTGACGAAACTCCTCTCGCCCGACACATCGGTCGGAGGGAGCTGCGGCTGTTTCAACGAGGTGCGAATGGATGAGCTGCTGGTCTTGCGTGCTGATGGCGGTCGGGATGCCCGCGCCTTTGATTTAGACGTCTTTGTGGCGGCGAGGGCAGCTGTAGCAGCGGCAACGACGGCCGTGTCGTTGTGATTGTAGTTGTTAGCGTTAGATGTCGACGGTGGTCGAGAGGGGGGAGTTGGCGGAATTGAGGACTGGCGCTGGTGAAATTGGGGGTAAGTCAGCCACGGCTGCTGATTGTACCCAAAGTCGAACCGGAAGCCGGGGGATTCCGGCGGCGAAGGCGCTGCAGGCGACGACTTGAGGTGTTGCACGGTGCGCACGTATTCCTCGCCAGGCGAGGGCGGCTGATGGGCATACACAATCGAGGATTGTCGGGTTTTGATGTATGGCTCCGCGGAGTCGCCGCGGCCAAACGATGAAGCTGCCGGCGTGTGTGGCGTCGCACTATATTGCGATGCAAGGACGTGAGTGGAGGAGGCTTGCTCATGTCGTGCCCATTCTTCGGCGCTAGCTTCCACCCTCGCTTTGTGTTCCTCTTCTGCCGTTGCAGCTGCAGTTGCGGCACCCCACCAATGCGCCGCTACTACCGCCTCCGCCGCAACGGTGTCGGTGGTCGAAAGCGCGGGGGCCACTTCGGCGATGCCATGTTCGGGAGGGAACGCTTGCGCCCATGCCGCCGCTCGGTGGTGATCGTACTCGTCGACGGGGTGCGAGAAGGAAGAGTGCCGCGACTGTTGGACGAAGACGGCCTCGGTTGGGTCGCTGCTCCGTCGAACGGCGTACTGCTCAGCAGTGTTGGCCTCGGTGGAGGTTTCGTGGATCGTATTGCTGTGGAGGGATGAGGACATGCTGTGTGATCTCGATGCGATTCCCGTGTTGAAGGCATATTGCGTGTGCAGGCCGTCGGCAGATAAACCATCGTTCATATAGTGGTGCGGGTTGTTGTTGTCGTTATTGCCGTTGTCGTGGTGCTGGTGCTGGTGGTTGTGGTGGTGCGCCCCCGCACCGTTGCTACCACAATACCGGGGAGTATTGGAGGTGGCGGTGGTGACAATCATGTGAGAGAGATCGTTGTTCTGGGTCGTGCCAGCTTCGCGAATGATTTCTTCCAGCTCGCCTGGTGTCAAGGAAGACTCGGAGAGTAGACGATGCTGGGACGCACGGTGGTGACAGTCTTCCATGCTTTTGAACGGCCGCAGCTCGTTGACGAGAGATCGACGCACCGAAGAGAGATCCCGGCTTTGTCGACGGTGGACTCGTTTCTGGACGGTGATGGCTAAGGGATCACGGTGAAAGGGGGTTGCTTTTGGTTTCGTCGTGATGGCGGTTGAAGATGATTCAAGGTAGTAGTCTATTGGGGGTGAGGGTGGAATTCTCGAGGGGGTGGTGGGATTGGGAGTGGTGGTGGTAGTGGATCGAGTGGACGAAGGCACGGAGGCTAGTAGCGGCAGTGGGAAGTGTTTGGTGCCGTTGCGGCTACTATTGCTGATCGACTGCTGCTGCTGCTGCTGATAGCGGATGTGGATGTGCTGGTGCTGCTGGCGTCGATGCAGCTGGCGGTGGTGTGGTGCGGCGGCGGGCGTTGGGATGAGGGTACCGGGCTCAGTGGCACTACTGTAGAATAATCCACGGTTCCCTTGGGTGGTAGTAGTGGTGGTAGCAGTGGTGTGCAGGAGGTGCGTGTGTCTGGGTCTCTTTGAATATCGGATTGGGTACTCTCTCTCTACTGACTGCTGATACTCATCGGCGGCGACGGACTGGTCCAACCGACCGTCCTTATAGCCTTCCTGTATCTGTGCTACCGAACCCATGCATTCAACAACGGGCGACATTTTTACGACGGCTTCCTGATGGGGAGGGGACCAAGGCGATCCGCCTCGATACCGTGCATTGGGATCTTCGGCAAGGTTGAGGGAAAGATGAGCTGCAGGGCATGCTGGCGACGGAGGAGAGGAAGACGGAGAGGCAGGAGCAGGAGAAGGAGGAGAAGGAGGAGGGTGAGTAGGATATGGCGAAAGATTAACGTTGGCGAGCAGAGACATCGAACGCGAAGGGGAAGAGGGCTGCGTAGCAAACGTATGCACGGGATTGGACGAGGACGAGGTTAGACTCATTGGACGCCCAGCCGCTGTGGCGCTTGACGTAACGTGCCCTCTGTGGGTACTGAAGCCATGCTGATTATTGCTGGTGGTGGTGGTGGTTGTGTTGGTGGTGGTGAAGGGTGTGGTGGCCATGGGAGAAAGCGGGAGGCGGGATTGCAGGTGCGGGCCTGGCAATCCTGATTTCAATCTGGAGGATCCAGAACTTGTACCCCCTTAGTCTGTATTAATCAGGCGTCGGTGGTCGTCGTCGAGCGTGGTACAAGTGTCGGACGGGATGATGACGAGAAGAAGGATCGATGTCTGGTTCTACGGCCACGGGAGGGGATTGATGCACACGGGGGAGGGGGGTATGAGAAGGGGAAGGGGAAGGAGACGGAGGAGCTGGAGAAGGAGAAGGAGAAGGAGAAGGAGAAGGAGAAGGAGAAGGGGATGAGGATGAAGACGAGGACGAGGACGAAGACTAAGACTAGGACGATTATCAGGATTCAGGATGAGGTGAGCATTGGGGAAAGTTAGCATGACCGACCGTCACTGCAGCAGCAGCAGTGGCAGCAGCAGTGGCAGAAGCTAGTACAGCCCGTTTGCTGCTATACCGTTGGAAGGGGGAGAGCATTGAGCATGTATGTAGCACCAAGGTCGTGGCTGCTGCTAGTAGAATGGATGCTGGTAGAGTGGATGCTGGTCAAAAAGTGGACCCCCCAGCAGCAGCAGCAGCAGTTGTGCACCGCAGCCCTGGCACCAGAAGCACCAGCACCAGCCCGAAGGCACGGCGAATATCGGAGGCCAGCCAGCCAGCCAGCTGCCAGCCTGTCTCCGTTTTCGGCGGCGGCGGCGGCGGCGGCGGCGGCGTGATGTCGCTCTGCCACGCCGGTCGTCGAAAGTGTGCAGTTATTAGTGAGTATCGGCCTCGCCCTCGCCTGATGATGTCTGCCCCCGGGCGTCTCACCGGCGCCGCTCGTTGCTTTTTCCTCCGTCCCGGTTCGGACCGTAGTAACTAGTACCTACTACGTAGCCCAGAGCCAGTCTGAGACTCTACTCACTTCACTTCGCGCGGGTAGGTAGGAAGCTCTCAAGCCTCTTTGAGTGTGCTCTCAGACACCACCGAGACTGCGGGGTACGGTACGCAGGCATGCAGGCAGGCTGGCAGTTGAACTATTTCCTACATACAGACATACATAGCTGCCTTCCAGCACGAACGGATAATGCACGCCTCTCCCGCTGCAGTTGTCGCAGCAGCGGTTGTTGTTGTTTTGTTGTTGTTTTGTTGTTATTTTGGTTGTTGTGCTGTTGTGGTTGTTGTTATTCTTGTTAGTTATCATTGTTGTTGTTACCTATTCCTGTTGGATCGGAACGAAACCTCTCTCTCTCGCTCTCTCTCTCGCAAGGTCCGAATGATCATTGGCCTCCGGCTTCCTAGTATACCATCAGCAGCAGCGAGCCTGCTGACGATTATGGCGGGCCGGGATGGAGACAACAATATCGATGGGGGGTGGGGAACCCAGGTGAGTTCGGGAGATCGCTCCAGCTCTGGAAGGAAAAACCAAAAATAAAACAAAATCAACACAAAAGAAAAGAAAAGAAACCAAAAAAAGGAAAGAAACACCGCCCGAAACAAAAGAAACGAGAAAAAGCACTCTCAAACCTCTTATCATTAGGGGACTAGTAGAGTTGACTCTAACTAGAGCATCTAAACTAAACTACCCGCTTTCCACTAACAACTAGACTAACCATAGAACCACACTAACTAGAATACTACCTAGCGGTGTATGATATGATGTAGGGGGATTTGGTATGGTCGTGTGCACACCGACTCCCGAGTCCCTCTCTCACTCTCTTGGAGAACCGTACCGAACAAAGAAAAACAAAACAAAAAGGCGGAACAGAGAAGTTACCACACAGCACAATACCACTAATAGAATAGAGTAGTCCTCGACTCCTCGGAAGGCAGCCAATCATCGCTAGTTCGTTCGTTAAGTAAGTCCCGTAGTCACTAGTCCTGGATGCTTACCACTCTCCAGTGTCCAGTGCCAGCCCCCAGCCTCCAGGTCAGGCTTCAACACACTCGGAGCCCGAGTCTGAGCCGGAGCCGGAGTCCGGAGCCCCAGGAACTCCACTGTCTCAACTGTCTCCTTGATGATCTATTTCCAGCACTGACGCCGCCGTTCGCCCGTTGGACTTACCCGAGTACTGGAGTACTACTACTGCTACTACTCCTGCTGGTGGTAGTGGTACTGCCAGTACTGCTCTGCCGAGGACGTGGGGGTCATTAGGCTGGCCGGCAGGTAGACAGGCACCTGGCAGGCAGGCAGATAGGCAGTTTATTTATTCATGCTGGTGATGTGGGGAAAGATGAACGAGTGACGAGTGACGAGTGACCCCGGCCGTAATCAACACTGGTGTAGATATCGATATCGATACCGGTATCGGTATCGGTATCTAACGAACTCCACTACACAGCGGCATGGCTATCTCATACCCATTATCGTTTGTCCTTTGACATTTTGATCCAGAAGAGATATTCCCCGGATCAACCAGAGTAGACATATCATACAGGAGCCCAGACAAGACAAAACAAAACAAAACAAAACAAAACAAAACAAAAAACAAAAACAAAAACAAAAACAAGACATTCCCGAGTTTCTTCTTGCACCAGCACCAGCACCAGCACCAGCACCAGCATTCCTCGGAGGAGGGGCGGGGCGGGGGAAGGGAGAGGAGAGGACAGAAGAGAAGAGGAACACTTTTCATGTTTCGAAAAAGTTTCGAAAGAAATCCATCCAGATGGGAGACTGGGTCCCCGCCGCCCGGCCGGAAGGATCCCGATATCTTCCTACAATCTTTCTCCTCCGCTCCACATCCGTGCGACCTCACCTACAGAGATATCTGATCGAACGATCCAGGCGGTCGTGGCTGGTGGGTTTAGTTATGGTTATGTGACTTTGAGAAAGAAAAAAAGAAAGAAAAGAGAGAAGGAATAGCCACGACGCCACGACGCCGCCGTGAGGAAACCACAAACATCACCGTACGGATGTACAAATAACTTCCAGCTTCTAGATAACTTTAATCTTAAAACCCACCATCGCTTTCCCATTCAACGTTGTGAGCTCAGTTTTCGGATCGTCAACGCTCGCTGCGCAGCCAGCAGCCAACAGCCAACAGCAGCAGGAGCAGCAGCATCGGCGGCATAATCACAAACGTCCCGCGTGTTCGCTTCGGCTATATGCGAGACGAGGCCAGGCGAGTTAAACCCCAGTGGCCGCTGCAGCTGAGGGAGGCGATTGGATTGGATTGGACAGGATTGGGCGGTGGAGGGGGCAGTGGAGGGGGCAGGCTCTGGAATTTCTTGCTTGCTTTGCTTGATGTCTCTCCTGCCTGCTGTGCGAGTACTGCGGTGGAGGATGTAGGCACTTTTTTTTTTAACTCACGTATGATATGTACGTGCTAGTTTCAGAAACCACACTTCAACCGTCCTGCAGTGGGCAGCTGCCAGTGTGGGACGGTGGGACCTGGGTGGTCACTGGTGCGAGGAATGGAATGGAAGGGAATTCCCAGTGGGCGCCACGGCCTACGGGGATTTACATGAGTACATTTCCTGGTCACGTAAGCCGATAGAATAGTAGCGGGGTTCCCGCCGCCGTCCGGTGTGTAGGAGCAAGTGCTGGTGTATACTTAGCAAGTATTATGACCATCGACGTCTCCAGTGTCCACCATGTCGAGATCACCCGCCGCCTCACCTCGCCTCGCCGCCTCGCCGCCTCGCCGCCGCACCGCCGCACCACCACTAGCCGTCCCTTGCCCGTGGAGGAGCATGGGCAAATGCAAATGCGCATCCCGATTCCGCAGCCACCTTACCCATCCTATCCATCCTACCCAGTAGTCCAGTAGTTTACCCAGTGTACCCAGTGTACCCAGTAGTTTACCCAGTGCCCCCCCCCCCCCAGGTAGGCGCAAGTCCCAACACATCGACCGTCCAAAAGCGGATGTCTCAACCACTCTCTGGCTCCCGATTCGGTCGCGCCAGGACGCGACAGGTCGCGACAGGGCGCCCGGAACGGACAAGTGCACATCGAAGCGGTAATTTTGTCCCTGATCTACTTGTCTAACCCCTTCCCACCACCACCCCAGCCAGCCAGTAATATCCGGACTACAGAAAATACATACAAGAGTGGAGTGGAGGTTGGACTGGACTCGACTGGACTGGTCGCTGGCTGGCCAGGGGTGGCGAGGGACGGGGAGGGACGGGGAGGGACGGGGAGGGACGGGGCGGGTATGTAGAGTAGAGTAGAGTAGGGGCGAGACGAGAGAGAGAGATGATGGGAAAGAGAGAAAGAGAGAAAGAGAGACATTCGGGTAACGACAGCGGTCAGTTATAAAAAGTAAGATTGCCCTGGCGAAGAATGAAAAAAGAAGGAAAAAGAAAAGAAAAACACACTTTTTGTACAGTACGGTACAATACTTGTGCTCGCCGTGTTCGACCGAGCAGCAGCTACGGCCTGCGGCCTGCGGCGTTCACACACGTAGACTCTAGAGTACTCTTGGGATATACATACGGAAATATATCCCACGCGAGAGGCGACGCGAAACTCGAGAGTTGAGATGGCACACTCATAAAGGAATTGGAGGGGCCCGGGGGAAAAGATAAACGGAAAGGAAGGGAGGAAATGGGGTGTGTGGAATGGGGTCCAGTGTATGCATATTTACATGTGATGCACCCTTCCGTGAGGGAATTGCCATCTTGCACTTTGCCATGGGCCGTACAGCGGGGGCAGCCACGGGGAACAGGAGGATGAAAATCCTGCCGCAGGTCGTGATGGTAAATTCGTGGAGACGACGACGGCGGCGGCGGTGTGACGGAGCGATGAAGGAGCCGTCGGCGAGAGGAGCAAGTGAACGAGGACTCTGTCGGCGGGAGGAAACGGATGTGGTTAGTATGTAGTGGGCATCAACGTTGGCTGGCATGGCGGGGTCTTCTTCTTCTCTTCTTCTTCCTCTTGCTTGATCATCATCTACAGAATAGACGGTCAACCTCTACCTCCTCTCTCTCTCTCTCATCGCCTACAGAATAGACGATCAACCTCTACCTCGTCTCTCTCCTTGTGTGTTCTCCTCCTCTCGATCCGCTTCCCGGCCTGGAGAGGCATTGGCGAAACTCGCAAAAATGGTGGTCGCAACGGACGGGTGCATCATGCGCTGCAGCGCTGCAGTGCTGTGCGGATATCCACCGCAGAAGGACGAACACGTGCCCGATGCAAGACGCGTTTGCCGGGCCAACTTGTGCGGATGCTTGGAGGGTGAGGAATCTTGCCGCCAACAAACACGTCCTGACCGCGCCGGGCTCGAAGGGGAACAACAGAGTCCAAATGGGTGAGGATTACTCTGCTTTAGCGTGGTTGTTCGAGATCAATCGGAGGAAGGGTGATCTGAATGGGAAGGGAAGCGAAGGGACGGACGGCAAGAAGAAGCAAAATCCTCAGCAGCGATCCTTGGTTGGTCACTTGCAACCTCCTATCACCTTCCCCCTCTCTCTCCTCCCCACTCAAGTAAGAAATAGGTAACTTCTCACCCCCCCCCCCCCCCCCCCCCCTCGGCTACATACCTCCTAACCTAATATTACTTACATCTTTTACTTCTTCTTACTGACTCTAGCCTCCAACAGAAACATGGCCTATCCCGTAAGAACAATCGACCAGACCAAACCAGACCGCGCCAACTAACCAAGCATTCTGTGAGTTGGATAGAGCTGCCGCACGCTGTCTCAGTTCGCTCCATGTTCCAGAGATGCTTATGTGCTCGTTAGCTATCTCGGATGACCGTCTATCTTAGCAGCGGCAGCAGCCAGCAGAGGGTGATTGTTCATTCATGCTCACTAGTAACGGCATGGCATGGAAGCTGCAGTGCAGCCGTCCACCCACCCACGCACCCACCAACCAACCCACATATATGCTACAGCGCGCGATGGAAAAAGTGACTGGCGTCGGAACGATCTGGTTCATGTTTTTCAGTGCATTGGCGCGGCGACGGGGATCCGCTACTAAGTACTTGGTTACAACTTAACTTACCTGTCATTTGCCGAACATCGTCGCAGGGAAGAAGGAAGAGTGCGGCCCACCCAAGCCTGTCAGGAATCTGTGATTTCCCACATCCCCTCCCAATGATGGCCTCCCCCATGATGCCCCCTCGAGGCTATCCGTGGCCTACGCTCCTCCCGAATCTTGGAGGATCGAGTCCAGCACAGCAGGCACTGGTGCGATTTACCGCCGTGCGCGGGATGGCGTCACTACATACGAAAAAATCAACTCCCCGTTCGTGCGGTGCCTGCGGTACATACAATACGGTGCGTGCGGTACTGACTCATGAGGCGGTGGGGTGGGGGGTGGGCTGATGTGCGGGGCTGATGGCCCATGGGCGATGGATGGATGCGATATACCCTAGTCGGAGTGCCGGCATGTCACATCCAGACTATGTGGATCTGCTCCACTTGCGATTAGTTAGCCCAGCCCAGCACTCCCTAACTACCGAGTTGTTGGTGCGCATCGAGCGAGTAGGTACTATACATAACCCCATAAGTACACGTACCGCTACAAGCAGAAGAACTCTAAAACAAGAACATGGCATTGGCAAGAGTCAAAACGCGAGAAAGCAGCATCGAGAGTCGAGATGCACGGTCAGCAAAAAATGCAAAAACATGCGTGCTCAAAGTCACGTACCGTACACATCAGCGCGCAAAAAAAAGCTATTTGCAACTTGCAAGCCGTCACGCGGTATAAATACCTACACAGACTACAGACTTTACTTGCTTAGCGTGGAAAAGAGAGACCCGCTTTGCAGCGGAGGTATGTATGCACGGCACATATCCATCTATCATACCGTGCCATTATCGATCGAGGCGCCACGAGACGAGATGAGACGGACGCAGTTATCTGATCCTCTCGGACATGATTGGGGGGGTGGCGCCTGCTCGGTGCACGTAGCGACGTGTACATCACCTGAGCAAGTACATACTTCTTACTTACTTGCCTATGGGTTCGTCTGTGCACGATTACTACGACTACCTACTCTACTTACCTACAGTCAGTGGCCGCAATCGGCAGCTCCGCGAATCGCACCTGTGGAGGGGGAGCGACGGGCCGTCCGATCCGACAGTTCGGTCGGCGCCGGGATAGGGCCGGGGACAGGACAAGGCCGGGGCCCCCGCCCCCGCCCCCGTTATTAGTAAACGGAAAGTCCGTCGTGGGTTGAGAACCAGGAAGCAGAGCCGAGCGGGAGGTGCCGACCGCATGTCGAGCCGAGTCTTGCACGATACCTACATGGCCTGGCTTATAGGGTAGGTACTTACTTACTTACCTGTCAAACAGCGTCTAACGCGGTGGTGCGTGGGTTAGGTACTGCATGCGCTGTCACGCTCGTCGAATCGAGGAGAACGCCCGCTCTGGATGGATGGTTGGAGATTCCCCCTCCCCCCTCGACACCCATTGAGGAAGGAGCAGGAGGACGAGGAGGAGAAGGAGGGAATTCGACTTGGAGTCTCCCCTCCCCTTCCACCCGCCTGCCCCCCGTCGGATACGTTTGAGTGCAGACTTATTCATACCATACAGATACCGATTGAGCAACGTCGAGTCGGTGCTATGTACTCACTCATCCACAGAGTTCTGGACGGATGTGGGTAGTTGGTTATGTACTCCACTATCCGATGAGGCAGAAATTGGCGGCGTGCAGGCATGGCAATGACAGCTCTTTCCGTACGAACGATACGCTCGTTAATCCTGAGACTGAGACTTGCTTGCATGACCGAAGTGGGAGAGGAGCACAATAACTGGAGCAAAAACGGCCGCAAGAAAGCAAGATTGGTGCAAACGTCTCTGAGGATTGATGGCAAGAGTCGAGAGAATGTCGTCCAGCCGACTCACGCGGGAGTGAGAGAGGAGGGCTCTTCCGCCACCGGATCAGCAGTGGCGAGGGCCATAGGAATTGCTCAGCTGGTCCGGTCCGCTGATAGCGGGAGATTTCGGACTTCAAGAGGCGGGAAAAGGAGGAGGACCTCAGAGCTCCCCCCCATCCCACAGGAACATATATCCTAGCACACGGGGGAGAGATACACAGCACGTGAAAGTGGATCAGAGAGTAGGTGCATGGCGGCTGGGTGGTGTCCGTGAGTGGTTGAAATCTTTCATGGAAGAGCCCTGAAGAATATACGGTTATGTCCGCGCTGCCAAGCAGGCTCGTCGCCGTCTCTCCCCCCCTCTTCAAGTGTATGTTGGTGTTTCTCGAGCCCCCCGACATACCTACTTGGGTATCGTCACGAGTGCTCGATTGGTAAATGCATGCGCACTCGGATTTCAGGGAGGGGGAGGCTCTTCAAACTGGCTCCAAACCCATAACTGTTTCATCATCGTGGGGCACGCACTAGTAGGTAAGTAGCCCAGGAACGAGTCGAGTCGAGCACCCCAAAGTCGTTCTTCGTTCCTTCCCGTCGGCCATCCTATGCCGCCTGGTTAGTTCGGTGTTTATATCCAGGTTCTGTCTCTGAATTCCAGTTCGGTCCTTGAGTCCGGCCTCGCAGGTGGTACGGACTAGAGCTCGAGCACCACCGCCACTGCAATCAGTCCAAGATCTCTGAGAGGGGAGGGGGGTATCCTCAGAATGGCCCCCTCCCTACTAGTATCGAATATCCTGCTTCTCACCCCCGTCAGAACATGATCAGCGGGCACCGATCCCCCATCACGAGCGTTGGATTCTGCTAGTGATGCGAGTGGAGCTATAGCTCTGCAGGCCATAGGAAACGCCGAGATGCGAAAGATAGAGAAATCGGGGGTTTCCTGCGGTCATATCATCACCCCGTAGATATGCGAGGCAACGCATCCAGATCGAACGAGACGAGGGGCGAGCAGGATAACAACAACAACATCAACAACAACGAGAAGAACAACAATAACAAGAACAACGAGAAGAACAACAACAACACAACTGCCAGGGCAGTGAGCGATTAAATTAGTCGCGGTTTCCTTCTCGGTCCCCCATCCTTCACCGTTCATCCTTCCGTCTGCAAGCAGCGGCAAGTCGAAGGGGTGCCATCGTAAAGCACTCCTGCTCCTGACGATGGCTTTGGGTAGCGGCGCCGCGAGAGTTCGAGTTCCGAGCTGACCAGAACACGCACAGTGTACCCACAGTGGTGTACCCACAGTGATGGTGGTGCACCCACAGTGTGTGCCTGTCAATCTATCACCCGCTGTGGTACCCGCATGCCGAGAGCGAGAGGAAGGGTTGCTGGACATATGGCCACGCAATTAGCTACATACTGCAGTTGAGAAGCACCTCCTCAAGCCTTTACAGCAGCCGCAGCAGCACCAGCAGGATCTACCGGTCTTAGCCATAGCCACGATAAGCATGTGGTTGATTTGTGGGACCACTTATTTTTTTTGTTCGCGGTCTTTAGGCGAGCAGAGCAGCGCGGGACAGGAGTCATTCTCGCAGTAACAGTAACAGCAACAGCAGATAGGTATGCCCATTCTTCGCCGACGATTGAACCTGGCTGGGCATGAGGGGGGCCACGGCCACTGGGAGTCGTTGTCATCCACGCATAAGACTAAACGTTATCGAATCACTCCCGGCACGCATCCATGTCATTGCCTTCCTGCCTGTCCTCATGCTTGCCCGTTCTTTCCCTATGGAATGCGCCAACTATTCCGATAATATATACTATGATTTGCAGGTAAATCCTCCTCAGCTATCCTTTCCGCTAGCAGACGCATTGCTCACAAATTCCCCAAGGACGAAAATGCGATATACGGCCCGAACGAGCAGTGATATAGTGCCAATCGGTGTGATTCCACAGACTATACCACATCGCAAGTATATATCACCGCCTCTCGACCCGTGGCCCAGGAACCGCACTGCGACCCTCCCGCTGTCAGTGCGAACACGGATCATGCACTTTTGGAAATTGCTAATTAATACTCTTGTTCCCTTCTGGACGATGATCGAAGCCCCCTGGTATTCACACCTGATACTTTTATTTCTACTACCATACCCATCACAAACTTTTGATCGCACTCCGTTCGGAGGAGGAGAAGGAGAACCCACTCATGCTGGCAGCTGGCAGACACGCGGAACGAACTTTACGCATCTCTCCTCCACCCACGCAGCACACACAGCACACACACACACACACAGCAGCAGTATAACAGTCCTGCGAGCCCATCATGGCCGCGCGTACACCCACAGCACACAACACAACCCTTTCGTGTCTCCTATCCGTCCATCCATCCATCCAGCACAACACACCGC